ATTTGGAGAAAATGTGGTCATGCACTGCTTTGAGAATATCTTCGCTTTGGCGGGCGCCGAGAAGTCGAAGCCCAGCGGTGGCTTTAACAGCGACGGGCGTACAACTGCGTAGGGATTCCGGCACCACGTTCATGGCTTCGTCGAGCAGAGGGTTAAGGCTCCCTGCTGCCGCACTTGGGAGTCCTGCATACGAAGAGAGCCCTGGTTGAATCATGCGGAACACCTCGTACTCGAAGGTTGGCGAGGGTCCGCAGTTGTGGAATTTGTAGATGTGGATGCGCGAGCCAGTAGAACCGGCGTCAATCATGAGAGCATACTGCACAAGAGGGAGTGAAGGAGAATGTGGGGAAGTACAGTGCACGGTTTTGAGGAGGTCTGGGTCTGTTTCAGGAGAGGTAGGGAAGGACGTTTTGGAGGGTGGCGAGGCAGCAGTAGTCTTGTGAATGTCAATTTTATCCTCTGAGGGATTCGAAGGAGTTGTTGTTGTGGGTATATGTAAAACTGGGGGATGAGCATCGTCTATTTCAGGCATCGGCGAGTCTTTTGTTCATGATATGTAAATGTATTCCTTGACGACAACTATCGCAAGACGTACCAGGTATCAAATTTATCCTCGATCTTGGTCCAAAAAACCAGACCACGGAAATGAGCACTGCAGCGCCAATTGCAAACTTCTTCCATGCTAGCATCCTAGTCGCACGACCTGGACCAAAGCCGCCCTCAAGACGCTCATAGTTGCTGCTCGTTGACGTGAAGACCATGTCAGTTGTCAAGAGCCTGCGAGCACGGGCCTCGTGCCTAAGGTCGACGGACGTAGAGTGACTTGAAGCTTCTGAAGGATGTAATCGCGTAATGGTGAGTTGTCAGCCTTCCAAGACAAAGAGTTGATCTCGCTTAAGTATTTAGTCAACCCTTCAAGCCCCAAGTTGAAGGAAGAGTCTTTCAGGTGAAACGTGGTCCACTGACGCTCGTGGTTGTTCAATGACAAGTATAGTTAGCATAGCCTCAATTCACGCAAATAATGATGACGCAAAAAGCAGTACTTTTGATTTGCATGTAATCAACATTGGACATATAGATGGGAAACGTGAATACTACTAGATGGCGTGTAATGAAATTAACAGGATAAAGATCAAGAAAAGGACGAAGGTGGGGATAAGTCACGAGGAACGCAGGTCAAAAGGGGTCAAGAGCGACCATGAACATGTGGAAAGGGGATACGACGATGCTCTTCGCCAGTGGATGGGGAATGGGGATGATGAACATGATAAGAATACACAGAGCATCGAAGTCGAGAACTATGGTATCAAAAGAACGACAAAGGGAATGATGAGACTACTTGAGTGGTATTCATGGGTCTGGAAGCTCGGGATATTCGATGTTATGACTTCGCAGCAGGGCCTGGTAAGTCATAGCCTTCGATTTCCAGATCTCACTTTCACGCTTGTATTGCTCAACACTCTCCTCCAACTCACGCTGGTACTCCAGCTTGCGCTTGCGACTCCGTCGAGCAGCGACCGTGTTTTGGCGCCTCTTTGCCTCAATCTGCTCCTGCTCAGTCATGGAAGGGAGGATGCGCACATCCTCGGTGAGCTCGTCTTGCTCGTCACCGAAAGCAGCTGTACGCGCCCGCTTGCGAGCGAAGACAGCAGGAACCTCCTTGCGAGAGGTCACTGACGGGGTAAGGTAGTTGCGCTGCTGTGTGGGAGCATCGATAGGGACAAGGGCCTCCGGCGTAATGTTCTTGCGCGTGCCAGTGACAGCCACTTTCCGCTGCGGTGGACGATGATTGGCAGGAGAGTCGAGGGGCGATTCGAATGGAGTGTTGATCATTGGAGTGTCGGGGGACATTTGATACAGTTCATCGAAGTTGGTTGGGAGGTGGTATGATTCAGTGGGTTTGCATGGGGGATAAATAGAATCAAAGAGAGACGGGAGTTCGCCGAACGAGTCACCCCCGAAATCATCCAAAAGCGGACTCGTGAAGATGTCCGCGTGGATGTCCGCAGAGCCAAATGCAGGCGTAGTGAGCAGCTCATCATCGAAAGGCGAGTCGATGAGGGGTGAAGTGAGGTACTCATTTAAGTCATTCAAGTCATTCGAGTTGGTGAGTTCCGGTGTGGCTGGTAGGGATTGTGTAAGCCAGGCCAGTGCGGCGGGAGTGAATAACTTACCACCGAAAACGTCCAAAAGCGTCTGAATGGCTTCTGCGTCAGACGGCGTAGCCGTCGATAGCGCCGTGTCCTCTACGTGGACACCGGTCGCGTCGTTGTTGCCTGGTTTTTGTGACAACATCTTCAAGTAATTCGAGCACAAGTCGGCGAAAGCAGGCGAGTTTGTAGAAGCGAAGGGTTCAACAGACAGTGTTGAAGAGGATGGTTCTCCTGGTTCTGGTCTACTAGGAGTTGTACGAGGTGCACTGGGCAAAGATTGGGGTATCCCATAATGGGAAGCAAGATCGGAAATGTTATTGAAGACCGGAGTAGACGTCGTTGGACGTTTTGAGTGACTGCTTATCGCGACATGGCGAGTGGACGAGAAACTTGAAAGTTGGGAACTTTCAAGGAAATTATGCGAGACATGGTGACCAGGTGATTGCGATGGGCCGGGTTGGTGCGAGAAAGAGCGATCTACAAGTTGTGGGTCACGAACATGTTGACTAATATAATGGGTTGGTTTGTGTAGAATTGCGGGAAAGGGGGACGTGTTAAAGGTCGGTTCTGGCACAGGCGGCAACGTCGGCTGCCTGGAAGCTCTGGACGACGACGCAGTCAGTTTCCCGTTCATATCACGTTGTGTATGGTATTGAGGTAAGAGTGGTGAGTGTGCGTTGCATCGCGGTGACTCCCCTAACCCCAAGGGCTGCACCGAAAATGTTCGTGAAGGCCCTGGGAGGGGCCATGTACGAGACACATCGGGTGACCTCGATGTCGATGGATAATTATATGCCGACGACATCGTTTAGCCACGCGCACTCTTGATTTCAATCGATTTGATAGAAATCGATAATATGATTGTGATGTGATTGTGCGCAGCAATGCAGACAAAACACACGTAGAACACAATCGAATGAATCAGACAGAACTGAGTCACTCACGGGTAACTTTGAGTACTTTAAGACTCGTTGGACACCTGAGCACTGCAAAAGCTGCTCCTGGGGTGCCAGTTGGTGGTTTGAGGGGAAAGAGATATGGAGGAAAATTGTGACTCGCTATGTGCTTATATGGCAGTCTCTTCACCGCTTTTCAAGCTCAGAGCCGCGCATTTCCCAAAATAGTGTGACAGGCACAGCAAATCCGGTGATTTCTAAGGCACCGGCAAATATTGGGACAAGAAAAACATGTATTACTGGCTGAAAAATCATCCGCTGGACAACAACTGCCTCCACTTCCCTGCTGTATCCTACAAGCCACAAAAAAATGGCAGTTCAAACGTTGGAGAACACTCGCAAACCATGGTACACCGTCTGAGTCATTCCGGTGGCATCGGGACTCCATTGATGGCTAAGCCGTCGTTACCGCACCCTGACTCACATTTAGACGCCCACGACTCATAAAATTGGGCGCGGCATACCAGGATGGCGGCCCGCTGGCAATCACGAGTGCCAATCGGATGGCTTGCCGGCCAACTAGTCGCACAGCCTTGCGAATATCTGCATGCTCAGCTGCGGACACATCACTACCAGAGAGTACACGTCGTACAATGTGTTAGCGAGTAATGCGTGGGAACCAAGGAGGCTGCGCGATCGCAGCTACTGCGAGTGATACTGTTCGACTGCGATACCTGCGAGTGCATAGATATACGCCGTCGCCGATTGCGAGAGCTATTGTTATGAATCCGCAGTCGAATCTCGACCCCACAGATGCAGTTGCTTCTGGAACAATAAGAGGCACGGAAGAAGTGACGTTCCGATATCGTCTGATTGCCGCAAGCTAGTGGATGCCGGAAGCTTCTGTGCGAGAGGCGATTGTTCAGGAAAGGCGCAGAACGTCTCCAGCAGCATTGTCCGCTTGATTAGGCGATTGCCATCGCAATGATTACATGTGACGAACCAAGGCACATGATCAACCCTGTTTTTGGAGAACCGATCCAGTGAATTGTTTCTGATCTCTTTGTGTGACAGTGTCCCATGTCCTCAAATGAGGTGACGGAAAAATTCCAAGCCAGTGATGGCACCAAGGAACGCAGGTCTGCCCACATAGCGAGCATCAAGTGACCGGCAAGTGTGTTCGATGCTGACAGTCTGATACACGGTTAGTAAGTAAGCTATGCATCTTTAGTATCGTGATAAATCGTGTCGCTATGTACCGTTTGTGAAATTCTGGTCGGAACCTGCATTAAGCCATGATTGACACCTGCGGCTCGATAAGTAACAAGTTTCGATGGCAAATGCGGTGCAGCAGTGTGAGGGCGGTGAAAAGTTCGAATATTCGCGTCCTCGGCATTACCTATAGGAAAATTTCACAAACGAATGGTGCAGTGCGCCAGGACTTAGTAGGAGCAGTGTCTGCTCAGACTGCGGCAAGGCGATGCGGCCGATGGGCCACAATTTCAGGGAGAATGGAACACAAAGGAAAAGTTTAGAGACATGAGAGCAAGTAATTTAGGGAAGTCGAACAGACAGGATTATATAGTCACCTTGTGGGCAGTCCAAATCCTAGACTGACTCGGAAGTTGCTCGAAGGTTGACTCGCACTGATGACACAGTGAAATGGAGCATGAGTCAAACATGTGTTTATTACGTAATTTTGTCGGATGCACTTGTACCTTCCTAATGGGATTAAGATAAGATAATGCTATGATGCCCTGCTACTAAGAAGTCGGCGTCACGGTGACCCTCAAACCCGACCGAAACATCAACAAGATCCCCAGAAATGTAAAGAATCTACCTAAACCCGTGCTAAAGTTGGTCAGCCAATGAAACGCGAACAGTATAAGTACCTCATCCTTCCGACCTTCATTTTCCCTCAATCACCAGATTCACCACCTCCCTTATCACAATGCCCCACCACCATAACAGACACGAAGACCTTGCTAACGCACACGATCAGGTATACTAATTTATACCAATTGTTCAATACACATCATATCTAATCGTGAGCATCGCAGGTCGTTAATGCGCCCCATCAGGCAAAGCTCTCTCATGAGCTGATCGCTGCTGCGGCTTCTTACGAGGTGAGTTATCCTTATGATCGATCTTCCCATCGAACCTCAAAATATCATTGTAGGCCATGAAAGCTTACAATAACCACTGCGAGAAGAACGGTCAGCCTGTAAGCCACGAGAAGGCCAAGGAGCTCTTGTAAGTCTCTCGGCCTCGAAAGACATAATCGTAACTGACTTTGGTCACAGAGCCGGATTTGCCGGAGCCTTCATCGACCACATGGCCGAGACGAAGGGTGTACGTTTTATCTCACTCGATTGTCTGTGCAACCCATAACCTGACTTATTATTCTAGTTGGACATGTTAGACAGGCAAAAGGCCAAGCATCATGGTAAGTATCGCAGATCTTGCTCGTGACACTTGAGTTAATTGTTCTACAGCGAAGGAAACTGCCTATGAAAGGTCTGGCTATTAGTCGTCCGCAGCGACCTCATGCAATCCAATACCCATCAATATGCAGCATCATTGATCGTCATGTAACATGAAACAAATGTCACCATAACATTATATACAAGCCTCTAAGGACTTTATGATATGCATCATCTGATGAAAGATATATATAGATACAGATAATCCGTCAAAGCGAAAATGTCTGAGTCGCAGAAGTTGTGTTCTGAGTACTGAACTTACAAGTGAAGGCATAAGTAGCGGTATACCAGAAATGTACATGTGAGTATCAACCAGCTGGTGAGATAAAAGATGAAATAAACTATGCGGAGGTATACCTCCAGACAGGGTTAGCAATAAAGGATCGTTGTTCGAGAACTACGTCCGAGGTAATATCGTGCAGTGTAACCACTGTTCGAGAATATCTATAATGAGGCCTATAAATCTAGAGCAATGACACGAATATCGCGCATGACATTGCAAGAAGTGTCCACAAAATTCCTTTAGGACGATACGTCCATTCCGCACTAATATATTGCACGAAGTTAGCACAAATGGACATGCGTCGCAACCGAGATGGAAACGCACCCGCTCGAACTACTACTGCCACCGGGCTGCTGGACCATCTTGACAGTTAATACCGCCACTAGTCCATCGATCGCATTTAGTCCATTGACAGCGACACTCTGATAGTGGTTGATGCCATCGCTAGTGTTCTGTAGCAGCCCAGAGACGTACGTGACACTGGTCGCATAGGTGAAATTATTAAATGATGTTTGCCCCGAGTACGTCGATGTGTTGGTGATGTTTGCTGTTGGAATGATTGTCGATTGAGAAGTGACATTCCCCACGAGCCAGTCTCGACCAAGGTTATAGCTATGGGATATAAGTCGAAGGCAATTGAAAAAAAATGAGCACGCACCCATTAACTATGATATTATGCGAGTCTGCAACATGGTCATTGGAAATTCTTATCAAAGTTACTTTTCGGACGCACCAGCGATAGGCATTTCATATGAAGTTGCCATGAATATCGCGCCCGAGTCAGCGCTTTGCCCATCCTGTACCCAATAGCGAAAGTGGTTCCCTCCTTCGACAGTCTCTTGGCAAGTTCCAAGGTTTGCATCGCCATAGTCCCACCGAATGACAGCGGTCTCGTTTACTGAAATATTGAGCTCCGAGCGGAGCCGAATTACAAAATAGAAGACGTACAGTAACCGTTCCCGTCGCCGAGATTAGCGGCTTGCCCGCTAGGGTCAGTCTGTCCCAGACACTCGGTCGAGAACCCGAATGACCTGCCTGCACGTAAGAACAACTCCACGAGAACAGAGAACCATGCTCACTGAAAATAATTGATAAGACCACCGTTTGCTGTAGTATCCTGCAGCACCTGAGAATCAGAATAGGCAGAGATGATGACGTTGATGGGTTCTCCAAGGCCCGGCGGATAGGTGTCCTGGACTTGCTGCATAACGTATTTCTTACATCAACACCCTACATCACATGGGACAGCACGAACGTACAGAAAGCATACTCCCGCCACCATCCATCGGGTTGTAGTATCCATAATTCGTCGATCGTTTGTGTGGACGTGCGGGCGCGGGTAGGCTAGTCGGTGAACCTCTAGCAGAAACCATTGCGGGCATCGGCGATGGTGCAGTAATCAGGACGGCGCTGAAGTACAACGTTAATAAGTATAATCGTACGTCTTTCGAATTTTGTGTGCCTAGACTTGGAGTGAGAGCGTCTATCACGTTCTGGAGAGTAGAAGCCTAGGTGGGCCTGCCAACGAGAGGAAATATAGTAAAGAGTGTTGTGAAGGGTGAAAACGTGTTAGCCATGCATTATTTTGTTCACGGTTTCCTTCAAATCCTTGTCTTGTTACATAATCACTGTTCGGGACAATAAACTCCAACTCAATCTGACGATTCTCTTGTTTTTCGATTTCATCCCTGTTGCCAATTGAAGCTGTGTCCCTTTTTCTCAAAATAAAGTTTGACCTTACCTGCAGTGCAAATCTAGGTCTCATATGCTATAGCTAAACGCAGATTAACGTTCCAGGTCGTTTCATGAGCGTTTAACCTCTAAAACTCCCGAACGCGTGTTAGACTAGAGTCTTTGGCGCTTTGGCACTTGAGCCATATATGTGGTGGTTCGCGACGAAATTAACCTCTTCCGCACCTAATATTAAACCAAACGTTCAAGGCACGTTTATGCAGCGTGTTGAGCTGCTGCAGACCAGTTTTAGACGCTTACGTGCGGTTGTTCAATCCCCCCGGTCTGGTACATCGAGTCGCTCAGGTCCTGTAGGAATCAATCACTCCCATCATTAATGCTGGCGCGACAGCAGAAAAAAAGCCTGTCGAGGACATGGACTATATCGCACCCACGGACGGAGAACAATGAATAAAATGGCTAATTCAGGTGCGCAGCAGCAACGTACTCACCTTGTATCCCACTAGCCGACGTAGCAACTTGACACAGGCCTGGATCTGGTCGCGAACACGGGCGCGTATAGCAATGGACGCGCAAGCTTCATTCATCACTTCCGAATACCACATTATAAAGGCCTCGGCGCGCCAACTCTTCGCCACCGGGGCAGGAAGTCTCAAGTTCAAGTTCTCAAATTCTCTCGACTCCAACTTCGATCCGCATCGACGTCTGGAGTTACCTTTACCCAATTTCCGCTTCGAGCCCCAGTCTAAATCTCGCCGTCACATAATTATATGTACCGCGCATTCGTTAGCCGGCTAGGCTCTTCTTGTGAGTACATAAATACATACCGCATTATTACTTCAAGCTACCCACGCCTGGCTTTTTCTACTGCGTAGCGCGTCGCACGAACTGAGAGAATAAAGCTACGACTGCCAAAGCCATTGTCTAATTTTTGGCGGAAGGTCTTTTGCTCATCGAGCATTCCGCCCATGAAGAGCACTAGCAGGCTAGGCTTTAATAGGCATTTTTGCATGCTGTCAAGGACGCCTTTCAACCTCCACCTCTAAAAATGGTAGCAACCTACCGGTAGCGGGTCTATTTTTTCGATTGAAGAATATATGGATCTGTGCACCCATCAGGCAGTTGCTCGACCGGATGCTGACAGATCTAAAGATGGACGTACGAACGCAAGAACAATTTGGTGGTACCAAGCGACCCGAAATATCGATTTCGCGGTGCTGCGTGTCAGATTCTGTGAGCAGTCCATGCATATTCTCTGTGATATCTTGTTTACTTGTTCCCTCTCTGTCGCCGTGCCGCATTCAACCCCCATTGCGGTACGAACCATGCACTCTGCAACCAAGGCAACGCGGGGGGCGAATTCTGGCTCTCTGTCCATCCTAACCCAGCGCCGATATGTGCGCGAGATGATATACCGCATCAGCATACCGAGTACTGGGAGCTGAGGCATGACGTATCGGATGCTGCAGACATACTAGTGACGCTTCTTTGTCGGGTCGACCACGCTACTACCACCACCACTGAACCATTTCATTAGACTGAGGGCGCAGTACAGTAGCTTTACTCACCTGTTTGTGTCGTATAACGTTTGTGATGTCAAAGTATGTATACCGAAAGTGCGACTTGAACGGTATATATAGAGAATGGCTAACCGCAGCCCCTGGCAGTGATCATCTCCCTGCCACCATCAATCACCCCTAAGCCGCTAGTGCCGAGGAATTGATGCCGGAATCACACAGTGCCCCCGAGTAAAAGTAGTGTACACACACTCAGGGAGGACAGTCACTGATCACTTCCACATCGAAAATAATTTCTATTGATTTTAGTAAGTTGCTCGATTCAGAGCATGCTACCCACACGACCCGATAGTGAAAGAATTTTTTCGAGTTGTTTATTGAACTATATCATGATCCGCTACTATCTCCCAGAAACCCTTCCTTCCCTAACCCAGTTGAACGGTCCCCCAGCGTAGCTAGCCTTGCCTCCGGTCGTCCTTGACGTCCTCGGCTTGACGCTGTCCAATGGTTTCTGACACTGCTCGTATAACCGATCTGCCGCTTGAAGTATTAGAGCACATTCTGGTGATTTTGGATCCTCTTGATGTCGCAAGTACAGCCCAAGTGTGTCAACTCTTCCGCGGGCTCGTCTACTCTGCCGATGACGAGCATTTCTGGCGAGCTCTTTACTTGGCGCAATCATTTGATGACCCCCGTCAAGCGGTCACATACCTCGGCAATCGCCGGACTGACATCAAATGGAGGGAGGAACTACAAAACATCATCCGCGCGAGGACAGTCGTGAATGATGTTACTGTCTGTCGACCAGATGAAAGATGTCAGGTACTACGAACCCTGCTTGACATGGTGACGAGTTTACCGCCTCTACCTTTCCCTGAGAGCGAGCCGACGTCCCGTAATGTGTTGTGGATGCAGACGCTCCTGCAGGACGGCGAGTTCCTTGATCTGGAGAGCCATTCCCATGAAGAAGAACAGCTGCGCGCACGGTTGCACACATGGTTTGGGTTGACTGACAGAGACGCTTTGGCAACGAAGAGAGTAGTTTCCCGAGCATATGTTTACAGTCAGCGCAACTACCGGCCGTCAAACAGCTTTGGGCCTTTTATGCGAGATGGGAGTGGGGTGGTCAATTGGGTGCATATGCAGAAGCTCGCACATGTCTTCGCTAGCGCGTTGGTGGAGAAGGAAGAGGATGAAGAACTTGCTTTTGAAATTTGCTCCATGAGCCTGCCTTTCTGTCAGGCCGTCATACCGCCCAGTCTGGATCTGACCCGCGAGACTGATTGGGCTGGCGTCGAAGGCTTGTGGCGGATCTCTTATTGTTTTATGGATCACCGGGAATTACTAAGTAAGTCCATCAATGTTCTTGTCCTTCAGTTGTCTCTGACGTGGCACATTGCTCCCGTCCAGTTTACAATGATCCCAATGTATGTTCTACTGCCATTGTTACCTATAATTATTGTCCCATCTGACAGACATTTACAGATGCCAGAGGACGAGCCACTTGATAACACTATATTCGAAGATGGAGAGTTAGAGGAGACGTTCAGCGCGGTAGACATATTTTTCCGTGTGATCAATGTGGAGCGAGACCCGGATCACCCGACCCGACCGAAAATCAACTACGTAGGAGAGATGGATGGCAATTTCTCCATCGTCGGCTACGTCAAACTCACGCCTGACCACCAGGTACGGTGGCACTTCGTAAGTAGACCAGTCAAGTCAAATTGTTCTCGCTGACGCCAAGATCGGGTATAGGTCGCTGGTAACGGAGATCAGCCAGTGTGGTGGTATGGTCCTCGTGCTTACATTGTTCATCATTTGGTAACCATATACTCTAAAACAGGGGGGAAGCGATTGTTATGGGCAACATCCGTTCTCAATATGGAGTTCTTGGGGCTTGGTCTACGACCTTGCATGACCCACAGGATCCCATCGGTATGTGCCAATATTTTCAGGTCGATTTCTCACATCAGCGGCTAACGCCCTGCCTTGGCAGGTCCATTCTGGATGCAATGCCAGCATCCTATCGAAGACTGACCTCTACTCACCTCCGACCATCCAATGCCTTTGATGACCGTAATGTCATTCTGGACGACTGCTACAAACGACACCAGTCACAAAAAAGTTGTACATAGTATGTGTTATTCGGGGTTTTTTTTTGGGACACATAGGGTACCTGTCTGTGCGGCGCAACATGTCAAGGTGTAATATAGACATTTGATCGAATACGTTGCCGACTCGGAATTGATGATGATGATGCATATGAGTCATTCCTCCGGTCAGGAACAGATGATTAGTACACTGCTCCTACGAGTGGACAAGTTCCTACTGGTAACTACAAGTGTACTAGTCACGAAGTTCTCTTCACGCTTCCTTAATCATGAAACCGTGTGAGCCTGATAATCCTATAGGCGCCACATGAACACTCGCTTCTTGCTGATAACAATCCGATAAGAACTCTTTACTCACCACGCTAGCCTCGTTAAGCCAACACATGACGATCTCAGTCCTCGTCGTCTGCCTCGGCAACATCTGCCGCTCTCCCATGGGAGAAGCCGTGCTCCGCAACGAAGCCCTCAAGCGCGGCATCACCAATATCCACGTCGACAGCGCTGGCACAGCTGCTGCACATATCGGGGAAGATCCCGACGAACGGTAAGCACCATTCGTACTCTCGTATGACCCCCCGCTCAGGCTTGGCACAGGACTATCGAAGTATGCGGCACGGTATGCTCCTTTCCTCGCCCAGCATCTTAATATGTACGTAGGCCCGGGAGCACGCAGAAAAGCGTTCCTATATCCCACTCTGCGCGACAAGTCCGCGCGTCCGATTTCACGTCCTTTGACTACATACTCGCAGCTGATGGGTCTAATCTGCGCGCGCTGGAACGACATGTGGGTCGGAGGGAGGGATCGAAAGCGGTAGTGAGGCTTTGGGGCTCTTACCTCCCAGATAACAAGCCGATTCAGGACCCGTATTATGGGGGACTGGTGAGTCCGTTTTGGTGTCGTGGATGGACTCTGAAATGGCGCGTGCGCAGGATGGGTTCACGGAAGTTTACGAGCAGTGCGTGAAGCTTTCAAACGCGTTTTTGGACGAGGTCGCTGGGAAGAAGAGTTAGGGGGACAATTCAGCGGATAAATCTCGCAGCAGGAACGGAAGATACCCCCATAATACCTGTTTTTTTTGGTATGCTCAAGTTTGGAATATCTGAAAATATTTTGTAGCGCTTCGTCTTAGCCTGATGCCGACTTCTTCGACATTATTATGCCATCTTTGATTTCGTGAAGGCTTCTCGTCTTCTTCATCAATCGAAATTGAGATCTTGCCATGATGGGGTTGGTACAGAAGACTCTACTTATTGGTAGTAACTTACAATTTGGAACAGGTGATTTCCAACCAGTGCATTTGAGTTCAGAACGCATCCCCCAGTACTATACAGTGGCGCTAGTTCTTGCCCTTCTTCACCGAGGACTGTACCCTGTAAGGGTCAAAAGAGATCAAAATCGGGCCAGCTATCATCCAGTACAATTCACGACCAGTCTTTCGAGTCTATGACACCATCTTGTCATCGAATGAGACGTGCGGCGCTGCTAGATTGAGAATGCTATTCGAAATTACATGAGTATTCAAGTCCTCCGTATGTGTACAAACATCCCTAAGTGGAGTGCAGATCTGAGCAAGAATCGTGTCGTACAAATGGAAATAAAAAAAGGAAGATGACAACGGATGTATCGCGGCCTTTCCACTGGAGGAAGGTTAAGATAGGGATACATACACTCTACATAGGAACAATCATAGCTGCACGGTAAACTTCAGTCTGCCGTCCGCACACGACTCGCACTTCACTTTGTCCATGTTATCCACCACAAAGTGGGCGCCAACGTGCTCGATGTGCTTCCTCTCATGGCTGGTGCACACAGCAATTACGGTGGCACCGCTAGCGACACCTGCGCGGATCCCGCTTGGGGAGTCCTCGAACACGACACAATTTGTCGCAGAAAAACCGAGTTCGCGAGCAGCAAGGAGGAATGGGTCTGGGGCAGGCTTTCCAGCCTTGAGACGCTTGTCGTCTGCGGTAATGGTTATCTTGGGCGGGGTAATGCCAACGCGAGTCATGCAACCATATGCTGCAAGAATAATTAGTATGATACTTCATCATAAATAAAAAATCCGCATACCATATGTTTTTGCACCTGAGGTGGCAACAGCGTAACGACCTTCAGGAATGGAGCTCATCATCCTTTTAACACCGGGCAAAATCCGCACTGAGCGATCAACACTCGTTGCTTCCTGTTGCCAAGCCTCGAGAACGTGTTTCTTCTGATTGGCCTCGAACATAACGATGTCCTGCTGATCTTCTTCCATGATAGAGTCTTCGAATTGGGGACCCTGGCCGTAGACGGCAACTTCGGGTACAACGGACATAGTCAGCATATTATTTAGCTTGCTGGCAAATGATGGTCGACGAGGTGAGACGAATGATGATGCACGAGAAGAAGGGGCAGAATTGCTTGGCGAGAAGGAAAGGTCAGGGGTCGCGGAGCCGGAGCTAAGAGGGGAATTCAAGACAGGCGAGCTCGCGGGTGAGGTGCGCTGCGAGCCGGGTCCGTACATGTTGTAGGCATCGGCGAAGAAGAGAATGCTCTCCTCGAAATTTTGAACCTCGTCGTCCATCTCATGTGCCTTGATATGGGGCTTGAATTGGGCGAGATTGTCGACGGCGCGCTTGCCATGGGTTGCAGCAATAACGTAAGCGGGATCTTGACCAATGTCTTTGGCGACTTTACCCCAGGCCGCCTCGACAGCTGCGATGGAGTCCGTGAGGGTGCCGTCCTGTAAAGCACTGGCAGAGTTAGATTTGGAATCCCAAGACAAGAAAATACACACCATGTCGAATAGGACAGCGTCGGCGTAGAAAGTGTGAGCGTTCTGGGAGGACATCGTGATTATTTCGTTGAAAGATGTGGTGAGGAGGGTTGGATATGAAAGGGTGTATACCGAGACAAGATGGTATGAAAGGGGCTACTGGAGATGAGAGGGGATGAAGGAACTGAATATTAGTGGATTGCTGAGCCCATCTTATATACTTTCGCGTCTAACAAACCTCCTTGTTTTGTTTAGTGACGTCAAGGGATATAAAAAATTGCTAGAAGATGCCGCTGCCAGTGGAGTTGCCTTGACAGAGAAGGTTACCAATTAATTTCGCGCCAGGTTGTATCCGTTCCATCAGGTAGTGTCGATAGGTTCATTGACAGTTGCCGAAGCCCGGACATGTACTGGCGACTTAACAGGAGAGCTTGGGGTGCCGGGCAGGACGACAAGCGAGATCAATGAACTTGAAGAATTGCCTAATCGAGGAGATGGACTGAAAAACCAACGTGCCCGTCGGCACAACGGGTACTAGTTTTTTACAAAAATTTGGCCTTTTTTGCCGGGATCTGTATGCCTAAATTGGAGCAAATATGTGAGACAGGTCAATATGTTGGTAGTTATCGTTACCATTACTGGAACATATCATTTGACATTTATGGGAGGGGTCTTTTGATCTCGCAGCGGAAGTCTATCTATTTTAGTCATCCTTATTTCCGTGCGGACCGTGTCTCTCAGGACATTTCTTATCACTCCTCATTGACGCGCTCACCGGCGGCGCGTCCGTGGCAAATAGATAAGCTTGCTCCAATCATGGTATAGGTCAAAGCTCAAAGTGCTACAGCATCACCGCTTTCGCCACGTTATATCTCGAACCTGATCCAGCCAAGTCTTCTGCATCTGTCATGTGGTCGGATTGGCCCCCAAACCCTCGTTCAGAAGGTTCACATCCTCTTTCTTCGTGCCTGACGCCGCATCTATTCGCGCACGGTCAGGGGGAAGCAATTCGTCCAATATGTATGTCTGCTCGTATCAGACGCGTTCTAGTTGGCTTCTCTCTTCTCGGCAAGCAGTTCGCTTTAACTGTTTCGCGCGAAGGTTCAATCGGACCCTGACTGCTACTACACCAAATATCACATAACTTCATCTGAAGGGTTTGATATCCACTCACTCGGTAGACACCATTTCATTCATGTATTCATGAGCTGTGGCGTTTCCTTTGTGAACCACAAATACCGTGGTCTCTCTCTTCGAAGGGAACGCCATTGACGTCATTGGAGCCCTTGGAGCTCGTTTATTAAACATATAGGCCAAAGTGGCAGTGATGATAAGTATTTTCTTGTCATCCAACCAGTCACATATATGCTCTCTTCACCCCAAAAACAATCGAACCTGATCAACTGCGCATGTCAGCGATAAGCATCGACCGGGTCTTTCAGCCAGCCGCAAAATCGCGCTGTCCATGAATCGGTCAAACCGTCCATCGGCTTCGAAGGTACCGATAAGCAATGCTTTGTTGTCTTCTAGCTTGGACAGCCAGTCGCAAAAGAAGTCAAATTGTCAGTCAACTTCATGTATCAGTGATAAGCGCTACCATTGTCACATCATCTTCCAGCCTGGACCAAGAACAGTTGAAAAAAAATCGCGCTCTCACCCGTAAAGCAATCACAACGCCGCATGTCGGCAATCGCATTAAAACCGATGAAGTTCTTGATGCAGCAACTCGAAGGAACTCGTCAGGGTCTTTGGCACCAGATCTGCAGGGAATGAAAGCTTTACTGGGTAGGGCGGTGGACAAAGAATCAGCCGCATAACTAGAACTGGTGTTCACCGAGCCCTGAAAACCAACAAGCTTGGCAACATCAAATGATTTCTGCCGTTTTGATCGACATTTTTTTCATTCTTCTCCCGTGCTGGGCGCGATCGCACTGCGGTTCTGTGCGCCGAAAACTTGGGATAGGAGAACAAAGCACGTTTGCTTGCTGTGTATCATTTCGTATTCGAGGATATTTAATATATGCGTAACTCGTACGGTAGTGTCGACACCAGCCGCCTTGTCGGCAGGGCGGTGGTTCGTCGGACAAGGCGTTTGGAAGCACTTCATTGAGAACGCGCAGGTAGGCAGAATAGTGACCGTCGAGTCTAGCCTGGAAGGACTTCTGGGAGAACGAACAGAGTTAGCTGCCTTGTCGGCGTGGGAAAAGGGCAGTTGGCGGACCGCGCCTGGGAGCGCTTCATCGAGAACTCACTCAAACTCCGCTTACAACCACACAGGAGGTGACTCTGGAGTATCGAATGCAGAATATACCGCAAATGAACGAATTCCAGCATCGAATTGCATGACGGAAAGACTGCATACATGTGGTACAAAAGATATGTATAGTAGAAATGACAAGTCCTGCTCGATACCATGCCCGCACTCGAAACTTTGTCCTGGTGAGGTTGACCTGGCGGCACTGGCGAAACGCACCGAGGAGACACTCAATTGCAAGGCAATTTAAAGTAGCAGCTGGCATTGGGATCGGCAATATTTGTTTCTCCCTCCCGCTGTCAGTTGATGAGACGGAAAATATTGCTGTGGTTGTGTGACCTTCAACGGCTTTAATCACAGATCAGGTATGTAGTAGAATAACTAAGACCCAGCCAAGGCATTTTACGAGGTGCGTGGGCATGCAACAATTCAAGTTGTACAAGAGTGGCAAAACTCACCCGGAATGAAAGATACTGTTTCAGGCAAGTTACGCATCATTACAGTATCTCCGGAAATTGCGATATCAAAGACATATCGAGGAGCTGTTTTTTCAAAGTCTGCATTTAGTCAGCACCTTCGTGGTGTACGTAGATGAAAACGCACTGTGTTAGTCTATAGGGGTACATCCCACAAAGACTATGACGATATGAATCCTGCGATGTCAACTTTCTTTCTGAAATAAGGCGAGTTTGCTCTGCTGCCCATTCGGGTGCTGTGAACTGCCGAGCGACAACTCGAGCATGTTTTTTTTGAGGGGTCCTTATGTGAAAGGAGTCAGAACTCAAGTTGAATTGAGCCATGGCGAGACAATCCTAATTATCAGCGCGATGTCACGGTGTCGCGTTCTATGTAAGACGCGTAGTTCACACACATAACCGATTAAGTCAAAGTCGGAGATTGACTTGTATTCTATTCGTTCAGTACTCACCTTACCCACACATACACCTTGCTGCCGTTGTAAGGCGGCCGGTCATGGGTCCACGTAACTTGTGCGTAACTGTAATCAGGAGCAAGGTGAATATGTGGAGTCAAAGCACAAGGTCAAACCATAGGCATTCCCAAGACTATACATAGCAGAGCGTGGTACCCGGACGTTGAGAAGGAGGGCAATTTTTAGGAGACAACATAAATGATGTCATTGTGGCATGGGATCACCGAGGAGCAGCCCTAAGTTGCGGCCACTATACATAGCTGAGCTCTAGTCTGAACCATTTGAGGAGCGTTGTGTCCCAAAAACTTCGACCTATCACGGAAGTTCAGTGTGATTACACGGGGATCAAATGCATCAAAACTTTGATTTAGGGAGCGACGGCAGTACCCTCACATCCACATAACGTCCGAGATATGTCCTCGTCGAATACAAATTTGTCGCACCGCAAAAGACGTGTATGGTAGAAATGACAAGTCCTACTCCGAGTCGATGCCATACCTGCACTCTTAAAGCTTTGTAATTTTTGCCTTGATGAGGTTGACTTGGTGACACTGGCGAAACGCGCCGAAGAAATTGCAAGGTAACTAGCATAGTACCTGACCGTCATCCCTAAGGCCGAGGGCGCGAAGCTGAAATGTGTTGCAGTCTGCTCATAGGTTTTAGAATGACTGGGACTGGAGCCCAGGCACTTTATGTGCGTGAGCATGTGACAATTCAAGTTGTACAAGAGTGACAAAACTCACCGAGAATGAAGGATATTGTTTCAGGCATTATAACAGTATCTCGATATCTGAGGTTGCTGTGTTGTCAATGTCCAGCGCCTTTGTGTGGTGTGCGTAGACGAAACACGCCGTGTTAGTCTACGAGTGTACATTCCGGCGCCACGGTCAACTTTCTTTCTGAAATAAGGCGAGTTTGCTCTGCTGCCAATTCTGGCGCTGTGAACTGCCGAACAAAAAGTTGAGCACTTTTTTGGGGAGTTTTTAATTATGTGGAAGGAGATAGTAGTACTCGAGTTGAATTGAGCCACGGCGAGACGATCTCAATGATCAGCGTGATCATATGTCACGTTCCATGTGTCACAGACGCGTTCATAGCCTTTCCCATTATAGCGGAGAATTATCCTTTAGGTCGATTCCTAGTACAGTGGGAATCCGCTCGACATCCAAATTCAAATTAAGCCGTCTATCGATGGCTTGCCTCATACTACAGAACGGGCTGGTCACCAGTCTACTAGGCCCTCCAGCTACACCCCGATCCCCGCAAACTCCTTGCCTCTTCCCATATGAATACAGCTTTCTCCGCTCGTAATGACGAGCCTGATCATCTCCCCACTGAAACAACGCTGAAAGACCTCTCAAATGCTATCACCAGGGATCAACAATACCCTGATCCTGTCGGCGTGTTCGCGGATATGTGGAAATGCACCTTTCATATCGATCGGATATCGGTCAAAGTTCGTTTGCTGTCTTTTGTCTGTTTATCTGTCTAAAATTTGATTTTGCAGGTCGCAGTGAAAGCAATACCAATGTTCACCCATTATTCTGAAGGAGCAAAGACAAAAATAATCCAGGCGAGTGTCTTACCGAAGGACTGAGTCTATTGCTTACACCACGGGTGCCACTTCGTAGAGGATAAAGTGTGAACTCGGGATACGTGCCGCCCTCAGCCATGCAAATATTGTACCCATTTATGGTTATACGTATAGCGTCAGCTCACTTCCAGCGATAGTCACACCTTTCGCAGAAAATGGTAGCCTGGTGAACTATCTGGAGCGTGAGGGCGCGGCTCTTACTCTCGTCAGACGATTCCAGCTGGCAAGTCTTCTCTTGATGTATTTTAGGTAGACCACAGAACTGATGAAACACTTAGCTCAGAGACATCATAGCTGGTCTGCAATATCGTACGTGATAGTTACTGTCAGTGCCCGACCGAGCTCTGACCATTCCTCATAGTTCACGCCAACGGTGCCATTCATGGAGACTTCAGTGCGGTAAGTTCGATTTTCTCGATAGATCCATTGTATTTAGACGCAAGCTCCAGTCCGATGTGTTCATCCATGGTGATGGCACTGCGCGTATTGCTGGCTTTGGTTTTTCCTTGATGTATTCAGAGGTCATAAGTGCCTCTAAGGTTTTCTGGACTTCCACACTCCAAGAAAACATACGATGGATGGCTCCTGAGCTATTAGTAGGGTGGGATAATAGATCTTCAGCTCGTCCGAGCGAGCAGAGCGACATCTATTCGTTCGGCGGTATCATGTTGCTGGTACGTCTGAGGTGATTCCTACCTCTGGTCGATGATATTATTGCCTTTAGGTCTCCACCAACAAAGTTCCTTATTATTATCACAGAGCTGAGGTCACTATCATCCGATGCATAGCTAGGTCGGAAACGTCCTCCAGAGCCCGTTATCCTGAGCTCCCAGAAAAATACTGGGCGTTTATGGAGCGATGTTGGTCTACTAATCCTCGGGATCGTCCATCGACAGAGGAAGTTGATATAACGATCAGGAACGAATTTGACTCACTGTCGAGATCTGAAATGAATCCTGTTGCTTATGGCGACAATCTCCCCCCTCAAGCAGCACTCCGAGACCTCTCAAAGTATATCTCCAAAGCTGAAGACCACCCTGTTGCTCGTGGCGGGTTCGCAGATATTTGGAAATGCACCTACGTTGATCGCATACTAGCCCAAGTTCGTTTGCAGTGTTGCTTGTCTATCAGTTCAAAATTGATAATTGGGCAGGTCGCAGTGAAAGTATTGCAGGTATGCGCTGATGATCAATTTGGGCCAGCAAAAATGAAAAAGACCAAGGTGAGTTTCCTGACGAAGGACTTCATCTATTATTTATGGGCTGCCACCTCGTAGAGGATAATGCATGAACTCAGAATATCTGCCAACCTCAACCATGCAAATATTGTACCCATTTATGGTTATACGTATGGCTTCGGCCCATTTCCAGCGATAGTCAGTCGTTGGGCAGAAAGGGGTAACCTGTCGGATTATTTGAAGCGTGAGGGTGCGGCTCTTACTCTCCTTAGAAAATTCCGGATCGTAAGTCTCTTGTATTTCGTGCAGACCACAAACTGATGGCAATCTCAGCTCAGGGATATCATAGCTGGCCTGCAATATCGTACGTGCTAATTATTCTCAGTGCTAGACCTGGAGTAGTGACATTCCTCGCATGCACAGTTCATGCTAAGAGTGTCATCCATGGTGACCTCACTGGGGTAAGTTCGACCCCCTCTCAATAATTTTGATTTGATCAAGACATGATCTCTAGCCTAACGTGCTGATATATGCTGACGGCACCGCTTGTGTTGCCGACTTTGGTCTTTCCTTGATGTATTCGGAGGTCATAAGCGCCTCTCAGGCTTCCTGGACTTCCACCTTCAATGGCAATGTACGATGGATGGCTCCTGAGCTTCTTGAAGAGCGAGAGGACGGAACTCCAGTACGGCCAAGCAAGCAGAGTGACGTCTTTTCGTTCGGCGGTATCATGTTGCAGGTACGTCCGGAATATTCTCAACTTGTTGATGATGTCATGGGCTCTGCCTTTAGGTCTTCACCAACCAAATTCCTTATTATTACCTCCGGTATAATCACATGATCGTCCTGCACATAGCTAAGTCGGAAACGCCCTCCCGAACTCGTTATCCCGAGCTCCCTGAAAAGTATTGGCCATTTATCGAGCAATGTTGGTCTACTGATCCTCGGGACCGTCCATCGACGGATGAAGCTGATGTGACGATCAGGAATGAATTTGATTCGCTGTCCAGAACTAGTTGATTCTTGCACTTGTCTTACATTCAAACATCTGCTTACAGCCCGGCCAGACAGATGAACCTAGGCATCAGTATAGTAAATGTATACGGTTCACTCCAAGATTTCGCTGACTTGTACTGTATTCATTCAGTACTAAGTGCTGGTATTACCTAACATACCTTGTTACCGTTGTATAAGGCGGCCGGTCATTAGCCCGCGTAACTGTAATCATTATCAGGGTGACTATGTGGAGTTAAAGCACAAGGTCTCAAACCATAGGCATTCCAAAGGCTATACATAGCAGAGCGTGGTACCTGGATGTTGAGAAGGACGGCAATTTTTTTTAGGAGACAACAGAAATGATGTTATTATGTCATGGGGATCACCGAGGAGCAGCCCTAAGTTGCGGCCACTATACATAACTAAGCGCTAAGCCACTTGAGGAGCAGAGATATTTGTTGTATCCCACCGTGACAAGCTTCGACCTATCACGGAAGTTCAGTGTGATTACACGGGGATCAAATGTATCAAAACTTTGAATTATGGAGTGATGGAAGTACCCTCACCTCCACATAATGTCCGGGATATGTCCTCGCCGAATGCGCATTTGTCGCACCGTTGCGGATGTATACGACTCGGACTTCTGAAACGCCACGATACTGGTACAAGGGCTCCACTTGAGTCATTTTGAGTCGATGATAAACGAACACTAACCAGTTGACCCCTCGTGGTCCGATAACCATGAAATTACTAGTAGTGGTAGATCTGGCAGCTACTGACACGATACGTCAGCACGCAACTGGCACCCATGACAGTTGTCTTACCACGAGTAGACAGGGGGGGCGGAGGAGCTCTTTCCGCTGAGCTTCGCAATTGGCTGGAGTTTGGAGTATGATTGATGCGCAGGACACGGCTGAGCTCCTCGGTGTCGCAATGCGCTAATCGAAATCCATGGTCGTTAAATGAATCGTTCAAAGCAGCGTAAGTCTGACCTCTACCGGCAAACTCCGGTCTAAACAACGCCAGACACCTACCGCCCCTACGGGTAATAGTACTTCAATTGTACTCCCCATTTCGCAAGATCACAAGGGCAGTAACCTCCTTCACTTCTCACTTCAATTCCGTGCTATACTGAAGCCTCGATTATATTATGGATTCAGTCGCTATTCTCTTGCCGTCTGTGAGAATTGCTAAGGAGATACTATACTACGAAATTTAAACTTAAAAAATGCATGCTGGAGGTGATATTTTCTTCGTTCAAACGTCTTGACAGGATTTTGACATGATTCAGGTAGTCCTTTGCCGGCCTTCATGCTATGGAAGCAGGTGTCCTGCCGGATTCCTTGTCGGCCACGCCTAGCGGGAAGTTGGAGCTATGGAGCTAAATCACCGACTGGTGCAACATCATGATACTTTCCTGTGCGAGTTCACATCGGCGTCAGGGCCCAGTATTTGAGCTGCAGTTCTGGTGAGGAGCGGCACAGAAGGTTCAAGGCAGAAAACGTCATCCCTGACGCAGCTCCGCCGATGGCTCACGATTTTATCCTTGTCTTGCTATCAAATGGCAGACAGATTCCAGGATACCCCAACTTACTCTTCTGTAGGTCCTACATTGTCATTCTCTAAAAAAGGCTCCTCAGCCGAGTCGTCGTGAGTGTGCTGATATTCTGAGGTGAGCAGACAGAGCAGAGTAGTGGCGCGCAGCAAGTCGGTTGGCGACTGCGACCATGACGAACACGTGCTTGCGAGTGTTGACACCAAGACTCTCCCCTTCATAATCAGTGGACTGTGATTGTAGTCTTGTAAGGCATTTGCGATGGACACTCGTGCGTCAACGTTGTCAACTCGTACATTCAGCACGACTCGTGTACGAACACCGTTGACTATTAAGATACTTACTCATTGTCAATGTAGAGTTGGGCCCAAATGTTTCGTAGCTAAATATGAATATCTTACAATCCACAAAAATCAAAACATGTACCATATTCCGAGCCGCAAGAACGTTCAGCTCATTGAGGAGGACGGAAGTCTGACTTTGGCCTTGTTTGAACAATCCCCTATACCATTACACCCGCGGTCGATCCCAAATTCGGAAACTCTTTTTTTTTTGACAACCGAGTTCACTTCGCCTAAACGCTAAAGGGATCGATACCACAACTGTCTGTTTCAGTACGTGTTACTCAAGAACCCATATGAACTAAGGTTTCATGGCGTTAATCTTCGTACATTTTTCCCTGACAGTGCGATTTCTCTATGTTGATCTAAATGACAGATCTTTTTCAGACCTCTATTTCTCTTGCCAGCTCCTGGAGGATAGCAAGCCGCTGACCATGCCCTTCCGCACGTCCTTCAAAGCTTTCAAGAACGACTAACTATACGCACGCTACTCAATGCTGTGTCCTCGCGTTCACAAATAACATTTACGTATGAGATATCGGACGCACAGCGGTGCACGCTGGTGGCTCAACATTTAGGATGTTTTGGGAGAAACGATTCGTCAGGTACATTTATATTGCGTGGCAATGCTTACGAAATGGTCACCGCGTCAGGAATGAATTTATGTCAGATAAAATACCGCTTGTTGCTTTGGGCAGGTCAGGAAGTAGACGGTTCCATGCAGACCAAGACTCCCAGTAAACTTGGCAGTACCGCAGCTTTGGTACGCTCGCTCATTGCTTGCATTCTCCTCAGGTCACGAAGAAGTATGTATATTTATGTCGACCTTCTGCGATTCGACTTTCCCGTTATTCGGCGAAGCTGTCAGTGACTCTTTCTTGATTGTAGTTTCCTTGACGTTTGACACTATAGGTCCAGAATGAGGCAACGATACCATTTGCACCTCCAGAGACACCTGTACTTTTCAGCTATTTCGCTACAGATTCACATCTCTGGGCTATCCTTAACGCTGAGATCACACACGAAAACCCCGTAGAGGACAGGCATCGCCGGCTCGTGCAGAGCCACCGAAGTAGGCCGTGCGACAGAGAGCTCAAATTAAATGCCAAGATCAGAGATGAACCTGATGAGAGCAAGAAGCCACGTCGTTTTGCACTGATGACTTCCTTCTATGCTATTATAGGAAATACTCAATTATGCACCCTCTCGGCCTGTCAACTCCGAGGAGAAAGACCTCATCTGGAAGTTTCGTTTCTACCTCGCCCGGGACAAGCGCGGGCTTACCAGATTCCTCAGATCTGTCACTTGGCGCGATCCTTCGAAAGTGAAGCAAGCAGTGGAGGAGCATGGGGTCGAGCCGAGTGTTATTGATACATTTATGCTTAGTTGTGGTGAGTCTCACACTGCGATACTGGCTGGGGGATGTCATGTTTCTGTAGATACCCAATTGATATATGATCGCTGCTGACATACTCTCATGTTGATGCTCGAGTAAGCCTTTATGTATTGCATGATTTTTAGCCCTTGTCTCACCCATGCACTCGAAAATGATACCAGATGGACAATCGCTTCGTATCGCGCCTCAGATCAGAATTCCGTTCTTGTGTCATTTCTCTACTTGGCATTACACGCTCTTTTTACATGATTTATGCGACTACTAAATCTTTTATTGCCTCGGATTCGCAGGTCCAGTATCTACATAAAGCGCCAAGCCCATTCTCAACTTGGTAGTGCTCATGGCGTACGCGAACATCAAGCACTGTGACGTGCATGAGCATCAGGAGAAGCTCCACCTTTGCCGGCCTTCACGCTATGGAAGCAGGCGTCCTGCCGGATTCCTTGTTGGCCACGCCTAGCGGGACTCGTGTGCGAATACCGTGACTATTACTCTCGAGGAAGATACTTACACATTGTTAATTTCTTTGGATTGTAAGAGATTCGGTACAGTTATTCAACAGCGATGTATTACAGAACGTCACGAAACATTTGGGCCCAACTACATTGAAACATGTGAGCCGCAAGAACGTTCATCCTTCGAGATCACCGAAATCCGGCAATAATTCAATCTTCAGTCCTTTGAGTCCTTTGCCTTTTGCGAGATGGCCATACAATTCCTCGCGACTATTTATATCAAGAAGGCGCCATCCATCCTCGCACGAACAGTTCCAAACGTAGTAGTCCTTGCCCGACGAAAAAATGTACCTCGTGCCACTTTCTTCGCTGAGCACAAGGGTCCCTTTCAAACCAGTGTATTCTTTGAGCATCTGTTCCACATTCCTAGTACATTGCGCTATATATACGCCGCCCACGCTATGTACGGAATTACAAAGCATCGTCGTGGATCCGGCGAGTCTAACTTGTCTGTATACCCAGTGTGGTTACTAGGTAAGCTATACTCACCGCAATTAGTATGTTCATTGATTCCCTGATGGCGGCAGTAGTCAAAACTATTTAATTGCCAACTTACTGAGAAGGTCAATTCCTTGGCACAACCCGCATTCACTGCAACTTAAAGTGGACTTTGACAAAGACTGCAAGCCAAACTTTGAAAAGTTATCCACATCCAAAACTGCGCAAAAAAAGAGTTCCTTTCCGATGAGACAGTTCGCATGCTTATACTTAGTATACAATCGTAACGGTGCTTGCGCACCAGTCCCCGACTCCTGATTCCGGCCTGCTCGTTCCAGAGTGTGGTTCAGATACACGAGTGCAGTAAATATTACATATGCAAGATGATGCGTACCGTAAGAATCACGAGGTGGTACATCATAAATGCAAAGTAGGACGAGGTAAGAACAAAGCGTAAAAGGCGTGTATGGTGCGACCGCCACCGATGCGGGAGAAACCTGAATTGGAGTGTTGGGGAGGTGTACTAATGGATGTGCGGTCGTATGAGCTGCGGAGACCTGGGCTGCAAAGCATGCTTGGGTCGCAATACTGATGGCGGGGGCCCACCAGAATGATGAGAGGAGCTGGAACCTGTGTCTTTCTGCGCGAAAGATGCGTTGGGTGGCACATAGGGAGATGAATCACGTGCAGCGAAAGAGTCTCGAGCCACGGGTGAATGTCGTACTTCCGTGGCTTTGTAGTGTCTTCGTTCGCGACCACCTCTCCGTGGCCTGCAACATCCGAGAAGAGAAAGCACACCGATAAATACGCTATCGACTGGCCGTCTGGAGTGATCAAAGCCGACCCGACTAAGAATGCGCACAACAGCTTCGATGACCTTGATAACAAGAATCAGAAACAACGTAAGATAAACAAGGCAAAAGACGATCAGTATGCCATAGGCTACCCAACCGCCTGCGCCTATTGAAATCTGAACGAGCTGTTAGCATTGGACTTCACGGAGACAGGTAGCCTTACAGTTGGGGTCAAAATAACTAGCAGCACGGCAACCACGATACGTGCAACGCAAAATAGGAAGCTGATGAGGCCCATGCCTGCTCCTGCACCCCATGGTAACCATACGCTCGTGACCAAAGTCGCCTCAACGATGGCATGGTATGAATGGGTCTCCGGAATTGTGAAATGTGCGGTGAAGCTTCTACCTGACGGTAGAGTTGATATGGGTTCAACCGCTAACAACCCTACCATCAGGTAGAAGGGCCTACAACCATGTTGGTAGATTCAGCGTCTGTATGAGACGAGCAGGAAAGTTTATAAGTGTACGGTTGAATAGTAACATGGCACTCACCAATTAACAGCTTAGGGGCTGTTAGCTCGATACTGGGGGAGGGTGGATGAACGATGTCGTCGTATGTGGTACAACTAGAACTTAGCACAAAATACAACGACATCATTCATCCGCCCTCCATCTTCAGTCCTGGCGTCTTTGTTGACCGCCTGTGAGAAACTGGGGTCTATAAGGCAGTTATTTCTACGGCGGATGACATGATTGCGAAAGGAATGGAGGGAGGGAGATACGAGTACGAACTCCAACTAGTACCTATTATATACTCAAGCACATCATCAGCCGCATAGTAAGAGTCACGTGCAAGGTGCGTTGGTCCAGAATCATGGTTTGAACTGGACGAAGTCCGGTTCTCCATGGTTTGGTCCATGGTTCTCGCACCAGACTGGAAAACGGTCCTCCCGAATGGTTCCATTTTCACCCTTGGCAGTGTGGCATCCCCGGATGATCGGATGCTGGCTGTGCTTCATTGTTATTGTCAACTTATAAGATCCACCTCTGATTGTACGTGCCTATAATATTTGGTGTCTGTGCTACGCCATATTATGCCAGTACTATTACAAATGAGATGTGGGTGCGCCTTATTCCGAGGTGATATCAAAAGACGCTCAAGGACAGCTTGATTTAGCTGTATGTTTCATATGGTGTACCTTACATTACCATCAGTCAGGGTAGCATTGCGAATGAATCATGGAACTCACCTGAAAAGCGGACTGGCATCGCCCATGTCTTTGAATTCATATTTTCTATCTTCGCCAATGTTTTCCGCCAGACACTGCGCTTCTTTCTTTCTGTTCAGCCGGTTGTAGTTCAACATAGCGAAGATACTCATTATGATTCTGTTAGAATATCGTATTATTACGTTGCAGTTCGGAAGACTGATGAGACATACGAAAGAGAAAGAAATCCCATGGTAACCATACGCTCGTGACCAAAGTGCTAACAACTTCTGCCACCAAAATCACAATCGCTTGTGCTGTTCCACATGTCATCGTATTTCAAGTTGAGGATATATATCGACGCGCTTTGAAGTTTGTAGTGTCTCACAAATAAAGGACCAGGCTGAAGACGACATTGAATGAGCCAAGGACCAACCTATTCAGTTGCTTCAAGAAATTCCTTATCGCAATGAAAACAGATGTAGAACTGCCGTCGCGCAGGTTTGGATGTCCGAGAGCGGTGAGATCCATGTAATAAGACTCAGCGCTCAGCTATTGACAAACGTATGATGGTGAGTATTTGCCGAAAACTGTAGAGCACTAAGATTCTGTCCAAGTGCGCAGCTTTGCACATCAGCTGACGCATGGGAATTCGTTTGTGTTCGACAAAGCCCTCCTCCGTGGGAGTCGGGGAACGCCACGATACTGGTACAAGGGCTCCACTTGAGTCATTTTGAGTCGATGATAAACAAGAACGCTAACCAGTTGACCCCTCGTGATCCGATAACCATGAAATTACTAGTAGTGGTAGATCTGGCAGCTACTGACACGATACGTCAGCACGCAACTGGCACCCATGACAGCTGTCTTACCACGAGTAGACAGGGGGGGCAGAGGAGCTCTTTCCGCTGAGCTTCGCAATTGGCTGGAGTTTGGAGTATGATTGATGCGCAGGACACGGCTGAGCTTCTCGGTGTCGCAATGCGCTAATCGAAATCCATGGTCGTTAAATGAATTTTAATGTCGTTCAGAGCAGCGTTCGAAGAACCAAGCGGAGTTTGAAAGTTTACTGTGCATCTAGTCAGTCAGTATGCTTTTACTTCGGTCTGGTGTATATTCTGAGGCATTGTTTAGTTCATCGAGGATGAAGGTAACACTGAATGTAGAGGTGACTAGATGATGCGAAGCTCAGATCTGATAAAAGATCTCCGTACGTGAATAGGACAAATCCGTTCGATTTTTCAAAAGAAGACCATGTCTATTAGTCGTCGTCATTCATGGACTGCTGAATCTCATTCTTCCACAAATCTGAGAAGTCGTTGATGTCCCGACCGCTACTCAGCGTGAGAGCTTCCATTGGCAACATGTTGTGTTGGTAAGCTGGTGCGTTACGCGATGCGAGCGGATGTAAAGGCGAGTCGATGATACGGAGCTCGGGTGCGCTCGATCCCTGCGTGAAGACCGACAAAAGCTCTTCGTACGTGAATAGCAGGGGATCCGTTCGGGGTGCGTACGGGTTGAAGTCTAGGACATGTCCCCGAGACAGATCACGTGTCATCAACACGTCAAGAACGTCTTCAGAAGTGTGATGAGTGCGCGGACTACGACAAAAACGATGTGACACATACAGTCTTGTTGTCCATGCCATTCGGACTTGATCTTGTCCTCCCAAAAACGCTGAAGCGTTTCTAAGATCTTGTTTTGTGTTTGCGGCTCGTTCATGAAGTCATAGAAATTCGTATCGCGTTGTGATATCCCTGTACGAGCGTCGTTCGTGGCTTGCTGGAACAATAGTCAGAAAACAGGACGTACCTATGAGACGACCTTCGCGAACGAAACACCTGAACTCGCGACTCCGGTCTATAGGGTACCATTTCCTCAAGACAAGCTCGAGTTGATACGATGGCGGATTCGAGGGATCGCATTGGCATCCCTCGAAGACCGCGTCGATACTTAGATCGTGCGATATGAAGTCCGAGGATTTCAGTAGAATGTAGACGTCTGATGGAGATGTGCATTTGAGAGGCGAGGATGGTGGTAGCACCCATGATGCGTCCTGTGTTCGATGTGAAACGGGGATCTATTTCGATGGAACAAGCTGACCTTTGGTGAAGAAAAATTGAGCTTGGGAAAAATGGCGCCGTATTCTTTGATGATTTGTCTTATCCGCTCATCTAGATCGGGGAAGGAGAAGGATTGCCCAACTGCAGCGTCGTCCTCATCCTCTTGGTCCGAAGGAGAGCTTCCTGCGGGACTGGCAGTGGGAAGTGAGCACGACTGAAACAGATGGTGATTGTAGCCAACTGACACGTTTTCCGAGCCTTCTGGTACGAAAATGCCGTCCGAGTCCAAGTATTCCTTGAATGCTTGACTCAAGGGACGGATGATGGTGCTTTTGATGCTAATGGAGGAAAATGTCGGATACCATGATGAAAATTGGAAGGAAAGTAGATAATCTGGTGTTTGTAGAGGAAAGATGCGATGCGATGTCATGTCAGTCTAAGTACAGGCTGATCGAGAAAGCTAGCTACAGTTGTTGAACCCATGACTGCGGGTCAGTCATCCCTCATACGTGCGAGTATCACAGTAAGTCGACCCCCGGTACGTAATCATAACAAGTCCTTAACTTCATTGTGACCGCCTTGTGCAGGACAAGTCCCGCCAAACTACGCCGTTATCGTTTTCTAAGTATTGGAAGTATAGCATTCGAAATAACACCTCATTCACAGTATGGGCCAATCAGGATAGAATTAGGAAAGCTTTATGATAATCTTCAAGAATACCAGTAGTATTTCGACGGAGGACCTATCATATTCGTGCATGGTATACTCGGGCATAAATACCTAACGTGCGATGTAAAACACATCGTATAACAAGACAAGATAGACAAACAGCGAGAAGAGAGAAGAGAGAGCAGACAAAAAAACAATCGGAGAGCCAGCCAGGGCAACTATGGGACCAAGAATAAAGTTAATGAGGGGAGGAATCGGCCAATGCTCGCCGAAAGAGTCCATGTAGTCGAGATGAATGCCGGGGATATGATGCACAAATGGCGGAAAAGAAAAGAAAAAGGCAAATTACAACTCGGAATTCTTTCCCAGTCATCAGTGCGTAGTCACCCACAGTTGTCAATTGGACTTACTTTGGAAAGAGGCAGGGAAACATACACGACGACCCTATGATTGCTATGCAAACACCTCAGTCACAGTCCGTCGCCTCTCCCGCCTTTGCGAAGGTATAGCGACGGTGCGTGACTGAGAACTCCCATTGTTACCTTCCCTTTCGTCACGAATGCTGTCCAATGACATACGAGCTGCTCGTGAACCAAATGTCCGCCGGCGAGTATCTCGCTCCGTCTCTGAACCTGAAAGTGGAGAACGGACTTGAGCAGGCGAAGGTGCCGGAGGAACGTTCGTGTCTTCTTCAGTGTTAGAAGAGGACGTAATGGCCTTCCTGCGTGCCTCGTCTCGTGAGTGCTGCTGTTGTAGCGCAGACAGTGATACTTCAGAAGGACGCGAGAAGGTTACAGATGAACGAACGGAGTCTTTGGAGTCAACGCGGGATAGAGGGAATGTTGAGTTTTCAGGGGAGTTGGATACCGTATGGGTAGTTACAGCGGTTGTCGGATTGGCGGATGGCAAGGGGATACCTCGGATGGTAGCGGCGGATGTAGTAGATGGTTTGCGATTGTTGCTTTTGTCTAGCGAATTGCTTGTCAACCTGCCCATAAGCGATTCAGAAGGTAAGGTAGGAAGAGGTGGGGGGATGGCAAGAGACGGAAGTGGTTTTTGGCGGCCCGCAGGTACGCCCCGAGCGGCAGGTGTTGGTGAAGGCTCATACTCAAGGGAAAGATCAACAACATCGGATGAGATATTATGAGAAGCGAGTGCATTTGACGTCATTTGACGATCACGTTGTTCTCGCGGTGTGAAAAGCCTACGCGTGGCAGACAGCGGCAGCGGAGGAAGAGGAAGGACATTGCGTGACGAAGAAGGCTGATCCTGATCTGGATCAAAGTCGCTTGATGAAGGCGGACGTGCGACAGTTCCTTCAGCGCGCCCAGTAAGCCTTCTGGACGAGTCAGCAGTGGAGGCAGAAGGCTCCCAACTCCGTCTTGACTCCACACTCCTCCTTCCATCCAGTCGACTTCTATTACTGCTCCTATCTATTTCGGGTGTTCGGCGGGAAACGTCATCACCAAGGCCGCTTCTTGAGTGCTGTGGTTCGGGATCATTCAGAGGACCAGCAGATGCCTCCTTCACAATTTTGCCGACTCCAAGCAAAAACCCTGTAAGCGTTCGGACGACTTCGTCGCTCACACGCAGGCTCTCGCGGTATTCCCCTCCCACTCTCCTCCAGATTTCACCGGTGGGTATCTTGCCCGATCTCTCATCATCCATCTCGGCGTTAATCTGCTGTTCCAGCGCTCGATTTGTACCCGTTCTCAACAACGCATTTAACTTCTCGGAAGCAAGAACGATGGTTTCTGCGCTGCGGAACAGATCTGGTACGGATGCAGACTGATTCGGCAGGCGGGACAAGATATTCTCGAACATTTTCAAAGACTCTAGCATGAGCTGGGTATGCTCCGCGCTCTGTTGGTGACTAGAGACCGACCCATTCCCAAGAGGTGTCATTGTGGTGTGACGTCGAGTGAGTGTGCCGCTACGTGATCTGTCTGGTGGTGTTGGTGCCGCTGGGACTTGTTGGGGAGGAAGCGGACGGATACCAGGCGATGCTCCCGAAGGTTGTCGCTCAATACCTGAGTATTGCCGTCTGGATCGGAGTAAAAATGCCGCTCCCCTTCCAGCACCTCCATCCTCCCCATGATAGAACTCTGCCATCGAGGTTGATGGCCTTGAGGAAGCTACGCGCCCCCCTCTCGAATCTCGTTCAACTAAAAGTGTAGATGATGCCCTGCTCGGATCTGAAGACAGATGTGGCCTTGCGGAGGGACCTGCACCTTCACTGAGTCGTGTGCCACTGGAGCCGCTTGCCCGACTCCTGTCATCCGCCACTCTATCTTCGTCCTCCCACTCGACGGTTCGATGGGTGCTGGAGCCAGCTGTCCGTGCGCGACGCAAAGACACGTGCGAGCCATTGCTGTGTACAAAGACGTCATCATTGGCCTGTGTCACGTTCCGCATACCTATGCCAGCAGCACGTAGGCCTTCACCAGCCAGACGTCCTCCAGCTCCCAGAGTGCTTTCGGCACTGCCGCCGCGTTGTGTTTGTCTGCGGCCAGAATCCGGAAGGCTTGAAATATCGTCCGATAGCCAACGCGTTTGGTGACGGCGCGTTAGTTCGCGAACGGTTGATGGAAGGTTAGCACGAGCGCCGCGTGGTGAATATTGAGGATTGGCATTTGCGTATGAGGTTCTATGAGAGGTGTTGGCATTAGAAGTGTAGCTATCTTGATGCGAGTTGTGATGTGGTGTCATAGGCTCGATGGAAGTCTGGAGTTTGTCTGTCAGCGGGAGTCAAGGAGACGAGAATAAATTGTGTTACCCTGCCATCCAAAGTACGCACTCGATCACCGTCTCTGAATTCTCTTGGAAGCGGCTGCCGCGAACGTCGATTAACACTTCCTGTGCCTGTTGGACTTCGTCGTGAAGATGCTACAGCAGCTAGTGCGGCGTTCGTCACATCGTAAGATGCGTTATCTCTAGACACAGATAGTGCACCGGCGATAGATACTCGCTTCCGAGGAGTGTGCGAGGGGGCAGGAGAAGGCTGTCGAGATCTAACCGGTGAAGCGGGAGCAGATATGCGGCGTTCTCTTGTACTAGTGCTTGGAGGAGGCGTTAATGACCGTTCTGGAGATGAAGAACCATATGAGCGAGAGTTGGAATGCGAATTAGAGTACGAGGGAGTTGGAGCGCGCTGACTCTCGCGTTCTGTTTCAGAGCCAGAAAGTGCGCTATCATATTGCAGTGCTCCATCATACTGTCTTGTCGTAAGGGCAGAACGCGAGTGGGAGGAAATCCGGGAGGCTGCAGAAGAGGAGGATGAAGATGAAGATGCATGGATAGGAGGAAGTGGGGATCGAGATGTACGGGAATTTGCAGGAGACGGAGTGCGGGAAAAGGAAGAGAGCTTGTTCAATGCCTGTGTTATGAAACAAAGATAGTGAGGTCAGATAGTATATTTCCATGTATAAAACGCGGAAATCGCCAGGACAAAAAGTGAGGTTAGAGTTGTTGTAATTCACAATAACATGAGACACGTGCAAGTTACCAAGGGCAAGCTCCAATTAGAATGAGCGTCAAGGAACCAAAGGAGCACGTACCATGCGGTTGCGCTCAGCAAGGCTTTTAACTCGTTGCAAGGCCATGAGGTTTTCGTTTGGACTCTTTATTGCATGACTGCGGTCAAGGCGAGCGGTGTCGTCTTCTTCATTTGAATAGTCGTTTTCGTCATCGTCATCGTCGTCAAGATTTCTGGAAGATTTTTCGGATATGCTGGGTGTGTCATAATTACGGTGGGTCATGTTTACGCTACCGGCATACGAGGCAGGTCGCTGGCGTAGACTGCCCGCGGTTGTACTCTTGTTATCACCTGTTGAACCACTTCCCGTTGAATTGGTTGCGGGTGGTGAGGGAAGGCCAGATGAACTTGACACTGCACTTGGGCTTTCTGGAGTGTCAGAAAAGTTAGGAATGACCTGCTCCTTGGGTGGTAACGATCCCAGGAAGATGGCGGATAAAGGACGCCTCGAAGAAGAAATGAGTGGGCGCGGCGTCATCACAGCCTGAAAGGCTAATCATCAACCGCAAAGGGAAAATAAAAGAAACTTGATAGCGTCCTCGCTGTTGAGAACAGCGAGCAGAAATTAGTGATGAGGCAAGCTGGACGCCTTGGGCAGTGACTACAAAGCAGACGGTCCAAGGGAAGCAGTCGTGGGAATTTCAGGGACATACTTATGTCCTGATCCGAATTAACGCCGACGGGAGCGGAGCCGGTAATATATACCAACTCTATCAGCTTGTATGTGACACTGACTCCAACTTGATGGTTTGACTAATCCGTCCGCGTCAGAGACGACAAAGAGAATGCAGCGTCTATGTGACATTCGTAATATACTCAGATGCTGCATCCACCTTGTCCGATCCTCCAGGAGTGACACTATCATAGTGCTACTATTACTTTGCCCTCAATCCGGCCGGACCCGCCGCTGTGAATGAATCATTCATCGACGCTGACGACCATCTCTGATATGACGAACACCGAAGATGATGTTACAGTGAGTGGACGTGATATAAACTGCCTGAAACTGATAACAATGTTTCATCAGTCTGCTCGTGATTATACCATCATTGGAGACGAACTGTATGCCCTGTTTAGAGATCAGGATGATCTACACGCCCTCCAGCTAGCTATTGGTCATTACCACGCAGCCCTCACTGAAGATGTCCTTGATTCCCAATGCAGCAGAAGCGACCAACTTTTGAAGCTGGGCACAGCATTATCTCGGCGTTTCGATCTCGTTGGTGATACTGCTGACTTGGACGTTGCCATCGATTGCCACAGTGTGGCCATTGAACTTCAAACGCCGGATAGTCTTGATGTCCCCATCACGCACGTCAAGCATGCTCAAATGCTTATGAAACGCTTTGGGCTCCACGTAAACCAGTCAGACATTGATCTCGCAATTGAACAATACGCATGCATCTCCAATCAAACCGATCCTGCACACGAAGCATGGCTGGTTGCCCTCGCCGATGTACTGGTCACTCGCTTTTCCCACTGGGGAGACGTCAGAGACCTTAGCCAAGCTATCCATCTATACGAATCTGTAGTCAACTTCGATGCCTCCAACGCACTCACTTCTGTGCTTGGTAATCTATCCCTTGCGCATTTTCTTCGCTACCAACAAGAAGGTGATGCTCCAGATCTCACATCATCCATTGTCTACTCTACAGAAGCTCTCGATAAGATATCCTCCGAAGATCAAAACCGTTCCGTCTTGCTCAATAACCTTGCGAACGGCTTACTTTTTCGCTTCAAAAAGCTCGGGGGCACTGATGACTTGGAGCAAGCCATCAAATCCTATGGTTCTGTCATTGAACTATGTCTACCGGGGCATAAAGGGCGTCTCCGTGCCCTGAGTAATCTTGCAAGTGCAATAATGACCCGTTACGAACTCCAAGCGTCTCTAGTAGACCTTGAAATCTCCTTAGGTTATTTCCACGAAGCGCTCGATATCTGCCCCAAAAACCATCCAGATCGCCCCATATTGCTCGATAACCTTGCGACTACCCTCCGCAAGCGTTTTCAACACACCGGTGACATAATTGACTTGGAAACATCCATCGAAAATCATTATGAAGCACTACATGTATTGCCGCCGTCTCATCCCCATCGATCTGATACATTATGCTCGCTTGGCAACGCCCTCCAGTCCCGATTTGCGTTTCAGGGGGATCCTGATGATCTCGTTGCAGCTGTAGACCGCTACAGTGAGGCTCTCCGCCTGCAACCTCCATCACATCCAGAACGCGCTGACTTGTTAAACAACATTGCCAACATCGCTTTCAACCTGTTTGACGAACAGAGAAACCCTCGTGATCTCGACCTGTCCATCGAGCACTACTCTGAAGCGCTCCAGTTCAGCCCAGAAGGGTTTCGTCGGTCGTTGTTACTTCACAATCTCGCTTCATCTCTTACGACGCGTTTCATATACCGCAATGATGCCAAGGACCTGGACCGGGCATTGGAGCTAGGTGCTTCTGCATTGGAACTACGTGAAAGAGGCAATGAATACAGATTGTCCTCTCACGTCATGCTAGCAAACGCAAAGGGCCTCAAATACGAGCTTGAAGGTGATCCTGCCATGCTTCAAGCTGCATTCCAACATCTTGACGAGGCACACGGTATGTGCACTCCTGGCCACCCGTCCCTTCTCGACATCTGGGAAGAGTATTCACGTATCCACCTTCATGCCTACTCTAAGGCACCGCAATCCACAATCCACTTGGAGGAAGCATTTCGGTACTTCAGAAGTGCATCAACTCACATATCCGGAGGCTCGCTGCCAAAATTCCGCGTTGCGTTACGATGGATCAAAGAGGCGGAGATACACAAGCACCCATCAGCACTGGATGCCCACCAGATCGCTTTGAACATATTCGACCGCCACGTCACGACGAAGCCATCTGTTGAATCACGGCACCGCATAGTCCGTGAATACGCAGCCTCTTTGGCTGTAGACGCTGCATCGTGTGCTCTCAGACTTGGGTTGGTCACACTCGCTGTGGAGATGCTGGAACACGGACGAGGTATTTTATGGACATACCTCGGGCGTTTCCGGACGCCGCTGGATGACTTGCAGAGCGCCGGTGAACATGGCTGTCAACTAGCCTCTGAGTTTGTAAGGCTAGGCTCCCTTCTCGAAGACGCAGCGTGTGGTGCTGTGACTGAAGAGGGATTACAGCACTACCGAAGTCTCCTCCGGGAATGGGACGGTGTGGTAGATCAGATCCGGCTCGTAGATGGGTTTGGCGACTTTCTTCTCGCACCGAGCTTCTCTAAGCTTAAAGAAGCAGCAAAGAATGGACCAGTGATCATCACCAATGCCAGTCAATACTCCTGTGATGCAGTGATCGTCCATCACGAGCACGACCCAATCCACATCCCCCTACCCGACATCAACACATCTGATATCCTTCGATTGTCTGAACAGTTCAGGTACTTTGCTACCAATCGCGGCAGAGGACGTTCCGCAGAAAGGGAGCTTACTGAGTTACTACGTCAAACATGGGACACTGTCGTCTTTCCTGTAATCAAAACACTAGAATCCTCTCTTCACCTTCCCCAAGGTTCAAGGATATGGTGGTGTCCCACTGGTCGTTTCAATAGCATCCCGCTCCATGCCGCAGCGCCGTTCCGGAAAGGCGAGAAAGGTCTGCCCAATTACTATATTTCATCATACACACCGACCCTTTCTGCCCTCCTGCGGTGCCAAAAACTACGTCACGTTTCCAACGATAAGACCCCGCCACGGATCTTGGCAGTAGGACAGGCAGCACCCACTGGTGGTTTTGCAAAACTCGGGACGGTTGATGAAGAACTCGATTCGCTTCAAAGCATCTTACCGCCCGTCATGTCTATGACACGAATGACTGGTGAAAGCGCAACACGTTCAGAGTCCCTCCGCGCTATTCATTCAAGCCCTTGGGTTCACCTTGCCTGCCATGGGAAACAAGATGTGACTCGCCCTCTCAAGTCATGCTTTGCCATGAGCGATGGACCTCTGGCGCTCTTGGACATCGTTCGCGCACCATCCGATTCCTCAGAATTTGCATTCTTGTCGGCGTGCCACACCGCCGCTGGAGATAATAAAGCCCCAGACGAAGTTGTGCATCTTGCTGCTGGGATGCAGTTTGCTGGCTTTAGAGGAGTTGTTGGAACTATGTGGGCTGTGGATGATGCCGTCGTGGTCAATATGGTCTCGGCGTTTTATGAAGCCCTCCTCGAAAGATCACCAGACGGACTAAAGTCTGAGCATGCAGCAGTGGCTTTAAATACAGCCGCAAAGAGAGTGGATAAAACCGTTGTTCCACTGCAACAAAGGATTGTGTTCATCCATATTGGAATATGACTAGAGAGATGCTCGAGGAAAACGTACATACCAACTGAAAGGCTAGATACAAATACGCTGTATTATTTACGACTCCTAGAGGCGACACGTTTGCTTTTTCCTGGCCTCTTACTACCTCCTGCTCCCCCTCGTCCTGCCTTTGACCCATGACCACCTCTTTTTCCTGGTGCAGAATCAAAATTGTCGGTAGAGGCTTTGGTGTTTTGTTTTGACCTCCGGCCTTGACTACCAAAGCCGAATTTTTGATCGCGTGCATTACGCGTTATTTTCTTCCCACCAGGGCCTTTGGCATGCTTAGCAGGCCTGTCAGCAATGGCGTCTTCAACCGCGATATCAAATGCATCGCCATCCGCGCCATCTGCCTCAGCATTTTCCAGGGCACCTTTGCGTTCTACGAGGAGATTAGTCAGTTGATTGTCTCAGCAGAAATACAGACATACTTCTTTTGAGCCCTTTAAGTCGCTCTTCCATGTCCTTCTTGCTACGTTCTCTTTCCTTGAGCTTCTCCATCTGCACCTGCTTGCCAAACTTCTTCCCCTCCCTCTCTCTTCTCTTCTCTTCCGACTTCTTGATCCCGGCACGTTCATCGAGTAACCGTGAACGAAGACGCTCCATGTGCGCGTCGGACTTGACCATCTCTGCAAAATAATCTGAAGGGCGCGTAAAAGGCAGAGAATGAGAGGCAGCAAGCGTGCGGGCAGTATTAGCAGCATGTAGTGCTTGTTTATAACTAGATGCAAAATGAGCTTTTGTTAACGAAGCAAAGTAGAAAGTGCACTAACAACGCAAGCTCGCGATTGAGGTCGTCATCTACATCGACCTCTATTACTTGAGGATACGATATGACGAGGGTTTCTGTCCACGATAATGATGGGTCGAGTCGAATTGCCTCTCTTATACGACGAAGAGCAACCTGCAATGGAAAGTAATTAAGTTTCGCATGTCGCTTCATCGATGGATAAACACATACGGTATTGTCGATTTCGACTTTTTGTTCTGGAACTACATCTTCATCAACATGACCGTCTTCGAGATCATCAAGTGCCATCACATCTTCTGAACCATCTGAATCTGCTTCACTCTCATCCACAAGATTTTCCTGGTCTTCAACCTCCTCAACCTCCTCACTGTCACCGGCTGAGCCCTCATCCAAATGCGAATGTGCAAGATACGGTAGGTCTGGGTGCATGTTTGGGGCAGATTGTTGGTCATTTTTCAGCCTTCCAGCTCCCCTTCCCTCCGACACGTCATGTGACTTGCTGCTGGCATTAATCTTAGTTATTATAATTATTCTTATTGAAAATAATTAAAAGTCCAGAAAAGTCTGATTCAGTGAGTTGAGGTTTTACTGATGCTAGTCTAGACTTGATGCTTCATGAAGCATCAAGCTACAAGGAACTAAACACATTGTGCATAAAGGTGTGTCTTATCACATACTTGTAAGCTTAAAAATTTGGCTTGAAACGGATGAGACGACGGTTTAATATGGTGCCAGGGGTCCCTCTCTGAGCAAGTTGATGGTGATTCACCACTTAGTAACTGTTCAGAATCACATACCTTCTAAACCAGCTATAACTCATCAACGTTGCAACCAGTTTTGCGTCTTTCGTATCAGTATGCCGACTCTTGTAAACTGGAAGTTTCTTGAGCCTGTACTTCCAGTCTATCTCCATATATGACCGTTGAATCAACTTACCATTGATAACAGATTCGCCTACGGCGCCGTGGCCAATTGTTTGCTGCTGGAGCTTCAGTCGACCCACCTTCCGCAAGCGAAGTTCAGAAGATGTCTCTTCAGCCACCAGCCGATAGTTCTTTCGAAATTGACCCAAGCATTGTCATCAGAGGAACCAATCACCCGGTCGCTTTGGGTAGTCTTGGAGATGTTTACAAATGTACCTTGAACAGGGGCGCAAGTCAGGAAGAAGTACTTCATACATCTACTTGCTCTGAATGTACTCGATCTATAATTTTCAGGTTGCAGTCAAATCTCCACGATTCTCAAGTATAAGTGAAGCTGAAGCCGCCGAAATCAATCGTGTATGTTTGGGTAGCTTCTGAAACTACCAAGTATCTGAAATTCATGTCCTTCGAATGCAGAATCTTGACCGGAAACTCAGTATCTGGGCCATATTAGAGCACCGGTATGTAATACGCCTGTACGGCACTGTAACAGGTTTCGGTCCATTCCGTGCTTTCGTCACCCCCTGGATGCCAAACGGGACTTTGAACTCTTACCTAAATCACGCTAATCTCACAGCAATGGATAAACTTTCCCTGGTGAGCTTGTTTTCAAGGCCTGTGATCATAATTTATTACTTTCTTAACAGCTTAAGCAAGTCGTTGAAGGGCTCAAATATCGTGAGCGGGAATGAATCGACTATGGAAGCGACCAACGTAACTGATTGTTGTACTTGCGGACCAGTTCACGACAGCGACGTGATTCATGGTGACCTAACTAGTGTAAGTTTATTATTCTATGTATCCCTGATCCTCTGATTATGATTGTAGGACAATATCCTGATTGCTGCCGATGGATCGCCACGCCTCGCAGATTTCAGTGTCTCGAATATCATGATAGAGTCTAACCGGGTATACTCCTCCCATTCTGGCGCACTTCGTTGGGCTGCTCCAGAACTCATTATCTCCTGCGAAGGTGGCACCGTGCAATGCGCCACCAAATCCAGTGATATATATTCTCTCGGGTGTCTCATGCTTCAGGCAAGTCTCTTATTTCGCTTGCCTGTGTTACTGACATGGTGATGCAGGTATTATACGGGAAGCTGCCCTATTGGTGGATCAAAACTACCTTGCAAGTTATTCCATGCAAGTCCCATTTTCAAGAGCCCATCAACGACAGCTTGCAAATTCAAGCACATCACCTTACTTACATGCGGCGGTGTTGGTTAATTAATCCTGAATCTCGCCCATCGGTGGAGGAGACTCTAGCGTTTATTGATGGGATGTTTTCATATGTTCATGACTGGCCTTTGTTCTACAACCTTCGAGAACTACCTAACCAGGTTATTACAACATACGAGCATCGTGGCACTGTGGCAGGGGGTCTGGGCGATATCTGGAAATGTAATTGGCGCAAGAACTCGGAGGAAACTGAAGTCAGTGTATTCTTGTGTGTACACAGCCAAAATTCATTCATTTCAGGTTGCGGTCAAATCAGTCAGAGTTCCTCATACAGGCAACCGAGATGATTCAGAAATCGAACAAATCATTAAGGCCAGTATCGAGTTTTTGGCGTGTTGCGCTGGATACAACGGGATTTATCATGCCTCTTATATCATAGATAATTACTCAAGAGGCTGCTGCCTGGGCCAAGTCGTCACACCAAAACATCCTGCCCCTGTATGGGACAATCCCTCACTTCAGACCTCTTCCCGCCTTTATGTCTCCGTGGATGGCCAATGGCTCGCTGACGGACTATCTACGACGGGAGTTCTCCTGTTTGTCAGCAACCAGGAAAATTGATATTGTAAGCCCATTACTCGAGCAGCATGATCGTGTCTGAGCTCGATGGCAGCTAAACCAGGTGGTTTCTGCGCTTAAGCATTGTTAGTGGCATTCTTGAATGTCAGCCTTGGACTTACGGCTGGTTTCAAGTGCATAATGATGGCATCGTTCATGGTTCTTTGACAAGTGTAAATTGTGTGGACGCCAATTATCATGCGCTTACGATACTCACAGGATAACGTGTTCCTTGATGGCTCTGGCAGGGTCTACCTTGCTCACTTTGGCCGTCTCTCCGAGATTTTTGCGCGAGGACAAACCCCTATGTCTGGTTTAGCACATGTGAGGTACATTGCGCCCGAATTCCTCACTCCCATTGTAGATGCAGGAGCCTCGAAATCGAGTAAGGCTGGTGATATTTATTCATTTGGCTGTCTCATGATCCAGGTATGTTCTCGCTCTACTGAGCCCCCATATATCACCTGATATTCTCTAGGTGTGGTTAGGAAAGGTACCTTATTGGTGGATTCGCGATACCGGCGAAGTTCTACCAGAAAGAGTCAAAGGTGCGCAGCCCTTCCAGATGGAACAGGTATGTTTCAAAAATGTGCTCTGTTGGAAGGTTGAAGTTATTAATAAATCGGAGATAAATGAAATGGATTTGACCTTTGGGAAACAATGTCTGTCGGTTGAAAGCGAGGCCCGTCCGACGATTGAGGATGTCTTTTGCTTTTTCGTAGTCCAAAGCATTGGGTGGGTTATCTCCTATGCACGCCTGTTTCTGTACTTAGCGACTATAGTGCGGTTGATTTGACAAATTCTATTAGTCGGATCAATAAATACGCCGCGCACTCCGGAGGATATGCGGATGTCCACAAATGCCGACTTGCCTTGGACTCGACGACCGTGCTTGTACAGCAAACTGTTTCCCATTACCAGGTCTCTCGTGGATGCGTTGATGTGAGTGTCAAACAAGCAATTTCACTTTTCTAACGGTGTCTAGGTCGCAGTCAAGGTGTTCAGGCTGATGGGAGGGATCGAGGCACCTAGAGTGATCAATGTGGGTGAAAATCTTTTGCTTCCTCATTCTAGTGACCGGTTGTTTGCCAGCGATTTTTTCGTGAGATCAAAATATCGTCGACACTTAATCATGAAAATATTGTACCTCTCTGGGGAGTTGCACGTCAATTCAGTGTTCTTCCCGCCCTGGTTTCGCCGTGGCTAAAGAATGGCACCCTGACCGAATATCTGCGGAATCGACACAAAGAACTTTCTCGTGGCCAACAGTTTGCATTGGTGCGCTAAAGTCGTTGTATCATAACAACAGTACATACTAAAGACGCTTTAGCTTAGGGATGTAGCTCGCGGCCTTGAATATCGTTGGTCCAATGTCTGCAATTTATATCAAGCATATCTGACGCGGATCTGGCAGTCCATTCGCAGCTAATTGTCCATGGAGACTTAAGTGGCGTGTGTACACCTTCACCAAGTTTGTGACTACCCAGCTCAAACTTTTTAGTTCAACATCCTTATCGACGACGACGGAAAAGCACGCCTCACCGATTTTGGTTTATCTGTTTTTATTACAGCGAGAATAAGCCAAGCCTTATTACCTATCGCGCCTGGAGGCACCCTGCACTGGATAGCACCCGAATATCTGAAGGCGGATGCCAGTAACGTGCCATCCATGCTCTCTCAAGCAGGTGATGTATACTCTTTCGGAGGAATCATGCTTCAGGTATGTGCGTGTTAGCATTCACACCCTCCAATACTTGATGGCATAAACATACTCTTGTCCCATGTACTCATTCACAACTTTAGGTATTGGAGGGGAAGATCCCATACCACTACATCACCCATACTACTGCTATAGTTGGTCAAATACTACAAGGGATCACGCCTCGAAGGCCGCTTGTACCTGTTATCGTTGATGACGACTGGGATTTCATCCAGAAATGTTGGTCACCACATGCAGCGTCTCGTCCATCTGCCACAGATATTGTTACGGTTATGGAGGCACGGGCTATGATTATCGTGTAACAGCTACTTTCATATCGATAGATTTTGTTTCCTTCACCGCTTTTGTTTACTCCTGGAGCTAAACAAACAATAGGTCATCAGCAAACTACTGGTTCCCCGACTCCCACGTTAGTGGAGGGAGGGCTTTGTCGAACGCAAACGGATTCCCATCACTAACAAGATATGCGAGAATGCTGTGCTGAATTTCATGAACAGGGTAGATTAATCAAGTATTTCAAGGTCAAATTTTCTACAACTGCGTCGGGGACTGGCATGGCTAAGCGCCTACATTAGTATTGCTCCTACGTAAACACAGATCCAGCTAGTGTATCATACGACATTAAGAAGTGAGAGTATACATGGAGCAACATGACATATAATGGGACACACCCCGGAGTTAACATAAGCACAGGAAGAGGATTGCTTCGAAACCGAGACCTCATACAGACGAAGTCTCATTCGACAGTGCTTCTTGAAGGCAACTTATTACTTCTTCTACTGACGGGCGAAGCCTACTCTCCGCTGACCAGCACCGCCGCATTAAATCCAGATGATTAGGCTGAATCTCGATGGAGGAGTTGATGGGCTCTGTGCGTTTGAACTTGGCAGAAAGAACGTGTACGGGAGACTTTAACCACCAGTAAGGGTGTTGCCCATATAGGACCTGCACGCCAGCGATGTTAGTGTCACTAGCCAGCCAACGCGAGACTACGAACCTGAAGCATGATACCGCCGAGAGCATATATGTCGGTAGATCTCGTTGCGCATTGCATGACTTGATCTTCTGGGGGGTCAAGGAGCTCTGGAGCGACCCAACGTACTGCACCAGTGTGGTAGGAAAAGGCAGGATTGGATTGCACCATGATATTGGAGATACCGAAATCTGCAAGACGAGGGGATCCATCCGCAGCAACCAGAACATTATCCTACAATTGACATAAGATGATTCCAGTTGCACGACATGTGTGAACGAACTTACGCTGGTGAGGTTGCCGTGTATCACGCTGTGGTCGTGGACTGCAGAAAACAAAATTACATTTGTGACGTCCATAGTGAATTCATCACTCACGATACTGGAGCCCCTCGGTAATTTGTTTAAGCTATTGAAAACGCAGTAAGTTCTCGTACTCGGCTTCGTGGATAAAACTCACCAGCCGAAGCCTATCTATCATTGAGAGGGTCTTATGTGCATGATGAAGGTAAGAGTCCAAAGTCCCATTCGGCATCCAGGGGGAAACCAATGCGCGAAATGGGCCGAACTGCTCTACAGTGCCATGCAAGGGCAGTACATATTGATGCTTCAACGCGGCCCATATACGGATCTCGCGGTCAAGGTTCTGCATCTCAAAGTTCAGATATGCGGCCGTCAGACTGGACCGCAATATACCTTGTTGATTTTGGCAATTTCACTATCACTCAAACTTGGGAATCGTGGGGATTTAACCGCCACCTGAAGTCACAATCAGGACATGCAGAAAAAGCAAGTCTATGAAATACCTCATCCGAACTTTTGCCGCAGTCCCATATACACCTGTAAACATCTCCAAAACCACCTGAGGCGGTTGGGTAACTGCTTTGCCTGTGGATATCACTTGGTTTGATAGAGAAGGCACTACCACTGTTCCATGTTACAGAGTCCCGCTGAGGTAAAGAAATGACATGGGAGTACTCTGTATCAGAAGTAAGGAGGCGCCCAGCGGAAATATGATCGTCGGAAGTTCTGCTGAGAACGTCCGAGTCGACACTTGCGGAGGTGCTGGCGGAAGGCTGAACAGAAGATGATTGGCCACGTAGTACATGGCTGACCTGTTAGAGTGAGATGGATGGATGCCTCCACGTACAATGTCAACAAACATACAAGATTAAAGAACTGTTGGAGGCGGACGAGCATGTCGATGGGAAATTACAGTGGGAAATAGTCCTGTTCCTCTTATATGCACTAGTGCGACAACATCAGACATTTATCCCACGATAATTACGCTGCGTAGGGTCAAACTGAAGAGTATCAGAGGCAATCACTCAGTACCATGAGGCCACCTCACGTTAAGACCCTCACCGTATGAATTTCACACACCCTAGGGGTATGCTAAATTTGGTAATTTTGTGGTACCCAGAGCGACGAACATGAACTTATCTTAGGCATCGTGTATAGTATATACGACTTTTAGAGAGCTGGCGCCACTACCGCACATGTGACTGCAGAATAAATTTGCCTTAGAAGCCTATCAAACAAACCAATACATTCCTATCGAAAACGGAATCAGCCGCGCGCGGTGATGGAAGCACGTTGAAACAAGACAAGTACCCATTGATTGCAGCTGTCGAAGCTGCATTGGACAATTTCTCCGGATGCCGGCCCTCAACGTTGCAGTGTCAACGTGCACAACACATGTTCATTGGTAACGTGTATTTGGTGTGTAGTCCGAAAGGAGTCACGTCAGTGAATTCGTGAGTCCGCGATATTTAATACTGACTTATTGTTTTTGCGTGTCACTATCTGGCAGTACTAGTGCAGGCCTGCCTCGTTAAAAGAGCACAACCCATGAGTCTACCAATCTAAATGATTCTGTCTTTCTTACCCCACTGCAGGTCTTGGTTAGAGGAGGTTGGGAGGAAGTTGTGGTGGTGGAGAAGCCGCCAGTCTGTCATGATTGCTACCATCGGTGGTAGTGAGATAGACCCCGACAACCAGCAAGTCCATGATCATAGTACCCTGTGACAACGCACGTCCTGACGCGATTTCTAATGCAGCCTACCCGACCTTACAGGATTCGTATCCAAGGAGTTGCCTCATCCAACAGCGCACGGTAGTTTCGGGACTGTGTGGAAATGCACCTACATCGCATCCAACCGTCAAGGCCTGAAGGCAAGCATACTACACGTATGGCTGCCCAGTAATCTGAATCCATCACAGCTAGCAGTCAAATCCCTAAAGATATCTGTCGCAAGCGACGATTCCAGGGCTAAGCTTACTCTGACTCAAGTACGTTCTCAGCTTCCCCTTTGTATGTGATGCATGTGCTCAAACCTCATAACATTATAGAGACTCTTGGGCGATTTCCATGCACGGAGGCAACTGCATCACGAAAATCTTTTGCCTCTGCTCGGTTTCAGTCACGAATTTGGGCTACTTCCGGCGATGGTTTCCCCCTGGGTACACAACGGCTCACTCACCACATATCTTGAACGTCATTTCACAGAATTGACTATCGAACAAAAGCTCCGGATCGTGAGTTGTCTTTCAGAAGCGCTCGTACATCATGGTATTCATCGAAACCTTAGTTGCGGCAAGTAGCTGCAGCTATCAGCTACCGTATGTGTAATATTCAATAGTTTGTGAAAACAACGAGTAATGGCATTGCAGTCCACTCGAAGGGCGTTGTCCACGGCGATCTTACTGCCGTACGTACTAGTTGCCTGATATCCGCCTTCAAGTCCTGACCTGGAACGCCAGAATAACATTCTGATAGATTCGGACCGCAATGCCCACGTAGCAGACCATGGAATTCTCACGATGTGTTCTGAGCTCTCAGGGACTTCATACATCAGAAGCAACGTGCGGTGGGCTGCACCAGAACTCATCGAGGTGCCCGAAAACGAAGAGTCGTTGATTCCACGGCCAGCGAGCGATATTTATTCTTTCGGATGTATTATGCTTCAGGTCCGAGGTATTCCATAGTAGTTGCGTTGGTTTGCGACTAAGATCCCATAGGTTATGACAGGTCGACGACCCTATGCAGATGTGCAACGCGATCATGAAGTTATTGCCCTGATACTCAAGGGTAAGAAGCCTACAAGACCATCGAGTCCGCACGATGCGGATTATTTTTGGGATTTAATCGAGAAATGTTGGGGTGATACAGGACGTCGCCCCTCTGCCGTTGATGTTCTTAACAGGATCAGATGATCAGTGCACTATTACGATTGGTTAAGAACTGATCGATTTTATCTTACATAATGTATTTACATAATCATTCCTACCTCATAGGTAAACGCGTACTCCGTCAGCAGCCAACGCTGATTTTGTACAGAGGGAATATTGTGGGTGCGTGGAGAGATAGAGTTTAATATTTTAGTTGCCGGAGAGAAGAATAGGTGCCTCTGTACCACAGGGAAGAAGGTAGGCAAACACCTCTTCAGGCACCGCTTACCACCTTACATCGCTTACATCCTTAGTTTGTTCCGTATCTTGGGGCATGAGTCACATTGTATGAAAACCTCACGGTGAGCACAGCGCAAGCGGTTGCAGTGTGTCTTCATCTTGGAACTTGTCATACGTGGGCACGTTTCTTTCAGATCCTGTGTGAGCGTTAAAGATCAAGACGCCCTACATACCCAAAACCTGCGGAAGTCGATCAGCGGAGCAAAAGAGATAGTGCCAGAACCAGTTGACTATAGTCAGACTGGTTACGAGTCTATCTGCAAGTAACATGCAGTAATGGCACCAGCTCTTAGAAGAAGACAAAATGATTTTTCTAAGTCATATAATGAATGGCCATGCCGCCGGCGCCGTGCAGGTTTCTGAGTGCTCGGAAGTAAGTATACAACAATATCTTTTTCGTGTCTTTGCACTCAATATATCTATTGAAAAACTATCTGTCGTCAGCGAAAAGATGAAGTGCGCTTTCTTTCAGGTCGAAGGTAGCAGAGCCCTGCAGAGCCTGTCCTAGCCACCCAATCGAAGCTATTCCTAATCGTCATACTAAATTTATGTAAATACATTATTGTGCTTCGGGCGCTCAAAGAATTCACACACTGTTACCGAGTTCCTCCATCATGGACGTTTCAGAGATAAGACAGACTGTCGACCGCTTCCGAATTCTCATCATCGGAAGAGCGAATGCAGGAAAAACCACCATCCTCCAAAGGATTTGTAAGACACGGGAGAACCCAGAAATATATAACAGCGCCGGGCAAAAGGTGCGGTCCATGATACCAGCTGCACTACTAGGATGATTATAGATTAACTGATGAACATCGGAGATCAGATCGAACCCGCCGTGTTGATGGCATCTAGAGAGGTAGGGCATGTTCTTTGTTGTTGGTCACCTCATTTGACGAGTTTTAAGCGGGGAGTGCACAATATCGAGAATGAAATGATGTTTCGAAATAACCCAGGGTTCGTCTTTCATGATTCGTGTGGGTTCGAGGCAGGAGGACAGTCCGAATTCGATGAGATGAAGGCTTTTATCGCAAGTCGTTCTAAGGAGGGACGTTTGAATGATCGAATCCATGTCATATGGTAATCGGTCAATTTTTTGGCCTGCGCTATCTCACATCTTTGACATAGGTACTGCATTCCGATGGATGAGGATGGCAGGTGTTTCACGGAAGGAGAAGTCAAGTTTTTTTCTCAGTGTGACACTGGAAGCAGTAAGCCCTTGTGTTTGCTGTTGTGTATCATCGACTTATTCCCATTCTTCAGTTGCAGTAATAGTGTTGTTCACTAAATTCGATGCTCTCTACGACGATGAATTTGCAGAGCTAACAAATAAGGGAGTATCGAGACAAGATGCTAAAACGCTGGCCCCGCAGCACGTCAAAGACGCATTTGCCAATGGGCCACAGGTACAGCTTTTGTACAGCCGCAAGGGCAACCAACGTCCTCCAAGATGTCACATATGCCTGCCTGGTAAGTTTGACTAAATTTCGAGCTAATAGTCGATTTACTCTTATATCTTCTCTCCGACATTTAGATATGGACAAAGACGATGCAGACTGCGGGGTGCTTATCGAACGCACGGCTGAAATTCTGGACGATGAAACTCTCAAACAGCTGTTTGTCTCAACTCAGCGGACCAACTTGGAGGTGTGCATGAGATATGCACTCAAAATGTAACTCCTCAAACCTCACTTATCTGTGGCGAGAGATCATTAACTGTGTATTAAGGACACTTGCACGGCATCTCGACTTCTCCCAAATAATCTCATCGCATATACCTGGGAAATCCGGCCGCCAGATTATAAATGATTTGGGTTTATGGTTTCCATATACCTCAGTAAGATTGTAGGAATTTTTGAAAAATCATTTATATTCGACGCTTACTTTTAGGCAGTACTAACATCTGATCATCTCTGCCAGCATGCTGACCTAAGGCATTGTTGATCCATCGACAGGATGTGAGTGTGTTGATCCTCTGTCGAGTTTGAGCCTTGCTGATCGAGTACATATATGATTCCTTGACAGGGTGTAAGTGTGTTGATCATCTGTCAAGCTCGAGCCTCGCTGACCGAACACATCGCCGATCACTTGACAGTATGTGAGTGTGTTGATCCTCTGTTGAGCTCGAGGCTCGCTGACCGACCACGTCGCCGTGACAGGGCGTGAGTGTGTTGATCATCTGTCAAGTTCGAGCCTCGCTGACCAAATACATCTCTAATTCCTTGACAGGGTGTAAGTGTGTTGATTATCTGTTGAGCTCGAGCCTCGCTGAACGAACACGTCGCTGATCCCTTGACAGTATGTGAGTGTGTTGATCATGTATCGAGCTCGAGCCTCGCTGACTGACCACGTCGCCGATTCCTTGACAGGGTGTGAGTGTGTTGATCATCTGTCGAGTTCGAGCCTCGCTGACTGAACACTGATCCTTTGACAGGGTGTGAGTGTGTTGATCATTTTTCGAACTCACGCATTTATGACCGAGCACGTCCCTGATCCCTTGACAGTTGGTGAGTATTTCGATCCTCTGTCGAGCTCGAGCCTCACTGACCGAACACGCCGCCGATCCCTTGACAGCATGTGAGTGTGTTGATCCTCTGTCTAGCGCAAGCACTGATGTGTTGATAATGACAGTATGCAAGTAGATTTATCCTCAGCCATTTCTGCCTTTTGATCACAATCCATCAGCGTCACCGCCAGGAAGAAGATGAGATGTGGTCCACGTTACGATTTTCGGCATGTCCCATTGCTCACAGCCCGTCCGCATAATTCTCATCTCAAAGGCTTGCTAGCCCTCTGGGTCATCGACATTAGAGAAAATTATGCAGCTTGGTTCTGGTAAGTTTTTACGCCACATCGCCATGAATCTACTGATTATTGATCATAAGCTGCCGTTATTATCTTCGAAAACGTTTTCTATCTTTGGGACCAACAACGCTATAAACTTGGGCTTAGGCAAGAGTCCGTTCACCCTGTTCGTGTTGCCCTTCAGCAGTACATGGCGTCTCCCAATGCAGCTGCTGTGAGGGAAGCCGTGAGCTCTGCCGTCCACACATATGAAGCAAACTTCTCTCGGTGGATAGCAGGGTCATCTAGACGCTCTCAGAATAAGCGGGACTTGATCGAGACAATTGCTGAAGTTATTTTACAGCACCGCCTGCGTATGTGATATCTGGTGCAGTTGTCGCAGTCCTGCTGATCTATTCGTATTCAGCAAGACCTGAAGTATAAGCAATATGACGATATCCGGAAGATTGGGCTCGGTGAATTGCGGTTTCTTGACTGGCTGGCGGCATGTCTGTTGAGGCGGTCAAGGAGGTGGAACTGTATAAAACGTCGTATGATCAAGCAATTGGCGGTTTTTTATGGCGGACGTTGAAAGGTCGTCACGATGGACGACAACACTAACGGTGTTTCGGACAGCGGTGAATGGAAGAGCGTATGGGATTCCGAGAGTACAGTAAGAGATGATGTCTCTGGGCGCATGTATGTATCTATATATACGTAGGAAGGCATCTGCGGTGTCCAATCATCAAAGGCGTACAATCTGTGTCATCTGCTGCGTCATATATAGGTAAACGTGTGATAGACGACGTCCTACTTATTTCATTGTAACTTTCCTCAAAGACAAGAACTGTGTATTTTCACACCATTACTCTTGGGTTGGCTAGATCGGCGGTGGCATGGTAGTATAACAGCGATGTGGTGGGGTGGGATTTCACGTTATACGTCCTAGTGCATCACTGTCAGTTGCATGGATCGACGGTGGCATTGCTACAAAATGTGTCAAAAGTACATTCTCAGCGTGAACTGGTGCGCTGTCGGTAGCTCTCCGACCGACTCAATCCTTTACTCTAATGGTATACCTTCTTCGACCGTTTCGACTCTCGAGGGCTTGCTCAGAGCCTTTGCCACATTGACACAATCCTTGACTCCACGACGCAATGATGGAATGCGGACACATTATCCGCCGCATGACCTCTTAATCCATAGCCCAGTGTCAAATACGCTTTGAAACCCTACCATATGGAGCGCATGAAAGTGCATGGTGTCATGTCCTTCCATCCCACTAGATCTATGGCTCACAGCGAACTCGGGCAGCCGCTCCACTTTCGCTAGGGTCTGTGCTATCTCCAACAGGGACATCGTCTTGTCATTCAAGGGAAAATGCAACTCGAATAGGGAGTCTCGAAGTTGGGCTTCAATACTCTGGAGGTAAAGTGAATCCATGGCTGTTCGCGAATGGCGCGAATGACATGTTTGTACATTGCGTTGGTGCCCGTGATACAAGTCATGGGAGTCAGAGGAAGCACTTTGCGTAGCAGGTCGATGTCCTCCATCCTCTCCTTACTGTGAATAGCGGTGAATGTAAATGGTGCAAGAACTAGAGCGGAAGGCGTCAAAGATTTCCTTTGAGAAATTTGGTCAAGAAAGGTGTGAATGATGACCAGCGCGGTGTGGCGCTTCTCGATAATATGCGATGTAGCGGCTGAGTTCGTTGGGATCCTCATACTGCCTGAAGTATATCTCCAAGGCAGAAGCGATATTACGTAGTATGACAGGCTGTGAGTAGTCTTGAGAAAATAATGCTAATGCGTCAATTGAGAGCTGTTTTGAGATCTGCTAGTTCTCCTTGTAGCTCGAGAGTTAGATTACGGTTCTTGATCGCGATGTGCAAATCAGCCATATGTCCACACCATCGAAATCGGAGTAACTGTGCATTTCCTAGATGATCAAGATGCCCTTGATCAGGCTGTCCTTCCGAGTGGATGCAAGCAGTTCGATAGTGGCGAATGCCAAGATCAAGGTCAAATGAATGACCCCTGACGTTTGGAATATGCGAGCAAAACATTGGCGAGGTTGTTGAGTCCAAGGGTATGGTAGGGATGTTCTTGAGAACACAGATCGAGTACAGCCTGCTAGTACCTTCTGGCTGTCTCAAGATCATCCGCGTCTCTTTTCTAATGAAAACGCTCCAACAAGCCAGCCGAAAGGTTGCGAAGAATTTGTGGTCGGTCAGGGTGAGATGTTGGAAGAAGGTGAAGCGCAGCACTAGAATATTGAATGAACAATTCGAGGTCGTCTAGTGTGGTGGGGAGCTTGGGGCAAGGGCCATTCGGGGGTTAGGACAGAGCGGGTGTAGCGCAAGAGGCAGACCAGGGCGAAGCAGAGGACGGGAGTCAGGGGTCTGGGGTGTCCGGGGTCCAGAGCGTACACGCACATGCACACACAGTTGTTGTTGTAGACCACAGCATAGCAGCATCAGCTTCTTGTCAGCTTCACTCCCTTCTTCAGAGAGCAAGGCTGGCGGGTTCACTAGCTCGTGAAACTGCTGGAAGCGGAACTGAAGGACGTCGGCAGGGTTGTTGAGGGGAGCCAGGCGTTCGTGAGGATACGATAAGTCAACGACCGTCTGATATTGCTTGATTGCATGCTCAGCATCTCTGCAATACTCGAAGCGCGAAAGGAGAGCACTGGCGTATTTCTGATGAGGGCACACCTGGCTGGGTGCTCGAAGGGACATAGAGATAGTGCAGCAGCGAAGTTATCGTTGGCAAGGTGGATGTCATCGAGCGTGCCTTCTTTCAAACGAATAAGAAGAGCTATGGCAAAGTCCACAAAGGTGATCGCTCGCATTAGATATCCAATTGGGCGACTCGGAAGAGCAATTCTGCAGGGTGACATTTCATGACATATGCATTGCAGATCTGTACGACTGCCCTGTTGCTGAGAGCGCACGACCAGAATATCGCCCAGTAATTGGCCACAACCATCGGAGGACAGATCCGAGATCACGCCCAGCGCTCCAAGGTAGTGTGATAGCAGGTCCAGGTCTGAATGGTTTCCTTGCAGAACCTGCGTACAAAGCTTGTGGGCTCATTGCAGGAGCTGAGGGTATCAGTTTTGCAACATGGCACTAAAATGTATAGTCAGAGCCTAGTACCTCATCGATTTTCTGCGATGCGGGATCTCCAGATGTAGGCTGTCTTGACATGGAGTGTAGTGAATACCAAACTGTCGTTGTGCTCAGCTGGTGATTGTAACAAGTAAGTGGTAAATCATGATACAAAGGTTAGCATGGATATTGTGAATGTTTACCTCAGTGTTGTGGTCTGCAGAGTGTATCTGCGGGTGGGTCATCTCAACTGACAATGGGAGTTTCGTCTGTCTGGCATGAATTACAACATGCATACCATAACGACATCGTGCACCGACCGGTGACAGCTTCCAATTTGTGACTGCTGAACGTCTGCTCGTGAGCAAGGTTCCTCGTATTAGGGTAAATAATCTGAAATATAACCAACGCGGTACTGCACAGCGATGGTCGGGTGAGCCAAGATGTATGAAACTGATGCTGACGATATGCCTTCCGATCCTGCCCCGGCCATCAGGTACCTGTCAAACGCATCGTGCAGAAAAGACTGAGATACTTAGATCAGGTGCATCAGGAGCGTATGTCACGCCCTGATTACTCAGGGTCGCTCTCATCTTCTCGAAAATGCATGATTTGGACCGACATACAGTGCTGATCTGCCTGCTGACGGAGCATGCCCAGGTGTTTCTGAGCACTCCCAAGTCTGAACCCTGGTTTCAAGGGGCCAGTCCCCTCTTGTGTGCGGATGTGCCGCAGACTGGCATGACGTGAGTCATTCGTTTCGAATGTAATTGAAATGGTTGCAGAACTGATGAGACAATATCATCGGCCAGGTATTCTTGTACACACCGAATGGAGCTTCCGAGTCAGAGAAGCATTAATATTGTCGGTCTAAACAATACAAGCGTCACAGCGAGAGGACCAGAAAAAAATGGGCTTCCTTCCATGGGAAGTAGCGCGGTAGCGAACCTGCAGTATGGAGAAGTGAAATGCACCTGTTCCCTGGATACTCGGTCAGTTGGTCACTTCGTGTGAAGCATGATCTATTGCACCAACTTGAATGATTGTCCCGGCTAAGACACCTGCTCGATCACTCTGAATTTTTCCAACTTTGCACCTTGGTCAGGTTCCACAATTTGACAAAGTCGGTTGGGTTCCGTACCTTTTCTTGGATCCGTTTCGTGCATTTTCGGTATGGCAGTGCCATCACTTTCTGGACCATAACCAAAGTTCATTGCCCAGAATGCCCTGTGGCGTCTAGATGAAACATACATTGTTGCAGCTCGTTACGATGCGAAGTAAGGAACCCACATAATTACGAGACTTGTTTATGCTCATCTCAGCGTTAACGCACCTCCGGTATCTTCCATTGCCACTAGGGTTGTTAGTCTATTATGTAACGAGGTACCAGCGGAGGAATAGAGTTTTGTCTTCGAGCGAGCGGCTGACGCTGGCACTACTCCTCTGTCTCCGTGCCACATGTGACATCCGTTCGTACTCGGATTCTTCGCTTTTCTTAAATCTGCACCACAAGGGCCCGAAGGACTCCTAAGGTACAGTCGCAGCGAGGAGGCCCTCGAGGCCGGAAGACGACGCGAGTCCTCGCCCGAAACCTGTCGTTGCAATTTCCAATGTAGCATTTCGTTTAGAACTCGGCAGATACTTCGTTCTTCGTAAACTCACAATACAACAACCTTCCCTTGCCTCAAAACACGTCTGACTGAACCTCGATATTCAAGATGACTTGGCTGATATCCTTCTCCTCAACATGATTAGTTTAGGGATTACCTGCCTATTTGCAAATGCCTAAGAGCGGCCGAGATGCGGCAGGATTACCTTCGCTACGGTCTACCTGGTGAGAGGAGATTGGAGAGTCCAAGTACGCAATATATATTGTGAACATCAGCATAGCTATTGAATTGAAGAAGACTCTCAAGACCCGGCGTGTTTGAATGTTGTAACAGGACAGGCATCGTCGTCCGAGCGGAAGGTAACAAGCTTACGTTGAAGGCACGGGAAGGTAGGCTGGTGGGACGATTTGGATTTCGCATGAAATAAAGGTGACCTGAGGAAATTTTATGTAATCGCTGAATAATCTTTGTTTTCCCATGATAATCCCCTCCCTCGACCGTTAACATTAACCAACGTATTTCAAATGTTCAAACTTTGGACCCTGCGTCCAACCCTATTGACAGCGACTCATCGGTCCTCAGTACTCAGTCCTTAGAGAGTTGGTTCCTCGGAAACAGATCTCACATGACTTGGGCGGTCACGGTATGTACCGACTCTGACTTGAACTTGTCTCATTATTATCGAAGCAAGAATGAGCAGTTCAATACTGTGTGCTACCGCTTCGTGTCGAAGATGTAATCTTTCTCGATCTCCTCCGGATTACAGAGTCTCAGTTTCACAGGGGACAATCGTCGCAACTCGCTGTCGTGAATCATGATATTGCTGGTACATAAGTATCCATTCTTATTGCGCCCATCATTTGACATCTCCCTGGCATAAGATTCCCTCATCAAAAGTAGCTCTCAAAGTGCAGTGGCCACTTATAGAACTCAACAAACCAAAGGATCCCATTTATTCGCGCGAAATATACCCAGAATGGCAACAGCTACTCTACCGTAGCTACGACAATGTGCAGCCTCTCGCAGCGCACGACTACTGATTGACAATATTAAATTGTGGTACCATGATGTACCACTTGTCATTGTCTTCACGAATGACCGCACTGATTCCTCATAGTGACGCAAGTTCAGCGTTACTCGGCAAGCTTCACTCAGGGCTGGCAACCCTTACTATGCCTCACGGCTGAGTCGTCACGACCTGAATATCTCACTCAATTCTTACTTCCACACACAGTTGACAACTTGGATCAATGTTTTTATCATGCAGTTTTCATTGCGAGGTTGAATGTCTGATTTTTATTAAGAAATGGTAAACTTCACTGAAAGCTGTCCAAGTCACGCTGGTGACAGCCATCCGAGCGCTGCCGTACTTGGCGGCTGAAAGCAGCAGCAGTGACAATGCGTGACCTGACGACTTATGGGGGTGACGACAGGACCCATGGGAGAACTAGGTCAGCGGAGGCCCTAACTTGTCCGGACAAATTGGGGGTATTTCTGTCCGGATGCTGACCTGGGTTTACCTGAGAGCAAAATTTTGTCCGGACTCTGACCCAGGTCCACAACAATCTCGGAAACGCATTTTGCATTCAATGGAAACTCAGGTGGACACCCAAATTGGACGTTTGGTGTCAACACGGGATGTTGACCTGGGTGAAATGGTCTTTTGGGTCAATTTCTGTCCGGATCCTGACCTGGGTCCCATAGGGATTCTCATGGGTCCTGTGACGACCCAGCCGTGAGGCATAGTAAGGCCCCGCTCGGGAACTGAGTCCGGTTCGTTTTTCGCTGGTCAGGTTCAATTGATGCGAGACCAAATTAGACCATGAAAATCTGTCAAACCAGGCAGTTGGTTTGATGACACTGCAGAACATTGCTTTGTCAGCAGTTTACCGTGACAGAATCATATTCGGATTGGAGCTCTTGTCACTTCGACCCTTTCAAGTTGTACACACAGGAGGGGATCCGTGCGCAAGGTTCGAACATGGTCATATATGCTTATGCCAGGCCATCTGTGAGTGCATCCCTTCTGTGCAAGTGCTAGCGTGCGAGATGATGTACTTCGTAATCACGGAGTGACTCATGACGTCCCAACAGACACCATACATTTGTGGGACTCAGTCAACTAGCCTGCGTAGCCCTGCACGTTTTTATCGCTGCCAAGAAATAGCGTGAGTATAACCCCCGATAATCAGATAATATAGGAGATACACACGAAGGGTCTTCCTGCGTCACATATATAGCTGGTCTTCAACATTTGCATGTCAAGATCATCCTTTCCCGTCATCTAATAATGACATCCAAACAAGGTGAGTGGAAGTCATGTAGCCGGTGTTGCATCTTTTTGTTTATCATCCTTTGCAAAGTCTCGAAGTCGATATCGATACCTCATATGATTGCCATGCTCTGTACCATTTTTAGGCTTGTTTACAGAGGTTGGATGCGTCACTTGTGGTGGGAAGATGCATGGGCAGCATGTTCACTGATCTCAGATGGTAGAAATTGCGTTGCATGCTGCATGATCCCGTAACTAACTACTGTATCCCCAGTTATTTGCCTGCTATGCATCTGGATCCATACCTCGATAAGTTGTGAGTGTTCGTCTTCGCGCTCCAATATTGACCTTACTTTTATGTCAGTCCCTGCCTGGATCTTCTCTGTGGCTTTCACCTCCGTTGTCTGGTGCGCATCGTAGCTAATTCGGTTATGTTTCGAACTCATTAGTCCAGGGCTGCGCGTATGAGCATGATTTTCTCCATCATCCGAATTGCCCGCCCCTCAGGTCACAAGTACCAGAAATGGATCACCTATCTCATCACAGTATCCTTCGCATGTATGTGGGCCGTAGTACTGGTTTCGAAGGATAGCACGTGCGTCTTCAAATGCCAGAAGACCATGTCAGTAGCGCTCGTGCAATTGATTAGTTGGTTCCCCTTTCTACTTTCTATACCTTTTATGGACCTCAAGTTCTTGGGTTCCTGCAGCGGATGTCGTCGCGGATGTTTCCCTCATTCTTGCGCCTCTGCTGTTCTGGAAAAATACAAAGCTCTCAAGCAACCACAAAATATTGATCCTCTCCCCATTCTGCGCATCGCTTCTTATCACTGCCATTACAATCCCCCATTCTGTAATGCTCTTCCACTCCGCCTCAGAAACGACGCTCATCATCGCTCACGTCAAGGTATGCGCACACTTACTTGCATTCCTCTGTAAGATCTGACAGATCTTAGGCCGCCCTCAGTCTCGTCGTCTGCAACCTCTTGGTGATCGTCACTTCGATATACTGCGTGTGCTGGAAGAGAACGCTTGATCCGGACCAAACAATTGAATCTTCCACAATCTTTACGAGCATTATCACGGCACAAATCCACGTCAGCGCGATTTCTACAACATCACCCCCTGTGTATGAGGAGATAACTCAAGATACTTAACGATGGGTGTTGACTGGGAAAACAGAAGATGAAAGACGCAAATGTCCTTTTTACCAAAGGGTGCGCTAGCACAGAAGGATGGAAAGCAATATTTAGATGATGGCGTTCAGTGATCAGAGTTGCCAAAGAGGATGCGCAAGTGCTTTGTTCACCTTAGAATACAACAGGGTTTTATGTGCTGTAGGGTATTAAGCTTGTGGAATAACTGGGATTTTAATTTATCATGTGGTTTACCTCCTTGTTTAATGTATGCAGCGCGAAACCACATGCTTTTGGGTCATTGTCGTCAAGTACCTCGTTCTTCAGTTTCGCTGCCAGGCGATTGCAACCTCAGCGAACGCATGTCAAGGCACTTCCTCCACTGTACCAAAAACAGATCATCTGATTTTACAAGATGCAAATACAACATGAACGGGGATCATCGCGCAATATATCACAGCACAACGATCGAAGCAGCAATACATGAATCCAATGGTGCTGTACACTTCTGTCAGGACAAAAGACTCTCGTCAATGCACGAACGACCGCTCTCCACCCCTAATATTCCCGGCAGACTCATGCAAGAGCAGCACAAAGACGCCAGTGATGATATACACGACGACACTCGCCCACACTGGGACCCCGCGGTTCAAGACGAGAAGTGCACCGCCGAGTAAAGGGGCGATCATCCCGCCTCTGAGATCGATGCATATAAGTTAGTTAATGTTTTTGGAATAACCAGACGACGATACGTACATTCGTGATAGCGCGGATGCAATGCCGCATGCTGTTCCCCGGACCTTGGTTCCAAATATTTCGGGTGTCCAACTAAGAAGCATTAGTACTATGCACTCGTATCAAGAAACTACTGGAACGTACCCATATAGTACAGCATACATGGTCTGAATCGGTTCTGTAAGAACAAGGAACAGACATATTTCGAGGAGAGCCACCTACCGTCGCACTAAGACTGATCCCCACCGAACTCACGCGCACCAAAAGCGCGCTTCTGACGAGCGCGAACACAACACAAAAGAATGCCGTGACAAACGTGGTTGCAGCCAGCGAGCCCCGCCGGCCAAGAGGACTTTCAACCATATAGGCTCCGAGCTGCAGTCGACCATCAAGCATCAACATACCATGTAAACAAAGCAATGGAAAACATACGATAGCACCAGGACATCCTCCCATAGTGAATATTAAAACATCCCACAGGCTGTGTTCTAGAGACTTGGTCGAAGTATCATCACCCGAGCCAGTTTCGAGCAGCTTGGGGAGATAGACATTAAACATCGTGTACGCTAGGTACTCCACATGAGATACTGATGCTCCGAATGATAAATAGAAAACCCACCTAATGACATGAAAAACCACACGCCCCACATGAGCACCGTCGTCTGGAACCACTCGGGGGCCAAGACCATGCCGACACGGTCTAGCCATGCAAGCAGCGGCCGACGCACCCATCTAGGCAACACGCTCCCAACACGCTGCTTCATCTCAAAAGAAATCACGGATGACGTCCGTGGGTGTATAGTTCCTTGGCGAGGCCGCGGGCGCGCTTCGGGGATGGAGAAAAGGACTTTTGACTCCGACTCCGAGTCTCGAGACGAAGAGCGAGAGCGATGCCCCCGAGCAAGGCTTTTTCCGCGCGGAGGCACCTCGCCAACGGGAGTTATGAACGAATGTCCATCTAATGCATCATGAGTAGCTTCGGCCATCGACTGGTAGACTTTTGTCCCGTTCTGATCGCTCGAAGTGCTACTGTCATCCGCACCTGTATCGGACAACGTCTCGTTATTTGCGCGAGGATCTTGGGAGCTGGATTTAGGGAGGAATGGTACACGCTCCCCTGCAGATGCGTGTGCTTCGGAGGTGGGTGAAGGCCTGTCATCGACGTCTTCTAGCTCAATCGGCAGCTCGGAACCATTGAACTTGGAAATGAGCTGAAGACTTTCTAGTGCTTCTTGGTGACGACCGGCGTGTACAAGGTACCGCGGAGACTCGTGTAATCGGAAGAAGACCATGCGTGCGAGGAACATTGAAAGTGTCTGTGATGAGCAAGGTCGGAGACAGCTATAAATCATCTGAGAGGTGAACATACGATAATACCAAGCGATACGAGCATGAATTTCCAGCCTGTGTTCTGAGTAGCGACATCGCAGGGCTCGTTAGGGGGACAGGAGCGGGAAGGGATGACTATAAGCGCAACGCCCGCAGATAGAACGGAGCCAAGGGAGAAAAAGACGGAAAGGGCCGTGACGAGATATTGTTTCCCATTAGGCATATGCTCGAGAAGAAGTGTGCCGTCGGTTGGCATTGAACCCTAATTGACGCCCGATAAGAATAGGTCAACAAGACGGAGATTAACGTACACCAACTGCGCTACCGAGAAAAAATAGGAGAACACATAATGACCAAAATGACCATGCAAACGATGAGAGGATACCGAATAGGGCAGTGAAAAAGAGTGTTGCGTTAAATGCAGCACTGCGCCCCAGGAGGTCAGAGCAGGTTCCCCAGCCCACAGCACCGAACATCATGCCGGCGAACATGGATGATGAAAGAGTCCCGATGTAGTTGTCAGGAACTAGGCGGGGGTGGGTTATATGATAACCCACTGTGGGCATGAAGGGAATTTACCTGAATAGTGTTGTTGTACTCTAGGGAGAATTATTGCAACAGCTTGAATCCACATCTGGGCGACATGTCAGAGAAGTGGGGAATGTTTTTGCGAACTACTCACATTATCTGCCATCCATCCTGATGGAATATATCATAGTTAGTTATGATTGACAAGAATATCGTCGAATGGCGAGGATTTTTAGCATGGTGCTCACCGAATCCGCATAATGACAGCAACGTCCATTGATAGCTCCCTGCTCGATGTTAGTGCCATATCAGAAACGCGAGGACGCGACGCACCCATCCCAATCCTATCAATAGTTTTATCCAACGGCGTCCGTTTATCATACTCAGCATCCAAATCTACTTCGACGTCATCCATACCCTGTTCCGTGTCCTCAAAATAGGTCATCCTGTCCGCCCAGAAATCTGATACGCGGTAGGTGGCAGAGGCCATCTTTGGCTGCAAGGGTGCGACCGCTTATATATTTAGGGTTGATTACGCGAGTAAGACGCCAGCAAGAATATTGCAGCTTGGCAGATTGCGAAGATGTGTTGCTATATTTGATAGTAAAAGGCCCGTGTGCACCGCACTTAGACTCTGGATGGATGAAACTTGATGGAAGCTTGGCGGATGAGCAGGACTCGTTGATGACGATAGGGAAGTATGAAGAATCTAAAGCAAGTAGAAGAGTGCACTTAGCCTACTAGGTACTTATATGTTGTGCCACATTTGAAACTTGATTTCATTTCGAACTGAAGTTTCATTGAAGTTCTGACCGCAATCGACAAAGGCTGTAACTACGTTTAATAGCAGTCCGTTTCATCCATCTGCAGGTTTAGGTAGTGGCCTGAACAGTCTGAGAAATGTACTAACGTGCACTGTACGTCGGTAGTTCTTCTTGATCTCCACCATCATCTCCGAGCTTCCTCACCTGCCTATCCACCCTCCATCTCCACTCATTTCCTTCCAACCACTTGAAAGATGTACCACCAAAATTTACTGAGACGTCACACTCCCCAGACACACCCACAGCAGCATACACATCAATCCCGCTGCGGTTCTGCAAATATATACCGGTAAACGCATCCGGCAAGCGTTGACCGTCGATCGTGAAGAACATTGTACCTGTGTAAAAAGAATATGCGCAACCGATTGTATGGCCAACGACAGACGTAATAGGTGGGGAGCCCAGTGGGAAGCAGGGACGCCCGCCCTCTGGGTCCTCGAAGAATTTGTGGAAGTCGTCAAGGTGAAGGCCTGCGCTCAATCGATTCCAGCCCGGGAGCCTCCATGATGGGTACGGTCTGCAAGCAGTTCCTGACGGACAAAAAATGAGGTGAGGCGAAAGGAGCGAAAATATGCATACCAATTGCGATTACGCCACCTTTGGATGGGTCTGTCATTTTGTTAACAGTGATCTCAAAGTATACTCCACCATCGTTTGGAAAGTGATATTGACCAGCGACGATTGGCAGGTTGCTGAGGAGACATGTATCTGGGCAGTCCACTCTAGAGCGTATCTGCGAGAGTCTGCCCTTCCCGACTGAATTATGGACTACGGCGACAGAGGAAGAGTCGTGAGCTTGCATTCCCCATTCTAAGCATCCATTGCTGTCGATGTCCGCGATGGTTCGAGAGGGTAGAATTGTTGACGATTCGACAGGATGTCTTTCACAGAACGCGAGGGCTGTTTCGTAACTTTCATCTGAGGCTTCGTTCTGAAGACCGTAAGTGGATGATCGTTCTACTGCAGGTGCCCACTCAGGAGGAGCACCTGGCGGAACCTCTGGGTGCCGGGGAGCACGTCGCTGACAGTGTTGTTTGAACCAGTCCATGCAGTTTGGAGTTGAATGTACGCACAATAGGAGTCACTGCTATTATATCTGAAAGTCGTAGCGGAGTTTGAAAACAGCGTATTGTAGTGGTCTCAAAGTCACTATCAGCAGAGGCCCGATGATCGAAAGGTTTGCATTGGCCATCTGGTGCTTGACTGTACGCCAGCCGATCCATAAATCTAGTATATTAAGGTACTTTAACATTTGATCTTCAGGTATACTGTGAAAATGAAATCTTGCCTACGATTCATTTGCCCCCCATAAGCGCCACATCGCACTCCTAGACTGAATAGACAAATAGAAATCCGAAAAACCAATGCTGCAAACAGTATCGGTGGAGATGGAAGGTCCGCGTAGGTCCAGTTGGTATTACTGGTATGATATATGTTTGACAATCATTGCAGGAGGAAATGACAACGAACTGCGAGCCTCAGTTTCATCTGAGAAACTAGAAATGAGCCTGCAAGACGCAAGATAGGTATCACAAACCTCACCGGAAATCATCCAGGCGTCCCGGGCTACACTGTCCATATTAGTGCCTTTCTTTCCTTGACGATTAATCCCAGAGTCCAACATGGTTGGAAACGACAGCTCGGGGAGCTTTTGCGCTCTAATTGTCAGCAACTTTGCTGCTGATCCTGAATTCGAATAAATCTAAGTCTTCGAAGAACGTGCCTTATGCGGCAGCCACCTCACAGATGTTCACTCCTTCAAGGCTGAGCACATCGTCAACAATTGACGGGTAGCACGGTACAAACGCACGCATCTATGCTGAATCTATCATCTGGTATTTTCTTATAGGCTTGGCGCTCGTCCATTAAGAAGTCGAGGAACGATTGATACTCAAGGTTGCTTATTCCATAGGGAATACTTGGGAGCTGCAGAAATGCCGACCTGGACGAGTGAAACATGTCAGCGCAGTACCCATTAGTGAGAAACAAGCCTACAAGTGCGACAGCGAAGTATTTGTGCGAAGAGATTAAATATTTGACTGGAAGTGGGTCAGGTTGAACCACGAGACTGAGCTCGACGCGCTGCTGACGGAGGCATGGATGGGGTTTAACACAAGGATGATTAGTATGACATGCCTGAGGCTTTGTAGCACAGCGGAGACAAGACTTAAGCTTGACGCACGCACGACAGTTCTTGTCACGGTATCATTAAAAAGATACATACGAGTTGGACTATAATTACAAGAGGGACTCTCAGCGGCGATTCTAGAACGGGGAATACGCATGACATGGCTTGAAGTTGAAGAAGAATTCATGGCAATTCCAGATGTGAGTGACATTGGATTCGTGTCACCCATTCCCTGAGCAGTTCTTGCCACTAGGTCCTTGAGGCGGATTTTAAACCCGGACAGCTTGACGCCAGCGCTGTATTCGAAGTGAGTAAACATCGTCAACATCCAGCGCACGAACGACTTTTCGGCAATTCAATATCCGCAGTAGTGCCAACGGTCAGGCAACGATGCCGACTAAAATTTGCAGGAGGGAGACGACGACGCTGTATTATTGAGTCACCGGGTAAGTATATAGAAATCAAATGCGACGGCGAACAGTTGACTTTGAATTATGTAAATCATCGCGGCCATTGAATCGGCAATTTGCGCAACGGACATTTCATTACACGTTCCGAGTCAGCTCTCCTCCCGAAACACGTTTACACCGGGCGAGTATCTGTGGAGTAGCTGAGGTACTACTACCTGAGTATATGGGGCAAATCGAACGGAGGTACGTTTGTAATTCCGAGCCTATCACTGTCAGAAACTTTGACCTTCAAATTCAAGTTGTTCACATGAAGACTGCCGGTACTCTTTATCGACGAGAGGCTAGCAGCCACCCGCCGAAAGTCATCGAACCTTTTGGTCACATTGATCGCCTGCGGATGATAAATAGGTACATGTGCGATATATAGGCATGGATACAGTTAATAATAATATTGCATTGCAGTGACCATCCGTGGCTGGACGCATTGAGTTAATGCAACGGGACTTCCATCACATGCAGTGCACTGTGCGCCTGATGCGGTGAGCGTTAGCCAGCCATAAATATGACATTAGGCAACAGTACCCACAGGTATGTGAGTGCTAAATATAGCCTGATAGGAGATGACGTGTTGAATCATCTTTTAATCATTCCAAGTCAAAAGCAGGTTGTTGAGACTTATCAATCAGCTAGTTAGCATGTCGGTGGTCCACCGCCTCTTTAAAACGAGTTTATGCTCATGTTGAGCTGCATCTTCCATCCGAGTCATTCCCTCGTACCACCATGATTGCACGGCAGGATGACGAGGAGACACCTCTTCTCCAACGACCAGAGCAGCCAATGACTAGGACACCTCTACCCTGGGACCAATTTTCGATCATACTGTTCTTGGAGATGTTAGATCCTCTTTCTTCACAGACCCTTGCCCCATTTATTCCACAAGTGAGTATATTCCCTTTGCTTGGACTTATATCTGACCACAACTGGAACTTTGTCAAGCTCGTCAGAGACATTGGAGTGACTCATGGAGACGAGTCCCAAGTTAGTCGCTATGCCGGCATCCTTGTAAGCATGTCTTCATCGTTCCTTCCCCTTCATTCGTTCCTGATATTCTCCCGAGCAATCATCGTACTATGCAGCTCATGCACTCACTATTTTTCATTGGAGTCAACTGTCCGACCACGTTGGGCGGAAACCTGTATTACTGATGGCTCTATTAGCAATTTCTGTTTCGATGTTTTCGTTTGGGCTGTCGAAGACTTTCCTTGATCTCGTGGTTAGGTCAGTGTGTTCAGTCAAACATAGAATTGTATTCGTGATCATCGATTCCTGATATTCTTGACTAGTCGTGTTATCTGCGGAGCATTTGATGCAAGCAATGGTCTCCTCAAGATCATGGTGATGGACATCACTGACATAACCAATATGCCCGAGGCATACGGTTATGTACCAATTCCGTGGATGATCGCAAACTCAGTTGGGTAGGCATACATTGATACATATTCCCCTTTCTCTCTCTCTGAAGTTCACGACATCTAGACCACTCATTGGCGGCTCGCTCTCCCGACCAGCAGATAGATTCCCTGACATCTTTGGGCGATCAGAACTCCTGAAAACCTACCCATATCTCCTGCCATGCTCTATTTCGGCACTGTTTGCATTAACAGCTTGGCTAGTCACGTATTTCCGTCTTCAAGAGGTGAGCACGATGCTGAAAACCCATCTCTGGATCACGCTAAGTGTGGTTACAAGAGCGTTTCTACCAAGGCACCGCTTTGGGAGCTAATTACAGGAGGATTCTTCGGACAGTCATGCTCAAAGCCTCGCCAGCCGTCGAGCAATCTTATAGTTAATCCTGGGGAAGCGAATTCTGAAGAAGTCCAATCAAAGCCGCTTCCGCTGCGTGCCTTGCTGACCTCGAAAGTTTCGATCGTGACAGCAAGTTATGCCACTACAGGCCTATTTGACATGGCGTTCAGTTTCATCCTACCTGTTTTCTATGCGACACCGATTGAACTTGGCGGTCTTTCCCTTGACCCTCCTCGTATCGGCGCTTTACTTGCGGCACAAGGCGTCGCACATGGCATATCTCAATTACTTTTCTACGCTCGTCTGCATGATCGCTTCGGTGCAAGAGCTATCCATATCACCGGCGTTACCTCCGGCATACCCACCATCATTTTATTTCCAGTGATCAACGCTCTGGCCCGAGCCCGTGGGATAGGTATGGCTGTGTGGCTGTGTGTTGCCATTCAGCTTATGCTGACGATGGGCTTGAACATGTGTTACCGTATGTCAATTCAGCACTTCCGACATCTTACCTTACTGAGAAGTTGTAGCTTGCATAGCATTGTTTATCAGAGCGGCCGCTCCCAATCGTGCCTCGCTCGGAGCAACCAATGGAATCGCGCAGATGGCTGCCTCAGTAGCAAGGATCATTGGCCCGGCGTCTGCAGCTTCGGTCTTCTCTTATTCGATACAGAAAGGGCATGATGCGTGGTTGATATACTACTTCTTGATCGCCACGGCATTTCTCGCAGTAGGTACTGCTCTATTGCTTCCCCATGGTCTTAGTGTATGGGAAGATCATCAATGATATCACTGCGAATGGCTGAAAATGGCATAGGTCAATATCACTACAGTAAGGTTACATATGATATCAACAGCTCTCCTAAAGTACAGTGGAATCGAGTATATAGTGCTATGTTGAGGGGGGGAGGGGTTGCAATGAAGCTATACATACTCTGTAGAGTAAATCCTTTAATTTGTCAATTTTTTTTGGTCCACCACTGATTTTATCTATGCCATGGTCCAGTTCAACATCCTACAGTGTAGACAATGGGACTGATCTACTCATATTGAGTCTTGACTCTTGATGGCTGTGTCAAATGAGTTTAATGATTTGATCATAAGTCCAATAAATCACATGATATCTTCAAGTCACAGTTGTCATGGTCCAATGGTGCAAAGTTCAAGCTTCCAGCTTCAGTGAGTTCAATCAACCTATCAAGACTAGCACACCTGTTCTGACTTTGGCACAGGAAGTAAAAAGAGCATCTCACACTCTTTTTTTTTAGCTTCCTGGTTCTCCCGTCTCCCGTCTCCCGTCTCCCGTCTCCCGTCTCCCGTCTCCCGTCTCCCGTCTCCCGTCTCCCGTCTCCCGTCTCCCGTCTCCCGTCTCCCGTCTCCCGTCTCCCGTCTCCCGTCTCCCGTCTCCCGTCTCCCATCTCCCGTCTCCCTGTCTCCTTGTCCTCCCATTCTCCTGTTTTCGAGTCTCTACATTGTCTTTGCCTCCTTTTTATTTTTTTCACAACCTTCTGTCATTCATCTCCTAATCTCTTTTATCTCCTATCACCACATATTTATTGTCCCCCTGTCTGCAATTATATCCTGCTCAAACATATGTTATTCCACTTTATTGCAATTTTCAATAATAATGACATTCTTCGAACATACAAAAAAATAATTTGGTAAGGTCACTGTCTATCATGTACTACAGTGTACAGCCACAACTTCTACTTGTGGCCTCTTGTCTTATCAACCATCATGGGCAACAGATGGATCAGCAATGACCTCAAAGACACTGTGTTGTGCATGGTGAACAAAGGCTATGCAACCCCTGAAATCCTCTCCATCACACAGATCTCAAAGTCAACTATCTACCGCACTCAATGTCGTAAATGAGCCACTGGCAGTGTAGCTAAGATTCAGGCAATTGGCAGGGGCAGGCCTCAGGCTTTCACCCAGCATGACATCCAGTTTCTCATCTGGCTTGCTTGTCACAACCCAACCCTATTCCTTGATGAATACCAAATGAGACTTCGAGATGGCCAGTTTCTACTCGCATCACTATCTACAATTCACCGGTCTTTCGAGTGTGCTGGCATCAATGTCAAGCATATTGAGAGGATTGCAGCTGAATGTGACCCTCTACATTGTGCAGACTTCGTTCATCGTGTCTCACAGTACTCACCTGCCTCTTTACTCTGTTTGGATGAAGTTTCGAAAGATGATCGTACATACTCACATCGCTGGGGATGTGCTGTACAACGTGCACGTGCTGAGCAACATCAACCATTTGTTCATAAACATTTGTTTTCGATGGTGGCAGGACTGGCTCTTGATGAGGGCATTGTTGCTGTGAAAGTTGTTGAAGGATCATTCAATCACAAGAGTTTTATTGATTTTTTGTGCAATAATGTGGTTAGTTTTCATACTGTGACTGTGATGTGTCAATAACTTGGACTGGCTAGCTTCTTATCACCACTCCATTTCCAGGGCCACAAAGTGTGTTGATTATGGACAATGCTTGCATTCACCATGCAGAGGAAATTGAGGTGCTTGTTGGTGCTTATGGTCAGTATAAACAATTTCATGGCATAGAATTCAAGTTGTCCGATGTAGCACTCGAGCTCGTGCTAGGCTCGTTGTAACGAGACAACAATAGCTGAACACTACACAAAGTAAGTAATCAGCAATATAAAAATGTTGTGGTCTTGCGCGGCCTAGTCTGCTATACTTGTAGACAAGTGTGTTCGACCCGAGGGGTTCACTGTAAGGTATTAGAATAATTAGTTATACGAAAAGGGAGATAGTCCGAAGCGTGGGAAACAGAGTCCAAAGGTATAATTACTAGTCCAAAGGTAAAAACATCGGGTCCGATGTTTTCGGGTTTCAGGTTAGCGGGTTTCGTCGGATTAGCGTCAGGAATGTAATGAATGTCGAGGATAGTGAATGGCAGGTTACTGTCGGTGTTTTCAGAGTGTTTCGGATAAAGAAAGGATATTTGCAGAATTCAACCAAGAACTATGAATATCTAATGACCTCCTCCTACTTGGAGGTAGAAAGGTAAATAAGTAAGTAGGAGGCATGTAAAATATATAGTGTCTATGTAGAATTTCGGAGCACTATAGGCGAAAGTAGTAGCGGTAATTTTCGGATCCGATGTCCTATGTAATAAGACATGTGGTACTGCAGACATGTAATAACGTGGTCTACAGTGTTAGTGGTGTGAAAGCTGATAACTGCACACCTAGTGGGGATAGATACGACAGGACAGGACATAGGGAGAACAAGTGCGCAGGAAAATATCGGGTCCGATGTGCGGGAAATGTTGGGTCTGTCGGATTAGCGTCGGGTTAGCGGATAAACATCAGATTGAGCGGATAAGTGTCGGATAACATTGGGAAGTGATTCGAGTGTTTGACATGCATTGTGAATTAGCTGAATACATGCTCAGCGCGAGCCTGAGTGCTACATCGTATTCAGTTATTCCATGATCCACATCAAATGCCCATCACACGATAATCACTTCCCATTCAATCTGACGCTTTGACATCGGACCCGATGCTTTGACTAGCGGACCCGACATTTCGGCCACAGCGGACCCGATATTTTCCTGTGCACTTGTCCTATCCGTGTCCTGTCCTGTCTTGCTAGCCCCACTAGGTGCATAGTCCATTATTTCGCACATTACTCACGTCATCGCCAGCACTATTACATGTTTTCCCATAGTCCGCAGTGCCTCGTGTTTATTTACATGTACTTCGGACCTGAAATACTCCGCAGCTACTTTCGCCTACGGGTTCTGCATTTCTACGTACTTACATATATATTGGACTGACCTCGAGCATTATTCATCATCCAAGTAGTAGGGAGCTGTTTCCCGACGCTTTGTGGTCAAACCCGATATTTCGTAGTTCTTAGTTGACATTGCAAATATTACTGCTCTTTCTATCTGAAACACCTGTCTTTATTCATATTCTGCATACCACTCGCTTTCCCAACATTCACTATCACTATTCTCCACAATCTGCTGAACCCACACCCGAAACCCGCTAGTCCGCTAACCCGAAAACATCGGATCCGACGCTTTGGCATTGGACCCAATGCTTTGGCATCAGACTCGTGATTATACCTTCAGACTTTGTTTCCTGCGCTCGGACTTTTGAACACTTATCATTTCACTACCATCAGACTAATACCAGATAGCTAACCCCTCAGGTCGAACACACTTGTCTAGCAAGTATAGCAGATTAGGCCGTGCAAGACCACAACATTTTTATATTGCTGGTTACTTACTTCGTGTAGTGTCTGGCAATTGTTGTCTCATTACACCGAGTCTCACTATATTGTTAGGGTGCCACATTGAATACTTACCACCATACTCCCCGGATCTCAATCCTATCGAGCAAGCATTCTCTGTGATCAAGTCACATCTCCATCACCAAGGGTTAGGCTTCTATGGGCCTAAGGCTCCTTACTATGAGCTATACACAGCATGTTCTGTTGTAACACCAGAGATGTATTGGGGCTTCTTTCGTCACTCAGGTTATCTTGCTTGACTCAGAGCATAGCATTGATACAATACAGTAGCATGCCATTACAGATAACAATGTGTCTATGAGCACTCATAGCTGCAAAATATACATGAGGAGCAATACAAACTAAGTTTCAAGCATTCACCATTCCTCAGCATCATGAATATCTGCGAGCTCACCAAGAGATAATCCAGCACCAAGTAAGTCAGCATTCTGAAGGAACCAAAGGCAGTGTGGGCTAGTCACATCAATGTTGTCCAACTTCTCGCATAGCTATTGTGAAAGCTTGAAGCGGTTGCAAAAATCAAGTAAACTCAATTTTGGTTGAAGAGCAGGTTGTTGACGGAGAACAGGCTGTGGGGCATTCTTCATAGCAGGATCAGGTCCATGGTCGCCGTTCAGGAGGCTGATGATATCCTTGAAGTTGTTGTTGATGATAATACTTGGTGCAGAGGATTGAGTCTGTGTAACTGCATTGAGATGGCATCATGAGAGCATTGTGATGTCGGTTGGATCTGTGTATGTAACATCAAAAATCTTTGTATTTGGTGTATTGTCTAAATCAACACCTGGCTGCTTGTTCGGACCAACCTATCCCATAACAATGCCTATCATCAGTGACATGTGAAGACTATATACTTTGGAACATCATGCAGGCCATCGCAGCAGCCCATGTGTTGAGATGTAATGGTGTCAGGTTGACATGCTTGGCCTCTGGTAGAGCTGGCCAGCAGATACAAAAGCCACATGCTCAGTCTTCACATGTGTACTAGTGAGTCAAGTTTGCAATTGCTTCATTTTGCTGCATCTCTTCATCAGTTGGACCTGTAGCAGCCTTCATAACATGAGTGACAAGAGGATAATTGAAAGATCTAGTACTATCTCACTCTCTTTCCTACAGGTTCACCTTCACCTTCACCTTCAGCATCCTCGTCCTCTTTGGCTTCTTTGCCATCATCATACTAGCATATATTCAGCCTACCACAGTACATAATACAACTTGAAAGATACTGAAAATACATACCTTTGTCTTGACAATAGTTAATTTGAAGGCTGGTGACCGGTGCTCTTTGACTTCTTCCATGATTGTGGTGAAATCACTAAGGTTTCCAAGAACAATATTCTTGTAGTTTGTGCGAAGGATCATATAGGTGATGGTGAAGTTCATAGGAGCAAGAATACCTGATCTATTGCCAATACCATACATCATTTTGTCGGAGATATCATATTGTTCAAATGTTGTATCAAGAAGGTTTTGGAGGGTCAAATCTTCATGGATGAACAAGGCACAGTTTATGGGCTGTGATTTAGCATTTTTGCGGTATTTTTCTCCAGTTGCTGGAGGTGGTAGAAGTGGGGTAAATGCCATGGAGACTGTGATGCCCTTGCCAGAAGGCTCTACACAAACATAAAGTCAGAAACCTTTACTATGGCCTGGGGTGGGACATACCAGTTTCTACATCCAAATCATCATCGTGGACTATAGTATGGTTGCAGGTGTCATTGCCATTATCAGACTCGAGCTGGCTCATAGTGGTAGTTATGCAATGTACATATACTCAGGGATGTCGGTGTTAATGTTGATGCACATGACACAGATCTGAGCACTGGTACTTAGCCATAGGTCTCAGCCACAACAGAGACACACTCGTTTATTTTTATTTTTTGGAAGTTTTATTGTATTTGTAAATTGCAATAATTTTATTATATCTACTGTATGTATGTACTGATAAATAATTACAATAGAGAAAATACTTGTGTTGCACAGTGCACTGCTCTAATGTGCAATAACAATTGAGTCAGCACTTGAAAACATGTGACAAAATCACACAAGTTGCCAAATTGAGGTCAAGTGAGCTAAGCATAAACCACATGGCCTTTAGTGAAATATGTGAGATAGATGAAATAGATGAAAGCCATGCAAGCACTCAAGCATTCCAAAAACCATCATACTTTACTTCTTAGATGGATATATGTCATTTTCCAACCACCTCATCACCATTCAAACATCAATGTTTTATCTGCTGATTTCATGCCTTAATATTCAATCCTAGTGTATTTGATAATAATTATTTTATAAGAGTTTTCATCCACAGCAAAACATATGACACTAAATCTATTCTATATCCTTATTTGAGTCACAGCTGATGACAGATATCTACTTGAGTATTCATAGCATCAAAGAAGTATTTGCAATGTAAATTTCTTAAAACATAAGTATCAATAAAAAGTAAGTAAGTGTTAATAATGCTGTTTTTATGACTGGGGTTGTTCTTTTTTACAATGACTGAATGGTGAAGTCAAGTGTAAAGCAGAGTCTGCCTACAAATGTAGGATCAAGGTTTCTGGCTAAGGACAGTGGTAATGACTGCCTTAGAAACATGGTTCAAGACTGACTAAGGTAGATCCCTTAGCAGAGGAAGTTCCAGGTAAAACCCAGTAGATTAAAGTGAAGAATACAAGCAGTAACTACTGTGCTTAAATAGTCTGTATGGTGTGCACAGACCAGGCTAAGAAAGACAGACATGAAGTATATATCAGGAAAAGGTCTAAGAATGTTCATGGCTGTGCATGTTGATGGTTACTAGCACAATAAGAGATCTTGACAATAAGAGAAACAAGATACTGAAAGGTAATCCTTCTTTGTATTGTAGTGATGAACATGTACCATTGTCTGGTAGAGGGAGAATAAATGGAGGTGTTGTAGCACTCGGGTTGGCATTGGGCACATATCTTGCCAATTTCACAGATAACTCATACTGTATTCTCTGACACTCCTTTGATCTTTTGAAGGCTCCACACATTCATCTGAGTATCTGAAGGTCGTCCATCTGTTTCTGAGGCCTGTTCACACTTGCGATCCACTGTTCCATGTCCCGTCTGTGTCTGTTTGACTTCACTGGTGTGTTTTCACTTTAATTATCTGTTATTGATTATGTCTTAGGGGCACATACATTATCGGCCCATCAAAAGCTTGATGAATACCTATAGCTGCACGTCTCGTGCACTATTACATGCATATCTTTGTAGCGGCTCACCTCAAGTCTTATTACATTTCGGATAACTTATCTCGCTACTGTTCTTGCCTACGCAGTTTCCAGACCTTTATACTGTAGGATATAATCTGGCTCACTAGCTACTTGCACTTCACTTCACTTTTCTTGCTATGAGTCATAGTTAGTGTTACAATAACATTTAGCCCCCATTCATTTTTCCTTCTTACCTTCCATCAAGTGGGCTATCTGCACTATGTTTGCTATCTCTTATCAAAGTGGGCTGTCCGCCTCATTGTCATATCCCGTGTTCCGGATCTGGACTTATCACACACCTCATTTCCGGATGTCTGGATCCGGCCGACGTCTATCTATGTCCGGATCTGACCCACGTCTAAACTTCCGCGCCTTATCCCTTTGTACGTTCCTACTCCAGTTAGACTATATCATTTTCCGTACCTCATTTCATTTCCGCCTTTATTTTCCTCTGTTCTAATCTCCGGGTTCATTTACTATTTTCCGATAGACTAGTGTTTGACTTTTCTATACCCTCCGCCCACAGCCTCGCATAGCTTCGGACTGTGCTGGCTTACTCTCCATTAAATCCTCAGTAGTATATAAACCCTGTAGAATCTATGTACATCCCTAGTTCGAATATCATCTTAGACTCTGCTCATTCCCTCCTCCGTCCGACTTGAGTGTCTCTCTCATCAACCTCCACTCGTCTTAGGATTGATTCCTATAGACTTGTCACCTCCACCTCTACCTCTGGTAGTCCTCCACTGTTTCCTTTCTAGTTCGGACTTCGTCCGGATTAGTCTGATCTCTTGTTCCCGAACGTCCGCCGGAATTCCTGCACATCGGACATCGGACTCCGGACATCGTCCGGTAACCTTCGGACATCGTTCGACAGCCTTCGGAAGTTAGGGGCACGTACTCGGGTAAGGGGCGCAGCGCACGAGCTGAAGCCAAGCCCTTCGGATTTGACCTTTGAGCATGTTCTTAACACTCATGTCCCTTATATTTACAAGCTCTGCTTGAACATTCACTATATAGACATGCAACACATCAATTGCACTCTCTACTTTAATCTACTGGGTTTTACCTGGAGCTTGTCCTTTCAGTAAGGTCCCGAACCTTACTGTCTTTGAAACACTATTCTAAGGGAGTTGCCTACACTCGCCTTAGCCTAGAAACCTTTGACCTCTTATTCAAGAGAAGAACCACGTCCATCTTGCTATTAGCAGAACATCCATCCAGACTTAGACAGCTCGACTTACCCCAGTTATAACAGTTAGTAGAGTCACTTTTGGATAGTTGTACTTCACACAATTGATCTTTGTTCATTCAGAACGATTATTTGGCTTGACCGCTGCCATTTTCACACTTCGCTGTCTTAGAGTTCTTTTGATAGGCTTTGCATAGTTGTACTTCAGTACCCTTGCAAGTCTTACACTTCAATATACCTGCCATATTCCACTCCCGGAACCTTCGCTGTTCATCAGAAGCTCTTCGGACGCTTCCCACAACCTTGGACCTTTGTTTATAGACTTCGGAAACCAAATGTCTCCATGATCAGTGATTTAGACAAATACTAATGACTGATAATAAGATGATTCATGGGTGGCTTATTTACACTTCCAAAGGTAAGTTCAGCTAGAGGTACTTTTGCAAAATTAGTAAATACTATAGTCAATCCAATAATATAAAATTTGACAGAAAAACAAAGTCTAGTCATTCCAATAGTATGATGATAAAAAAAATAGAGAACTCTCCCTCCAGATTTCTTATGATAACAATACATTATAACAAATTGTACTTCATAAAGAATAGTATGGAATTATAATGATTAGCCCCCTCAGTACAAACAGATAGAATCAAAGGTTAAGATTAATTAATGCTTATATAGAACTCTTAGCTTATTATTGAATCTGTTGCCAAGGAACCTACTATGAGTATTAAATAGAATTAAAAACAGATGTCCTTGGATTTCAGTATAAAGTCTCCTATTTAACAGCTAAAGTCTATTAGGCAAAGAAGACCTTGGCTTAGTATTGCTACTTAGATGAGTAAGGTCAAGTATCACTATCAATCTCTAAAGTTTCCCTACTAAGCTACTCTGAGTCTTAGATGGACATAAAGACTATATAAAGATTTTTGGAATGTTTTAACAAAAAAACACCAAGATTTGGTGAAAGTAATTTTTTTTATACAACTGAGGCTATACCTTGCTTGCTGGTGGTTGGACACAGTGAGCTTACAGTTAGTTGTTTGGTATGACGAGCTTGCAGTATTCACTATCTTTTGAGAAGGTGCCTCTCAATCTTGAAAAGTTTTTGACACTAATACTGACACCAATTACATCTTACTAACTAGCAAAAGATAAGAATACTTATTAAGATTCAGACATTTATATTGGTTTGTATTATATATAGACATCGGTAGTATCAATGGTGTTTTGCTAATATGTTTACAGCAGAGCATATGTGATTAGTCAACTAAGGATGATCTTAGTGTCCTTGTGCATACATCTGATTGCCTATATCTACAGTGTGACTAAGCTGTGAGTGCAGAATATTATCCGTTGTGTGTTCTAAGAAGTTTGAAACATGATAATGTTCTGCTATTCCTGGGAGGATGTGTCTCAGGTAGCTCATGCCAAAACTAATACTGTTAGTGTGTGCTTCCTATGAGTTTTTGCTTGAAAAAATGTAGCAATTCCTATATTAGTTTTTCTCTTATAACTGCTCATCAGTGATAATGGTGTATATATGTTCAAATATTTGTTAGTAGCTTACCTTTATGTACATGACTACTCTCACCCTTCCTGCTGGCCTTGATGTTTTACTTACTTTCTATGATGATAAGGAAGTCTGTATTTTTCCTGGCAATCACTTTTATAATCTTATAGAATATACTCATTAAGGTATCTTACAATGTAAAGGATTTATAGAGGCTATTGTTGGCACTGTGTTTTCTATGCTAAACTCTGATTTTTTTGAGGTGTAGTAGTAGATGCACAATATAATCTAGTATCTCTGGACTGTGCCACTTATTATTTAGTGCAAAAAGTGAGAATATACTTAAGCATTGTATCACAAAATAATACCTGCTTCATTTAGTCAGAATACTATCATCATGAACTTAAATGGTGAATTGGTTCATCAGGGGTGGCAGATATTAAGGAAGCACTTAATTATGATTGATCAAAAAAAATCAATACTAATAATTCAGTGGCAAATTAATGATATTAGTTCAAAATTATCATATCCATTAAGTTTTACAGTCTTATAGCATTTGATCTTCAATTAGTCATCATCCACAAATATGTATATGCATGTTATTGTGCTTTGTTTTTCACCTAACCAGATTGAAAGCCACTCCTCACCCTCTCAGTCTCTAGAGACAGAGTACTAGGGTAAGAGATGGTTATTACAATATGGTTCTTATGTACATAATAAAGGATAGCCAATGGTGTTTTCTTAATTATGTTTTTTTTGCATTTCATTAGGAATGATCAATTTTTTATTACATTTGATAGTGTGTTTATTTTTGGTATAGACTTATTCTAATACATAATATACTAATATACAACAGTAGCAGATATAGCTATCTTAAAGAAACTGGCACCTGGATCTTAAAGGCTATTTCTAATACATCAAAAATAGTATCCCTTAGATTTCTTAATAATATACTAGTATAAAGAGTAGAGTCACCAGTCATACCTCAAAGATTCCATTACATTTTGTGAAGAAGGATAGTAATTAGCAAAGGAGATTATAGAGTTTGCATAGTCTAGTAGTACTATCTTGGAGGAATTATATAGTAGCATGTGTAGCTTGCCTAATTAAATATAGTGATTAAAAGATCTTGAGTTATGTAGAGCAACCTTCTAAGTTGGCTATTAGATAAATTAAAGACTATGATATTGCTGTTTTATCATATCCAGCACGGATCCAAGACATTAACCCTATTGAATATTTTTGGAAGTCACTCAAGAAATTGCTTATAGTATATTAAGATCCATTATAAGGGTTATTTTAGCTATAAAATAGTGTTATAGTAAGTGTAATAAGATTACCAAGAAGACATACTCAAAATGGATAGAGAATATGTCTAGAAGAGTGACAAAAGTGATTATAGCAAAAGCAGGTCATACAAAGTACTAGATATGTAGAGATTGCATCAGTCAAACTCCAAGTCAAAAAGTGTTCTAATAAGTCATCAAATTAAAATAATCATATCTTCACACAATATCATTATCTTAGGACTAGTATGGACTGAGCACTAACTTGTGTTTTGAAGATGGTGACACTTTTCATAGAAAGTAGAGCTTTAATAAGACAAGATAGCACTGAGAGATAAATCTAGCCAACTTGGCAGAGATTTATAATGTAATGATATCTGTTAAGCACAAGGCCAGTACAAAGAGTAGAAACCAAACTCACTTAATAGTGATAACAAAAGACTTCATGAATCACATACTCTAATAGTATAAGACCACATGCCCACTAAAAATTGTACTACTAGCCATCCAGCTTTACTAGAGTCTTTATAGATGAATTTCTAGTGATAAGTAGCACACTGCCTTTGCAGGTCCAACTGACTCTTAACATGAGGACATAACTCATAAGTCACTTTTGATACTAGTATATGAACTTTATAGAGCAGGTATTATTTTACCTGCTCAAATTGATGTATGCTCACTGACTTGCCATTTTGGTAGGTGCTTTGAACTTATCAAATTATAGTATAAAAACATCTTACTTATTAACACTAATGAATGCGGCCTCTTCAGCACAATCTTTAAGTTTTCTATTGTTAAGTTGGTGCCATAGTATCCATTGATGATCAGCCTCTAATCTTGTGTCAGAAAATAGGAGGGAAAGATTGTAATCTTCTGTAATTAGTATTATACTATATGCCTCCTTTTTGAAAGCCATACATACAGTTGTGGTGATGGTGCAAATTATTTTGATGCTAACATTGTAATGATGAATCATGTGCACTAAGATGTCAAGTAGTGTGATTGAGATGATATATTTCATTGCCTTCAGAAGGGCAGCTTGAGCCATGGTGTTATTGCTAGCTGTATTCAGACATCACATTCTTAAGTAACATCTTTCTCTGTATAGCCTGCTTTACTTCCTTCATAACTTCTTTCTGTTCTATCATAATCAACAGTTAGGGAGGGTCAAGCTAGGATGTGTGGTTAGCAGTGGATAGATCTATGATAGATGAAGGAGGAGGAGGTAATATCTGTGATGATAGAACCAGTACTGATACAATATTCTTGTCTGTAGCCTAAATCCTAGTGTCAGTAGAATAAAATCAAATTCCTGGATAGTCAAGGCATGTGTGACATAAATAGTAAACTCATTTATATTCTTTATGATCCTCCTGCATGTGTAGGATGTCTCCATAAACTGATGTGATAGGCTGTTTAAATTGTCAAATATTAGATGATATAAGGAACTTAACAAAAGGAGTGAGATACTCATCAAATAAATAGTTAAAGAAGGGAGTAGGGTTGAAGGAGGGAGTATAAACTAGATACTCATAGTTCTCATGTTCAGGAACCTGGAACTGGTACTTAGGCAGGCTGAATCTTGGAGGGGGTGTATAGTACAGCAAAGACAACTTATCCCTATTTGAAGGCCTAAGAGTTGCATAGTGCAGCTCAGGCTGGCCAAAGATTAGAGAGAATGTATAGCATGGAAAAAGGAATATGTTGTGTATAGTGAACCTAAGAAGATCTCCACTTGCACAAGGAGCAATGAAGCTGAACCTTAACACCTTTGTTGTGCACATACATATCTGTGGGGACCAGCTGATACTTGGGGGTAGGATAGGATTTAAATTTATATCTGAAAGCTCGAGTTCCCGCAAGGTCCTTACTAATTTGATGACATTCAGCAATCCGCTTGTTGTCTACTATGCTTGCGAACACAACAACCACCATTGTATAGTCCAAGAAGTCATTAGAGCACACAAGTATCTTGCAAATAGCGGGTCAAACATCAGTGCCTCCAAAGATGCCTATCTCTGTAATGATGGAGTGCACGGCATTGGAAACCATGGAGGGCAATGTGCCCGATCCTCCAAATCCAATTATGAAGTCGACTAAATTGCTGGAAAACTGTAAGTCACAGGAAAGAATGTGAAGCAAAAACCTACTATTCCACCAACATTTTCACGGCCTCAAAATGGCGGCTCACCCTGATTGCAGGGCTGCAGCTCACCAAAATCAAAACCCTCTGTCCACCCCTAGCCTGAGCGGTGAGGTTGCACCAAGTCTCACTTTCATTAATGGTCTTCACCACAGTCTTGTTGCTCTTCGCTACTGTGGAAGATTATTTCATGATGGACAAAAACTGATCTCCAAGATACACCATAAGGATTTCGGTGATGGTTATGCTTGTGCCACCTGTGTGGCCTCCAGTGTGCCACAGCATTCCAGTGAATTCATTCAAATGTGTGTCCACCATAAGGAATATGTTGCGAGGATATCCAGCTTCGACATTGTGAATTATGAAGTCTATGCCAGGAGCCAAATTTTTTGACTCGAACTGGTGGGCACCACCTCACATATGTAAAATAGTAGAGTATAGCTGTATAACAAGTATTATGAATGTTAGTAGCAAGACTGGTAGTGATATTAGCGGTACTTGCATTGTCCTCAAAGGTTCTATAGTGATTTTGCACCTCCAGTATCACAGTGTTTGCTAGATAGTTGTCCTTCATAGACTCAAGGTTGAGATTCATGATGGCCATTGGCTAGGCCATCTTGACTTTCTTCCTCTTACCAAATCCAATGAATGCATAACGCAAGGGCTTATCCTTCCCCTGTACTATCCTTGAGCACATGGGGCACCTGAATTTGCCTTCTGGGACTTCCACAGACTTCAAAAAGATGCACCCACTGCTGTGAGGGTGGTATTGCTTGCAAACGATCGCCCTACAGTTGACACATTCATGATTGAAGGGTAAATTGGACTAGTCACAACAAAAGTGACAGAAGGTGCCCACTCTGACAGCTGGACAGGAAGAGTTATTGGCTTGGGTTTGCACGGGAACCAACGGAGAGGTTGAAGGATGGAGATGGACCACCGACCATATTGATCATACTGCCCATGTCGACAGAGGATGGACCTGCTCTTGAAATACCGCTGAAGATTGCGCCAACTTTGGCTTTTTTCTTTTGCAGTTTGGAGACTTTGGCGGTTTTGTTGGTTTGTTTTTTGGGAGGCATCATTACAATGTATCATGAGAAACTTGGTTGATGGATGGAAGAGAGGGAGATTGAAAATTTCAACAGTTGTTTTTTGTTGTCAATATATACTCACAGAAATATGGCATGGAGATCCAAACATGAGATCTTTTGGTCCAATACAACCCCAGATCTATGATTCTCACCTTGGAACATATAAGTACAAACAACAAACAAATATGATCTTACATTGAACAAAGCCTGCAATGTAGTGATTTTGAAACTTCCTTTGTACACAATACAAGATACTAGTTGTCATCAATTCTGGTGAGTATCAGTCGGTTTGACTAATCTTTTATCTACATATGATAGGTGAGCTATGCAAGTTGATCGTTTGTAAAGAACTTTGGGTTCAACATTCAACATGTGTGTATGATCCTGGTGTGAGCCACTGTCATAAGGATATGTCTAGAAAACCAATTGCATGAATTGTTGGGCTCGTAAAACTATACATACATATTGTGAACGCGGTATCAGAATGTTTTGGATTTGTTAATAGGCACTCTTGAGGACTCAGTAGTATGCAGAAGCCATTCAGATATGAAAAGAGAATATGCAAACCCAAATGACTATTAATCCAGTCTCAAATCTGAACATCTAGCTCATACAAACATATAGCAATATTTAACAAGTATGGAGGAGGGGTAAGTGCAGTTCTTTCTTTCAAGCGAGGAGGAGATGTCATTGGCGTCATTGCAGGTGAGCCTCCTGCTGTGTTCGTGACCTTAGGCAATTTTCTTTGGGATGGAGTAGTGGAAATGCGGTGGGGGTTGAGAATCTGATTGTAATGTGTTGCTTGATGTAGGAGACTGCCTGGAAATACCATGAAGAATGATTTGAACTGATAAACTGACATGTTATGCATAGTCAGGTCCAATATGGCAGGAATGAATCTGTCAGCTGCACTTGTCATATTTGTGAAGGTGAGTATCTAAATCACTCTTTGTAACTGAGGTTAGCTGTAAGGCAACAAATTGGACATTCATTAGACATTGAACTATGTAATGACAAATACTGGAAGATCTAAGTCAATATGCAAAGATGATCCATGGAAGCTTGATTACAAGTAAACGACTGGTAGAGATATGGCTAACCAACAGCTGCTGCCCATCTTGCCTGGGACCAACTTCTTTGAGTCAGCGGGTTGGGTGAATTGGATTAACTTCTTGCAATGGATGTTGGTGCATTCAAAGTAATACACCCCACTGACATTGGCAGACAACCAAGAATTCACTAATCCATACCTAGGACATTGAAGGGGCAAATGTTGACCCCATGGACAATGGTCGATGTGAGCCCAGCTGAATTTGACTATAGTCAGACCACCATCATTGCTATTCTTCATCATCAAAATGACATCTGTGTGTCGACCTAGCTTGTTCGACTGACTTAAGATTTGGGGGAATATTTCCGCGATCTGGAAACGTTCGATCAGCACAATCTCAGTGAATGCGAGAAGGAGATAGCAGGTAAAGCTTGGCTGGAATCGGTGAGCTGTGAAGGCGATCCCAGCAGAGACACAATGGCTATGTATTCTTAAGACACTCCATAGAATAACCAGTAAACAGGACACACTCACCTAAGGACCGTGCTCTGCAGAGCTGCGCGCATGAGAACAACCATAGGTATGACTCTTTAGCACGATCAATGCTGAGCTGCCATGGGCTCAGAATGATGTCCATGAACTACAACAAGCTTAGTATTTCCCATCTCAGAAAAGGAAAAGGACAAACCTCTTTCACTTCGCCTGCAATGTACTTGCCATCATGATACCCAGTGAACAGGTCACCAGTTTTGTTGTCTGTGCAGCATATGTTTGAGCTCTAGAAGGCAAAGCCCTTGATCAAGCTAGAGTGCTTGTGCACACAGTCCATGCATCAATCCAACACCATGATAGTTTCACACTCATCATTACTATGGGTAATGAGAATAAATGGTTCCTAGACCACACAGGTTCTCCCACCCAGCTGCCTGTCGTGTAACTCCTCCATGATGAGCCAACATATAGCTCCACTGCAGTCCTTGGCTAGTAGTCTTCGATCACATTGGAGAAGTTTGTCTCAGGCCTGGAAACATAACATGATCTGAGCAGTTGGAGCTTGAGGTCACTTTTTACCGCCCAGAGCATCCATACCATTTGGATATTGCAATTATTGCTGATATAATGTACCCAGGTCACTTCCTCCATTTGTACTCCTCCAATATTTAGCTTGATACTTTCCCCACTTGCACTTGTCTACCAGGTCGTCTGTACTCACTTGTTGTGAAAATTTGCTGTGTCATGCCAGGCAACGAGTTCGGGCCATGAGCGGGCTATGATTCAGTGACGGCGGGCGATGGGCAGGTGATGATCAGGCGATTTATTTCATTGGCGGACAAAACCTGAAGTTTTGTCATAACATTCTGTCCCTGGCGTAAACTTAAAATTTTGAGGGACATCTAATTGTCAGGCAAAACTTGATATATTGGCGAGCATATTGTCCTATCTAAACTTCAAGTTTTGTCCAAAATTTTACGTGAAGATTAAACTTTAAATTGAAGCAGGCGTATAAAATTTGATCATATTTCTTATATTTGTTGACATATTGTCTGTGGGAATACGGTTGCGGATGCTTGATATTTTGGATTACACATAAAACACTGGCAAATTTTGAAGTTGTGTACCTAGTTTTATGCTAGTTTAAATTTCAAATGTTTTCTTCGCATTTTGTACACCATATAAACCTGTCCTAAATATCGATAACCCCAATGTGATATTGCTACCCCTACTGTGTCTATTGGTTGTACTCTAAGCAACATATAAGCAAAATAAAAGTTGAACATCAGTTTGTTGAAAATTTTGTCACTGAATCTTCCAGGTTTCAGCATCAGGAACACCCCAACTTACTTAAGCTTGCCTTACAGCAGTGTGCAATTCTAATGAGATTTGTGAAATTTTGGTGGCGTGTGTGACGAAAAAGGAAACCAACAGAACAATGTGTCCTGGACACCAGAGGGACTTCTTGTGGTTCATACGAAGTTTTCAGATACTATAGTCTATCAGCCTTTCATATTGCTTTTACTACGTGTCATACACATATATTTCTATGGCAAAACGAATGAAAGCCAATTCAAAAAAGTCAAAAATCAAAATACCATCCAGACCTAAACTCAACTTGAAAGCTATGGTAATCGCAGATGTCAAGGAGCCTAGTGATGAACCACTGGAGTTCCCAGAGTCACCTGCACCATACGTCGATGATGCTGAAAGAATTGGGCACCTCTCTGAGGTTTACTGGTCGTCTGTAATGGCGTGCATAAGTGTGCTCGTTCTTACTAGTTTCATCAAGGACAATGAATTCCGAGCCATCGCCGACAAAGTCATTCTGAAGACTATCTTTGAACTCCTCTCGACAGACATCATTGCATTCACATGCAATCTTCTGGAGCATTTTTCGAGACAGGCCAACTTGTTTGAGATTGCGAGATAAGGCTGATGAGCTGATGGTGATGTTGTATTCAACTGCGAGCCAGGTACAAATTTTGTCGAGGAACAGATCTGATTCTTCAGCGAAGAGGTCTTTGACTGCTGTCATGAGCGCTTGTGTGATTATTCTCGTGCGGCCAACGAGTGGAGATGGGGGCCTAGCAACAGTACCAAGTTCTTCAAACATGTTTCGCCAATGAAAGCAGCTGGCCCAAGAAACACCAAGCACTTCACAGATGTCTTCGACCTCCCAACCGTGATCCCAGAGTGTAAGTGCACATTCTTTTAGGTCGTTGCTTATTCGTCGGTTGACCATGATGCGCAGCAGCGCAGGTGATGGTGAGAGGTAGGCTAAATTTGTTGTTTTCAATATCAAACTGACTGTCCGATGAGACTTCCTTTTTCGTCACACGCGCCACCAAAATTTTACGAATCTCATTAGAATTGCAAACTGCTGTAAACAGACTTAGAGTCGTACTTAGTGACTTAGCCTACTTTGCCAGAAATTCAACTTTGACATATACAGAAAAAAGTTGTTCAGTTGTATTAGCATACATGTTTTGTTACAGACTGCACTAAAAAATACAAGATTTACTAGGTGAATGATGCATGAGAGAGGAAACAAATGTGGCTCAGTTGATTAAGTAAGATTAAGCAAGTTGGGGTTTTCCTGATGAGTGACCCTTGCTGAAATCAATAACATTCCAGTGTATCATAAAGTCGCTGAAAAAGACTTGAGTACCATTTCCATGACAGAATCACTGGAAATTTCCACCACCAATGACAAACATACTGAAATCAATTGATTCTATTACCCACAGTGTATAGTGCTATTAGTGCTAGCCGACCCTTTCCCAGTCTTCGACTGGAGGGAATCGGACCTCGTCCGTACCATGTCGCTGTAGGAGTGAACAGTTCTGAGGACAGTGTCCCCAACTGATGAGAAAGACTTCTCGGTTGGGGACGGTTTGGGGGTGTTGTAAGTTTCAACTTCGGTCAAAGGAGACTCAGCTAATGATCCAGGTATGGTTGGCTGGCTGACTGCGGCAGAGCATTGCGAACGAAGGTTGTAGTTAGAAGGCATAGTTGTTTTTGGTTCGAGTGAAATGTCCGGTGGGCCTAACCGTAATACTGACTCGTTGGGTGTGGTTTATTTGCAAGAGGTCAAGAAAAGTGTAAAGTATTTTTCGAAGAAAATACTTTGGTATGTCAAAAAAGATGTGACATCTACTGTTTAGCTAATAGCTCGAAGTAGCCGGTGTCTTAATAACCGAGGGTCTTATATAAAGTGTGTAAGAATGTAATGACACCACAATTACACTTGGATAAGACTTCTTGCCAGTCCTCGATTAACACGGTCTACGACTTTTCTTCTTTCGTGGTAGATAACGTGTGAGTTCTTGGGAGGCTCGCTAAACCAATCAGGTGATCAACTTAGCCAGAGCTTTTTATGTGTACCTCCAATTACTTTGTCTAGGATTTGCTACCTAGATTCAGAACTGTGGTCTGAAGTACAAATAGCTTTGCCTAGATTGCACGTTCTAGGCACTGAAATGAACTGGGTAGATTTGACCAAGGCACGAGTTGATCAAATAGGCACGAATAGGAGTAGAGACAAAGGGGTCTCTGTAATATCACGTTGACCAAAGACTGGTTGGTCAAATAGGCACAAATAGCACTGGTGAGACAATGGTCTCAAGAATAATCACGTTGACCAAGGCACAAGTTGGTCAATTAAACAGTAAGACAGGAGAGACAACGGTCTCTAAAATCACGTGGACCAAAGACTGGTTGGTCAAATAAACAGTAACGTAAGCTTCTTATCGTAAGAAACTTGTATTCTCAAGGGATACGTTTCCCTGCACTTGTTCTGCTACAAGTGGGAGATCTTAACAAGTGAGATGTCTTGTTCAACTGAGGGGGTTTCTCTGAGAAGAAAATTTCCTAGAAGAGGGATCTCTATTTTTTTGGGGAGAATGGGCTCTCCTTATATACATTTTGTGTGGGAAAGTAATGTAGGTTCGCAAACAATAAAATAAAGAGAGAACCAATCAGAATATTGGGTGAAACCCAATAAAAGTATAAAATACAAATAAAAGATGGAGCAATGACATCAGAGATGACATCATAGTGGAGCTAGAATATTCTAGAGCCTATGACATCATTATGACTTCATACATTACATCATAATTTCCAACAGAATAGTCTAGAACTTTCTGTGGAGCTATATGACATCATTATGACATCATACTCAGAAATAATATTTTCTGGAGTATCTGGTAGGTCATAGCATCCTAAATAAAAGAAAATAAAAGAACAATGCTAGAGAAAACAAGATAGAAACAATGATACAAATACAATATGCAAGACACGGGCTTTTTAGATAGGTTTTTGTTAGGCTTTGAGCTTTTCTCAATGGTTTTCTCTAGCCAAAGTGAATAAGCCAAAGGTAAGGCAATACCTTAACCTTCATTTTACTTCACATATAAACTAGGTCATTCTGTGATTCCCATTTAACATATGACTTTTTCTTCTTCTTCCATATAAAACTTGAAATATAGGACCGAGGTTTGATACCAAGGTATGGGGTGACTAGTCTGAGGACTGTGCTAACAGACATAATCTTTTGAGGGTTATTCCTAGTAGTAGTTATGTCCATGCATGATTCCCGTATCATGCAGGACACCGGCACAAGTCACAAACGTTCACAATAGAAAGACAGTGTTAAAGTCTGGTATTCTGGGTTGTAAGAACACTACCCTAGGTATATGACAATAGGCCGTATTTAACTAGTTTCTAACAAAGGTCTCGGGTAAAACAGGAAGTAGGTAGTTGGCCAAGGCGACTGTCAGAGATATGAGTAGAATAATGAGTGAATACATGACAATGAGTCAGAAAGCAAATAGAATTGAAACTGGACGTCTGTGACCAAATGTCAAGCCGTTACACTAACCCTACTGCAAGGTGGTCTACCGAAAGAAATTAGGGTCTGACTCCTCCAACCTCTTGCAAAAAGCGATAAAAATCTCCAGGAGGTTGATGTACCTTCCCTGGTCCTTCTCCTCTTCATTCACCCAAGATACAAACTCCTCATAGCTGACCCAACCGGTGGGTTGTCCCAAAGTCCCAGCCAAATGGCTAGCTTTACCTGACTTCCAAATGTGAAGTACGGCTTCAAAGATGAAACCAGCAAAAGGACAACTAGGTACTCCTTTCTGGTAAAGAACCTGGGAGTGGCATGATGGCTCCTCTTTGTTGTGGTTGTAGTTCTGGGGGAGAGCACATTTGAAGCAGTAAGTGAACCGTTGGAAGGTGAAACTTTTTTTGAAGTTGTAGTACATGGGGTTGGGAGGGCCGCTTCCTACAGGGCATGCATCCTTCTTATGGACTTGGTAGTCGATGCCAAAATGGACAGGGCAGCAATCCCGTAACTTCCTCATGTACCTGTCGAGAAGCGAAGTACAGTCCAATCGACTGTGAAGTCCTGCAGTTACTCTCATGCTCCTGGTGGAGGACGATGGCACAGGGGCTGGAAGTGATGAGGGAGGGGGCAGTGCCCTGAATGCTCTGGATGCTATCGGTTGAGAAAACTTAACAGTACATCAGTGCACATTGCAAGGCTTAATGGAATTACTTCACTGAGAGGGGAGTTGGCCGAACCTTGCCTGGAAGGTCAATGATGCATTGAGGACCCAGTGGGGCATGAGCTGCCTCTGTAGCATTGAGCACTCTCTTGATTTGAGAGGTCTCTCCTGAAGCCTTTCTGAACAATGTATTGCTATCATACAATGAGGATTCTTGGAAGGACAACAGTCTGGAGAAAGATGGTTAGAGGGAAGAAAGTCTAGAGGAAGGGACCAGAATGTTGGGAGTAGCACTGGTCACAGACAAGGAAGGCTGCAGTGGTGCATCCTTGAGAGCTTGTAAGGCAATGCCTTGCATCTCACTAGTAGGGCTACAGACATCACACTTCACAGTGTCAGGCCTGTCATTGCAACGGTATGCGAAACCCCTGCCGTCCATGTACTTGATGGAGGTGTACCTGTGATAGTCATTAGTGAACAAGACATCATCCAAACCTTTGATGCAGTAGTAGTCTCTACCGCTCTCGAATGAGGACAGACTGGTTTTTTGGGTGAGGTAGAATGTATGTGCCTCACGTCCATCCCGTCCAGAACGTCCTAACATCTGGTTCACCACCATAAGACCATACTCGACCTCGCTTATCACCACAAAGCACACAGAGCTTCTGTCTACTCCCTGAGCAAAGGCAGTAGTGCACACCATGACTTTGGTCTCTCCACTTTCCCACCTCATAAGGTTTTGCGCTTTTGTATTTTCTCCCATAGTGGGAAGATCGCTGTGAAAGACTGCACACTGGATTGCGGTGCCGAAGTTATCTGCATCTTTGTTGGAGCTGAAAAAGATGAGCATGTGATCTGAACCGCTCATCTTCAACTGCAGCTGGCATACAAGGGACTGGAGAGATGACTTGAAATGGTTAGGAAGGACATGTAAAACATGAAGTCCTATCTCTAGGTGATCTGTGCAGGTGCAATATATGACGAGATCGTTGGGATGAATCAAAAAGGCTTTCAAACAGGTGGTGGTGTTGGAAGGGGGGGACGTTGCCGAGAGCAAGTTGATTTGCTTTGGCCACTTGGAAAATTGGGCAGCAAGACGAAGCCATGGCTCCTTGCGATCCGGATGACATACCAGAAAGTCATGGTGTTCATCAACAAAAAAAATTTCGAAGGAAAATCCTTCAGGCGATGCCATGAAGCTGAATACAAACAAGATGTGAGTTTTAAGACTACAGTCCATCAAGTCATGGCCACGTACATCTGGAACGCCTTGGAAGAGGTGCTCTCTACCTGCACAAAGAGAATCTGAATACTAAGGGGAACATTCTTATCTTTGGTGAAATTGTGGGCCCAAAGCCTAAGTTGCATGCATTTTGCTACTTGTTCCTCTAGGAGAATGACAAATGGGCAGATGACAATACAGCGCTCTTTAGGATCAATAAGAGGAGTGGTCATCCACAGTGCGCTCTTGCCCCCTCCAGTCTTGAGGGTGATGATGGTGTCTTTTTTAGTGCTCATGATGCTCATAATAGCCTTGCACTGTTCGCTGGACCTTTCTTTGGCAGTAGGGTCTTTAAACAGCTGTCTAAAAGCAACTTGCACCTTCTCCATCTATATGTCCTCTTCTTGAGAGAAATTAGCTAAAATTCCTGTCTCTTCATGTTCATTCATGATGATGAGTTCGTCAGAATGAGAGGAGCAAGCCTCCTCACTGAATGAATGGAGGTCATTGTCATTGTTCATCAGTAGATCCTCTGTTTGCAAAGAGGAAGCTGCCACCAGAGACTTTTCTTCTTCATGGCGTGAGCCTGCTGCTTCAAGGTAAGAGGTAGCCAGCCTCATGCATTTTGGGGGCTGAACAGGACCATCTCTACCATTTGACTGGCTCAATGATTCTGGAATGAGAGGCCGTTTCTGACAGACCAGAGCCATAGAATGAGCAGCAGGAATAGAGGAGGAGGAGGACAAGATAGAGGGAAGGGGCAAAGATGATGAGGATGAGAATAGAGTGGGCATTCCAGTTGTTTGGCTGGCAGGATCAGCAGCAGCAGGGATAATGAGACGGTGAGAGGACCAGGGTTGGGCGTTAAGTCTGATGGGATGCTGAGCGTCATCTGAGGCAGTGTCTGCCATATACATTATAACTTAGCTGAAGTTAGCTTGGATTGGACAAAAGTTACTAGACGCGTACCTTCTGACTGAATTGGAACACGTCCTATAGCAGGTTCCATCGCAGGAGTCATCCTGGAGCTCTGCAGGGCATGGAGGATGGAGGGCAAGACATCCTTAGTAATGGCATCACAGAGTAGTGGCCCCAAGTTTTCCCGCAGGTAAGCATCTAATAAGGTATGGATGCTGGTTGCGGTGGCCTCAGAAATGCCTGAGACATCAGCTGAGGAGGATTTGGGTTGGTTTGAGGATGATGCAGACGCCCCTGTCAACCTTCTCTTTCGAATGGGCTCCTGGGGGTCACCAGGACCTAGGCCGCAGAATATATGCTATTCCTCTGACAGCCAGCGGTGCTTCGCTATGACATTGTTGGTGAGTTCAGGGACTGCACTGTGGACAGTGCCATAATGGATGTAGTCAATATGCGTGAAGTGGTCTGCACTCTCAGCTAGGAGATCATCTGCAAGAGAGAATGCATGGTTGGGAGAGATGAATTCTCTAGCCATGGCAATGGCATCCTGTCTGAAGTCTCACACGCCCCAGGCACACTGGAAATGCTCTTGATTAAGTTGCGTGAACATTGCATATCACTCATCAGAGCTGATTCGATGACCGTTGTCCATGACAAGAAAGCTGTAATGAGGTGAGAATGAGTGCAATGTAGCTACTAGGAGACCTACCTGTTGTATTCATGCTGGACCTTTTCTCTGTAAGCGACATATGCCAGGAGAGATTCTGCACGCCTTAGCCCTCCGGCAAGGAACTCCAACATCTACCTTCCCAATTTGAAATGGACGAAAGCAGGAGTACAAGGATCTCTGTCGGCAATCTGGGAGGTCTTGCTATAGCCAGACAAGAGAATAACTTCCTGACCCTAAACAAAAATGTTTTGGTGTCACTCAGAATTGGTAGTTTAGTGTTGCAAAAATTGCACTGTTCTAGTAGACACCTGCGTTATGATATAGAGCAGGTGGTAAAGTGGCTTCCATACCTCGCCTGTACGGCAAAGGATGTCCTTTACTGCTGGCAGATCCCAGGCGAGACGAACTTCTCCGTCCACCATGGCCAAGTGATGGATCTCAACCAGGTGAGAAAAAAGTTCCAGCCTAAGGGAGTCAAATTGTTTGTCGCTGGCGAAAGAATGACCGCGGATGGAGTTAGTCATATCATCCGTAATGTGGGTGGGCAGCCCCTCCAGCATGGTGCGGCCTTGGGTGACCAGGAGGTACTTCTCCTCAACCTGTTCAAGAAGAGTCTGAATGCTTTGAAAAAACTTAGAGAGGTCCAAGGTCTCTTGTCCAACAGTGATCCACTCAAAGTCAGGGTTGAAGAAGACCTTTGGCTCCCGTTGCTGATTCCAAGCTAAGGAGGAGGCATATTGCTGATACTCGAATAATATGTTAAAGGTAGTTGCACGTCCTAGGGCTAAGACCTCCCTGTGAACCTTTATGATTTGTCTAACGCACACGACCATACAAGATGAAGAGATCAGCAGAGCATTGAGGGAACAAGGTGAGTAGAAGCACTGACTCAAATTGGGGAACCTGAGAATCCTTCTGGTACCACAGAGAGTGGATGAGGCAAGCGCTGTTGACGAAGTACTTCAATCTTGCCAGGTCTGGAGTGAAGTCTGTTGACTCATAGAAGTTACCATCCCAACGCAGAGCCTTGAACCACATGAAGCGCTCAATGACATTTGCCCAGTTCTCCTCAGCATGGACACTAGTGCCATCCATCAAGGTCCATAAAAATTCATGCAACCCCTTCATGCTATTACTGTCACTGCCTAAGTTGAGGACCTCGCCACTGTTACTCTGATCCATGCACACCAGAAAGGCATGCAAGGCACTGATCTGGTTTGGATGAAGACCAAAGGAGAACTCTGAAGGATGGTCCTGGGTAAGATAGAGACGGACAATGGCCCGCAAAAACTGGATGATCAACTCGCTGTAAGAAGTGTTTTTGTTAGAGATTGGACACCAGTGATCTCTGCCAGGGAGCAAGGGAGGTCAGAGACTGTGTGATGGCATTAATGGGAAAACTTACGAATTCTTCCTGACATCATCGCCATGTAAGAGAAGTTTGCAGATAGTGAATCTCTGGGGATTACCCTCCAGGAGCTCTGGCGCTATGTGAAAGTAGGTCTTCACAAGGGAGTCCATGTTGGTGAAAAGACCACGAAATTCTTCTGGGCGATGCTGACCCTTGAGGATCTCCAAGATTTTGACCTGCAATTTCTCGCAGTGAACATTCTGCATGAAGCAATCCCAGGCCATGACTTTAAGGAGGGACCTTTGCTCCTCATCAGGGACTATATTGCACGGGACTGCTGGAATGTCAAGGGAGCATGGGAAGGAATTAGCTAAGACGTCTCTGATATTGATGGCTTGTCCAGAAGGGGAAGGCTGGACGACTACAAAGTAGACTCGGCCTACAGACCCAAAGAGCTGTTGGATGAAGGCTTCCTTGTAGCTCATGGTGTCCTTGAATACTCTATGGACCAGTCTCCCATGGTTTACCATGGTGGGAATGCTGGAGGCTGCATAATGACAATCAGCGGACTCCATGCATACCGAGCCTTTACGCGGAGGGGCTATGAGTTGAACCGGAGGACCTTGGTGGGCCGGAATCTTAATGTCTTCCTGTCGCAGGTAGATTTTGTTTTTGAGGACGAATTCATCCAACGATTCCAACTGTTTCGGGGCAAGAGATTGGTGGTGGTGAGTCCTGCGATGGCCAGGGACCATAGCCACAGTGAGAGGCTTCTTGCAGCCTATACAGATAAAAATATTGAGGGCTGCGTGCATGCAAAGGCCAAACTGATCCAGAAGGCTAGTAGAGAGAAGATAGTCTTCACCTGGGAGAAGGATGACACGACCGTTCAAGTCCGGAGAGGTGACTTGAGCCAACTAAAATAAGCCATGAGATAACACATGGAGACAAAGACTGACCTGCAGGAACTTCGTTGCCTGACTGCTGAAAAGGTCCTTCAGAGGGAGTGATAGCTGGGAGAAGATAAGAAACTGATGGAGCAAGAAATAAAAACACTAACCATCATTAACAAGGATGTCCGGGCAGGGTAGTATGGGCCTTTGAGGGTGGATAGCTGAAGGAGACAAGTTAATGAAGGGGTAGAAAGAGAGAGGTGAAGAATGCACCAACTTCAGGTTGGGGAGTATTTCAAAAACCAGAACTCAGTCTATGTCATGCTAAATCGTTTACGAACCCTTCATCAGGTAAGCCTCCACCCCACTAACATCTGTCATGGACTAATAGTAGCCTAGGCCGTAGATATGTTCTTTTAGAACCCAAATCAACACCTGATCACTGACAAGAAATTAACTCTGATGGAATGGCACTTTTTACAAGACCTCAAAGTAATTTTGGAGGTCAGTGCTAATGTATTTGAAACCTACAACCTATCTCACTGTTTGCATTAGGTACTATATGCTGCTCAACAAGTCATGTCAAGTAAAAGCACTCTGACACTGAGTGGCATAGTTCCAACCTTTGAAAGATTGATTGAGGGATGGAATTACATAGCGAAGCACTTCCCACACTTTGCACCTCTGATTAGCATAGGCTTGCTGTGGGCAAGTAAATATGATGATCAGATAGGCACCACCAGTGCTTATGCAGTCTCCATGTGTCAGTCCTATTTATTTTAATAGAGTCTGATTCTCATCGTTTTTGCAGTCTTCTAGCATTTGCCCTTTAATTAATTATCATTTACAAATATGTATATGTATGTTATTGTGCTTTAGTTCTCACCAACTGGATTGGAAGCTACTCCTTACCCTCTCAATCTCCAGATATCTATCTTCTAAAGCTGTATCTGCAGATATCAAAAGCTGTGTCTGCAGATATGTATCTTCTAAAGTTTGAGCCACTATATTTGCAATCTCATCCTTCTGATATCAGGGTGCATGCTATGTACTCCTATGGAAAAACTCCAAACCACATCATCATCCTTTACTATTATAACTACCTTTCTACATCTTCTTAGTAAGCATTGTCTCTTAAGATGAGATAAACCTTACTCCTGTAATTTTCATTACAGGCCAGCATCTATAAACTGATTCAAAGTTCACTGCCAATAGAAATTGGAAGTAAGTTGATTCTTCTGTAATATATAATAAAACATTTGGTCTACTTGAATTGTCTGGACAGTCTTATTTTTCTATTCTTGATAATTACTATTATTTATGAGCTTGTTCATAGTGATATACATATTTTGCCTCATAGGATACTCTTCCAAAGTTTCATAGAAATAAACTATTAAAGGCTAATACTCAGAGAGAGGAGACAGTCAGTATAGAAAAGGTAATGATTGGAGGGAAAGCATTACTGGTAACCCTATTTAATTTAACCATCTAGACAGTTGACTCCTTCTGCATTAGCATAGTTGTGGTGACAGCAAGTAGAGATAATTAAAATATTCTTAATATTAAGTATTTAGGTTTCTGTTCTCAGTGTAATAGCATTAATTGCTTCTCTAGAAAATACTGCCAATCTGATAGACACATTAGTAACTTATCAACACAACCTTTTTCATTTGTTTTCTCTCTTATGAAACTGAAATTTTCTAATATGAAACTCCCTTCATCCTTAGTACCTTCTTCTTCCTATAGTAATTACATTATCTAAGAACCTCAGTTAGATCTGAGTATTGCTAGGGTAAAATATTGATATTTCACTAAAGAAAAGACTTGTTTGAACTTTGAGACAGGAGTACGCAATATTAGTTACCATTATTCTCCTATCCTAAGCTTTACAATCCTGACTGAACTCCAACAACCAAGCCTGGAGATTAGTTTTATTAAACAATTTTTTTCTTTAGTGAAACATCAATATTTTACTATAGATGCAGTTAAGGTGCTACAGAGGCCGCAGTATTGGGAAATGTGGATGTAGCTTTAGAAGATACATAACTACAGACACAGTGTTTGGTACCTGTAGACACAGCTTTTGATACCTGCAGATATAGCTTTAGAAGATACATATCTGGAGATTGAGAGGGTAAGGAGTAGCTTCCAATCCAGTTGGTGAGAACTAAAGCACAATAACATACATATACATATTTGTAAATGATAATTAATTAAAGGGCAAATGCTAGAAGACTGCAAAACTTAATGAATAAGATAATTTTGAACCAATATCATTGATCTTTGTTTGGTCAATCATAATCAAGTGCTTCCTTAATATCTGGCATCACTGATGAATTAGTTCATTATCTAAGCTCATAATGACAGTGTTTCAACTAAGTGAGGTAGGTTTCATTTTGCCATATAATGCTTGAGTGTATTCTAACTTTTTGCACTGAATGATAAATGACACAGTCCAGAGATACTGGGTTGTATCATGCATCTACTACTACACCTCCAAAAGATCAAAGTTTAGCATACAAAACATAATATCAATAATGGCCTTTATATTACATTGTAAGATACCTCAATAAGTACACTCTACAAGATCATAAAAGTGATTGCTAGAAAAAACACAGACTTCCTTATCATCATAGACAGTAAGTGAAACATCAAGGCCAATAGGAAGGGTGAGAGTGGTCATGAGCATAAAGATGAGCTACTAATGAACATTGAAATATGTATATGCTATCATCACTAATGAGTAGTCATGAGAGAAAAAATAATGTAGGAATTGCTATATCTTTTTAAGCAAGAACTCACAAGAAGTATACACACATATGCTCTGCTATAAACATATCAGTAAACTATCAATTTTGTGACAGATGCCACAAGATACCATAGGTCTTACAAATTTCACAAATACATAATAAAATATCACACCATTGATGCTACTAATGTCTATATATAATACAAACCAACATAAATATCTGAATTTTAACAAGTATCTCTATCTCTTGCTAGTAAGTAAGATATGATTAGTATTAGCATTAGTGTCAAGAACTGTTTAAGATTAAGAGGCACCTTCTCAAAAGATAGTATATACTGTAAGTTCACTGTGTCTAACAACTAGCAAGCAAGATATAGTCTTAGTTATTTAAATTTCTTTTTTTTACTTTCACCAAATCTTAGTATCATTTTTTTTAAAAACATATTTCAGAAATCTTTGTGTTGTCTTTACATCCATCTAAGATTTAGAGTAGCCTAGTGGAGAGACTTTAGGGACTGATAGTGACACTTGATCTTACTCATCTAAGTAGCAATCACTGCAGGCATTTCCCTATTTTCCTCCACCAAACATCCAAAAAACATTGATTGAAAAGATAGAAATGTCCCCTTATTTTTCCTGTCAAAACATTGAAAAAAGTGATTCATGTATCAATGATGTTCTGTGTGTGGGACATGATGCAAAAATTGGACATGTTCCTTCAAGGATAATGCTGTATTTTCCATGTATTGTTTTTGAAATAACAGCTTAAAATAAAGTGAATTTTCTTCTTTGTGTTTTTCAAATATACACAGTTGACAGGAAAAATAAGGGGACATTTCTATCTTTTCAATCAATGTTTTTTGGATGTTTGGTGGAGGAAAATGGGGAAATGCCTGCAGTGAATACTAAGCCAGGATCTTCTTTGTCTGATAAACTTTAGCTATTAAATAGAGGACTTGATATTGAAATTTAAGGACATCTGTTCCTAATTCTGTTTAATACTCATGGTAGGTTCCTTGGCAGCAGGTTTAATAATAAGCTAAGAGTTCTATATAAGCATTAATTAGTTTTGAACCTGTTTATACTGAGGGAGCTAATTACTATAATTCCATACTATTTTTTGTGGAGTATGATTTGTTACAAGATATTGTTATTGTAAGAAAGCTAGAGGGAGAGTTCTATATTTTTGTCATCACCATACTGTTAGGGTAAGTGTCATTGACACAATGCCCTACCTGGTGACAGTTGAAGCACTGTCCTTCTTTGAGATGTTTCTTCAATTCTGGTTCAGAAAGTCAACGAATGCAGTCGACTTCCATAGCATTGTCCCTGCGGGGAGTATTGTGATGATTTCCAAAGTTCTTCTTCTTCCAGGATGGGTTCTCTCTCTTCTTGATGGCTTTTAGTCTTTGGTACACATTATTGAAATTGATGCAAGTATGCATGATGGTTTCAAAATCATCAAGATTCTCGCCTGTGCAGTAGAGACTGTCATGGAGGGTGGGATCTAGCCCTTCATGGAAAAATTCTACTTTGGTGATGTTCTCAGTTATTCTGGCTTTGTGGGCAAGAAGGCAATAGTTAGAGATGTAGGTCTGGAGATCTCCTTTCATTTCAAGGGCCTGGACTTTAGACATAGCCGTTCCTGCTGGGTCTATAGCCCCAAAGGCATCTGTGAACTTGGTTTTGAAGGCAGCCTAGGTCCCATAACTGATGGCATACCCCATGGTGTTCAGTCTCTTGGGGTCTTGAGCAGCCCGCATAAAATCTTCTTTCCAGGCAGCTGCATTTTCCTTGGTCATAAATGACAGGGCGAAGATAACCTTCTTCTTATTATCATTGTAAATTTTATCGTTGATGTCAAGATAGGTGTAACAGTTCAACATAAACCTTTCTGATTCATCGCAGTCTCCATCAAATTCGGTGGGAGTACCAATTTTGATTTCTATATCTTTGCTAGAGGTCAACATGGTGTTCAAAGGCAGTATGGGTGGTAGTGCGCCTAGGTTCAATGCTCTGATCAAAGGAGTTAACGAAGTCATGGTGTTCTAAGGACATCATGGATGGCGGCATCATCTGAAGAAGACTTTAATCTTTTGTTACAACTGGGATAAGTCGAGCTGTCTATGTCCAAATGGATGTTCTGCAGAATGGCAAGACGGACGTGGTTCTTCTTTTGAATAAGAGGTCACAGGTTTCTAGGCTAAGGCGAGTGTAGGCGACTCCCTTAGAATAGTGGTTCTTTAGACAGTAAGGTTGGAGGCCTCACTGAAGGACAAGTTCCAGGTAAAACCCAGTAGATTAAAGTAAAGAATACAGTTGATGTATCTAGTGTCTGTATAGCAAATGTTCAAGCAGAGCTTGTAAATGGTGTATCAAGATAAGAGACCATGAGGTGGACAGCCCGCTTGATAAGAGATAGCA